GAACTATTCTCGGGTCAAGTCAAATTATTTGCTATGGTCTGCCAAAGATTTCTGCTTCATTTACTCCAGTATAATTGAATTGAACTCTAGTGAAAATTATTCCGGAACCATATCATCTTCTTTCATGCCATATAATAAATCTTATCACTTCTATCTCTTCGGTATAGTTGGACAGAGCTCTAGTGAGAACTATTATCGAATCATGTCATCTTCTTTCATGTCATATACTAAAAACGTTTTGCTTCTATCTCTCCAGTATAGTTGAACAGCAATTTTTTGAGATACATTCATTGGTCATATCATGTACTTTCATGTCTAATATGTAAAATGTTTTCACTGCTATCTTTCCAGTTTAGCCGAACAGTGACTTACTTAGTAACATGCATTGGTTATATCAGCTATTTTCATGTGCAATATGCTAAAGATTTTCGCTTTTATCTCTCCAGCAGAGTTGAACAAAAACTTAATGAGAGCTATTCCTCGATCATGGCGTTCTCTTTCATGTCATATACTAAATCTATGCTATTATATCTCTGCAATGTAGTTAAACAGCAATTTTATGAGAAGCATTCACTGGTCAGATCATCTTCTTTCATCGGATCCACTGTAGATCTTTGCTTAACCGTCGCTACTGTTGTTAATCAGAACCTTGGTGATAGTCATTCTCTCATCCTATCACCTTTTTGCTGATGGTAACTATTTAAGGCCCTGAATTTCGTGTCTCCAATGTATTTTAATAGAAGTCTTTTTATAACCGTGCATTCTCGATGTTATTGTTACGCATATTACTTACATCTAACAAATGCTTCCACCTTTTCTGAATTATCGAACAAGATGTTGCTCAGGATCATTCCTTCGTCGTGTTATTTTTTTTCAATGCGCGTACCAAAATCTTTATTTTCAGCTATGAATTTGTTGACCAGTGCCCTAATGAAAATTGTTTCTTGGTCATGTCATCTGCTTTCTAATGAGTCAATAACGATCTTGATTTACGTGCTTCAAACATAGTTGAAGAGAACTCTGTTGAAAATCATTCCGTCATCACTTCATGTGTTTTTCAATGGCTAAGTCGCATTCTTTTAGTTCACTCTTATAAAGTTAGTTGAATGGAATGATAATGGAGTTCGTTCGTATTTATTTTCATTGTAAGTGATATGTTCTGTATTTCAGCTATGGATCCCGATTGCCGAAAGAAGTCGAACAGTATTGTTCTGAGGCTTCTTCTTTTGTGTTGCGATCACCAATGGTATGAATAGCGGGTGGACATCAATGTTTGATGTGAGAGTAATAGCTGTACGATATTATTGTAGTAGTATCGTTCAGAGTTGATTTGATCCTGTTGCTATTGCACATGTGACGTTGTTACTTTAATGCAAGGAAAACTATTGAACAATGTGACAGTTATCATGATTCAATGATGCTGTGATCGTTGGTTCATGGAAATAGATAGAAAGTTTGCTTAAAGTTTTTCTAAAAGTTGAATCATATAATTGTTTGAAGTATTCAATCCGTTTGTTATATTTTATAGTATAATAAACCCGTCAGCTTCTATCTGTTGTGCACGAATTGATGAATAACGCCGTTGTGGCGATTTTTCGCTACTACGTACTCTATTTTTTATGACATTCTTTTTCATTCTTAACACTTGTACTGGTGTTATTAGTGAATATAATGTTACTAGGGTTAATTCTCTTTCGACATATTGTGGCATAACTTGGTATTGGAAAATGGAAACATCGAAGTGCTGGAAATAGTGAAATGGAGTATTTTTTTGAATTATTCATCTGATGTGTGACTATTGATGATATCACAGAGATTAAGCTTTTGTTAGAAATAAAGTCAAATCTATGAGCAAATGGTTTGTTAGATTTATACTTTTGTTCTACAAAATCGATTGGTGTGGTAATGACATTATTTTAACTTAAAGAGAGCATTATTATTGAACTGAATGGTTGTTTTGATGATGCATGTATGACGTTATAATGAATGGGTTGCCAAACTTATTTGAGTGCTAAAAAGTGAGGAAAATAATAGAATAGATCCTTTGATAAGAGTTACTGGTGATGTTAGCTTAGGTGTCGATACCTGTCGGGCATATTTTAGTTCTATTCCGCAAAGTAGTTGAACAAATTCCTACTTGGATCTATTCAGTAGTTATAACAATTCTCATCATGAAACTAGTGGTCGATATTGAATTTGAATTTATTGGAATGTCAGAATAGAAAAATATTTATTAAAATACATTTGAGACCTGATCCAGAATCGGTTAGGGTAGTGACATCCTAATCTTAAACTCAAGTAAATATTGGAATTGAATCCTAATTCTTATCATTCATTCACTGAGCGATCCTTCATTCTGTTAAATTATGGAGCTCTTCTTCGAAATAAAATAGCATACTTGAACTTAATCCTGGTATGAGTGATTCAGTTGTGGTATAGTTACCCATTGTATCATACCTGCAGAAATTTGAATTCATGCCTCTAGTATAGGTGAACACAATGTTAGTTACGATCGGCCACATCTGAACAGATTTCATCTCATGTTATAAACTGAATATATCTACTGCAGAAACATTAAGATAGTTGAATTGCAGTATGGTTTGAATCTTTCTTGTCCAATATAGTCTTCGTCTCTGTCTTTAATTCGAACGACTAACGCTACAGTAAGCAGAATTTGTGAATAATCCAGTGATAGTAGTGTTTCACTTTTTACGTGATATTTCACTCCGACTGTCACTATAGTGCTCTCAATGTCAACAAAATAGCTGAAATAGTATTTTGAGTCAGCAAGTAAGTGTCTTAAAACATTTCCGTGAACTCAATTTTTAGACTCTTTTTACTTTCTAGAAGGCGCGACATGGAATCGATGCAGCCATCCAACAGCAACTGACAAAAAAGGACATTATTTTTTTTTTTTAATTTTCTCAGACTTTTTCTTTTCTTCTTCATTTCACCTTTATGTAACCCATTTTATCTACCATTTATCATACAATTTTTACCTTATTTTAATAAACAGTGCGATTTAAAAAAAGCTTGTTGCAGCCGCCCATGCGGGATTGAAACGCAGAACATTTATGATTTTAACTAGATTTAATGAACACACGACACGTACAGTGTCGAGCACTGTTAGCGGCAACAGATGTCGCATTATGCCGCTAACTTTTCTCTATGTATGTGAATTCTTTTCTTCCTATCGGATATATATATATTATCCTATTGATAATCATGAGATCACGAGGACCATTGCCTTTTGCGTTGTTTCGTTTTTTTCTAATTGCGTTGTTTAATTTTGTTTTCTCGTTATATCGATTTTCTTGCTATTCATTCTTCGTTTTCATCATCTTCGATTATGTACTTATTCTTTTTGGTTATATCATCCAACTAAAACAAATTGTTGTTATAACTGTATTGATTATTATAATCAATAAAGATTATTATTAAACAACATAAATTACAATTATTGAATATTCATATTCAATCATTAACACATACCAAATTACGGTAAACTAGTTTTATACGTGAGCTTCTCAATAGACGTAGACGAGTTCATAGGAAACGTCGTTTAACCTACGAATACTACGGAGGTTAAAGTAAAATATACATCCTCAAAGGAGAACCTCACAAGCACTCTAGGTAAAAAGCGTTTCCCCAAAAATCATGTTTCGTGTACCCGAAGTTGCTTTCTAAAACTTTTAGAATTGTTGAGATTCAAAAGAATTCTTCTTTTCCAAGAGAACCTTGCCGTATTTTGCTTTGAAACTTGGTGCACTGCACTAAATCGTTGTTCCAGTCAATAAATTTCGTTTTTCTCTTTTTTTTTTATTGAATTAAGTTTTGTTCATTATAATACAAACACTACTATCTTGGAAAACGTTGAAATGAAACACGGGAAGTTCTTATGTTTACAGATTCTTTTAACTAATTTACGTAAAAGCTTTATAGACAATTGTATGCTTTAATTAATGAGAAAATATCCATTTATAATAGACTGCAACAAGCATTATTATTTTAGAAACAAAAAGAAGTCTTCAGATGTATCCACATGAACAGTGATGAGTCAGAGTATGATTCTATTTTTTTGTGTTCTTATTCTTTGTTCGTATGCTTATTTTGTATTTCGAATAAAAATAAAGGCAAGTACCCAAGGGGGAACAAGCGGACTTCTGTACTTCTTTGTACTTTTCAGTACTTCTTGGTACTTTGTGTATTTCAAAAATGTATTGGATTAATTTTTTCACTTTTACTTTATAGTAGTACTATTGCTATGTATTGTACTGCGCGATGGTGCCCGTGAGTAAGAAATGTGTTTTGCTTGTGATTGTGTTTGTAGTCGTGATTGAGAAAAAATATTCGTGATCGTTATAGTGAACAACATTAAGATTTCATGATCACAAATTTAACATATAGTTTCAAAATTTCAAATATTTATTAAAATTTATTATGTTTTCAAAGAATTTCCACTAGAATACAAATGAAAACTATCGATTGTGACTGTTAATTTCTATTAACATTGAATGCACCGAATGAGCAAAAATTTTTCGTGCCTCTTATAATCACATAGAAATATTCGTGATCGTGCATTTGATTTTAAAAAAATCGTGATCGTGATCAAAAATTTCAGTCACGCAGCACACTAGTGCTATGATATCCACTTTTAATAGTTATTTTAAATAGCGCCTAAGCACACCTAGGGTGTGGGTGTGGGGTGAAGGATATGGTGTAGAATATGGGTGTGCTCAATGTCTTCCATCACACCCACACCCACACCCTCAAGTATTAGACAACTGCCATCCAATCTGATTTCTGAAAACAGTCTCACAAACAGCACCCACAGTTGAATTTGTCGTTAAAGTTAACATTTCCTTAATAAAATATGCCAATAGTTGAGCATGGTAAATAGTATCATCATCAACAGTAATGATTATGGTTTCTGGACTTCACTCTTCGTGTAAAACGCCCAGCAGTTTAGTTGATGGTTCGTAGTCAACTGGTTCAGTAACTTATAATTTTTTTCCTTCATATGTTTGCTGTATATCGATAATGGTTGTTGGTGAAAATGATGGTAAATTAAATCGCGAGTAGTTTTTTATTGGCATAAAAAGATAAATTTGGTCGGGTGGATAGGTTTGACGAAATAAACTTTGAAGTGTATCATCAATATATTTCAGGCGTGAACTAAAGGATGTCAAGGAGACAACAACACGTGGTACCGTATGCGTGGATTTATTTATTGCGGTTGAAAGTATTCTATCTCGAATAGAAAGCTGTTCTTGAAGACTTAAGTTAGTCCATATAATCGGGTTAAATTTAACATTGTCACTTTTATATAAAAATGTTGACAAATAAGCAGCAGAAAGAACAAGAGTCACAATCAAAGAATACAGCCGCGGTTCCCTAGTTAACATTTTGAACTTGTTTTCCATAGCCAGACTCAAACGTAGAATATATTTGTGATAGAATTACATCAGCTCTCAAAAACTAATTTTAGAGTGCAAACAACTTTTAAACTCGAGGAGCGACACTCGAATCAAGATTACTTCCACTTACTTTTCTGTACACTTGTTGACAAAACAATAAATTCTTACACGTTATGTATTGGACAATATGTCTAGTCACTTAATTCTGAAACGCGTTAAGAAAGATGAGTAAAAGAAACAACAGGGTTGGGTGTCCGTGGGTTGCGCCATATTGTAAATCAAAACACCCACATCTACACCCTTTATTTACTTCTTTTTTTATAGAGTGATTTCCACAGTAGTTTGATCCAGTTCATCAGATGTTTTGCTGCAAAGTTGTGGATCTTGACTTCTGCTATAACTTTGCTCCAAAGGTCATTTCTGGCTATCGCTCACTAACACAGTTATGGGACGTAGGTGGAGAATTTTGTATTTATTTTTAAAATAAATAGTAAATAAAAGTGAATACTTCGTTTACATCCCCATAGCTTTGTTCATGAGTAGTATCGAAGAATAACCTTGGGAGCAAAGGTATAGCTAAAATTAAGATCAACAACTTCGCAACAAAACGTCTGTCAAAATATGCCAAGCTACTGTCAAAATTACTAAACACGAAAAAAGTATATTAAAGTAAATTAAAATAAATGTGTCACCCCGACAGTGAATAGTGCATGTCGAGATTTACTTGAACCAAGAGTATGAGCGTTGGTGGAAGTTTTTAGCAGAGAAGTACTCGAATGTTGAGCTAACTTCCCCTACGTGCTGTCACTGTTTTCTCGCTCGCTAACTGTGTTCGTATATGCATACATCGCCATTGAAATGACTAAATTACTATGTCACGAGAATAAGATTGACGAACACAATATTCCAAACACTAATAATGACGATGAGAAAAAGAGGCAAACACACGTGAGGTTTTCTCTGCCAACTTGTGTTATGAGAACGCTCGATCATATTTTCTGTCAAATCTCGTGAGACATCGTTGAGAAGCATGCACATTGTCTTAAAAAGCCGATGTTGGAAAGTTGTTTGAGATAGCAAATCTTTGTGTCAATCGGATTACATCGAAATTCGTTTAAGATTTCTAATGAATTAGGTTTCGGGAACTCCAGCAAGAATGACTGGGATTGTCGATTTACTCCTGTTTACTCTATTGTTTCTAATTATTTTACTGTATTTCAAAACATAAAATGGTATCGTTTCAATCTATTTATCTTTATCCACTCACACTCAAACCTGCTTCCATTATAGACGTTGTGCTGTTATTAAGCATACTGCGAAGACAACTTATAAAATGCTATTTAAGATTCATATAATCATGGCAAATATGAAAAAACGAGATAATCGATACTTTTTTCTTCTTGAGATAGATCAAAAAACGTGGTTGATCTATTAATCAAAATGAGATCTCTAATTCTTAAACTAACAAAGCAGTGTGCCAATCGAACGACTAGAAATTGGGTGGTATTATGAAAGAAGCACTTCATTATCCATGATTGCATTCAGACAAATTATTATCATTATTATTACTGTGTCTCCCATTGAACATAGTAATTCGATTGAATTCTTCGGCTGTATTCATCATCAACATATACACATGATTGTCGTCGTCCATGCAATCCCGTTGTTTTACAACGAAATCAAATGAAAAGAGATTGTTATCACGATGGTATATCGCATTCGTTTGTGACACTCCGATCGAAAACTATCAGTGTGAGAACTATCTTATATTAGCGGAGATCACGTATTGAGAAGATAGAGCAGTATGCACGCTACCTTCGACAAGATATTCCATCCGTGGATGATGATAGGAATACTCTCTGTCAATGTACAAATCTTCGAGCGTTTGGAAAGAATTGTGAATATTTATTACCGGTCGAAAATGACACATTTGAGGTTACACTTAATTGGGAAATTCATCTGCGATTTTTCCATCAAGAATACGCTCAAAATTATAGTGACATTCTATGTTATACTACACTGGTGTGTGATTCGGGTCGTCTATGTCTCTACTGGTGGGATATCTGTGATGGAGTTCAGCAATGTATGTTCGGTTATGATGAAGAAACGTGTGATCTTCTTGAATGCAATGAATGTGATGATGATGAATATCGTTCTATGAATGGAATGTGTATTTCCCGAAGAATATTTTCTCGGTGGTAATAATGACTGTATGGATTTAACTGATGAAACACAGCTGTTCAATGATCATGTGGCGATGGACAATGTATTGACGATCGTCTCCCTTTTCAACAACTTCTGCTTGGATATCAACCAGAGATGTCTTTATTATTTTCAATGCCAAATGGCTGGAGGATTCGAAAACAACTGTTCATGTGATGATCCACTCTCCTGTGAAAGATATGTGGGTGTGGGTGCATGTTCTTTTCTTTTGTTCTCTTGGCCATTATCCGTACATCATTCCAAGCATTTCATTATTCAATTTAATGGTGAATGCAACAAATTGCGTTGTCTTTCTATGGAATATTTTGTGATTTTGCAAAGGCTACAAAGATTTTATTCTTTGCTCAATGGCCAGTTGTTCTAAATTGTTTCTGTAAGTTCAGTGAGTTTCCCATTCACGTATTATGTTTCCATAGAATTTTTGATCATTTTCAAGGATTGAATAGTTGTACTTATGAATGCGATAAAACAAATGACTCACGTGCTTCTAGTAAATATCACAATAATCTCATTAATCACGGATTTATTGTGCGCGTGCAAGAACACGCATAGAATTTGAAAGTGACAACGTCATTACAACAGCAAAAACAACTATGTATTTGACTCGACAGCATCAAAGTAGAATGACATTTTCAACGAACGATCACTAATATAAATAGATATGCTATGATATTTCATTGTTTCAAGTACGTATCTAAGAGGACCAGCGTACAATGTGGCTGTGGAGTATGTTTACACTATTCTTATCGTTGTTGACGCTCGATAAGTGCGATGGAATTTCAAGTTCTATTTCACCATTTATCAACTACAAATATTCAACTGTACTTCAAGACAATGTAGCTGATCTCTGGTGGACAGTGGATGATGCTGAACGAGAGATCACATTCGAGCTACATGTCAAGACTATGGGCTGGATCTCTTTAGGCATCAGTCCAGGTAGATTTCTATTTTAATTTGTCATTGGTGTCTCGGTAATTCTATACATGACATCCAGCTGGCGGCATGAAAGGCGCTGATATCGGTGTTGGCTGGGTTGACAGTAATGGCAATGTTCATTTTCAAGTATGATGGATGTTGATTATCTTACAGATTACCACAATATTTTATTTGTTTCTCACCGTATTTTTTGAAGGATCGGTATGCTAGTGACTTTGCTAAACCTGTCATCGACAATACAACCACTGACTGGTATGCTATTCGCGGTCGTGAGCAGAACGGATGGACAGCGATTCAGTTCAAACGTTTGCTTGACACGTGTGACTCGATGGACTATCCTATCAAGGTATAATATATCAACAATTAGTCGAGTATCTAGTTCTCAAGAGAAGGAAAGTATGACTGCGAATACAGATACTACATGATTTCTTCTAAAAAGAATATACGTTGGAAAACAAAATATCGTTCATAGTTTTTGCCTCTCCTATAAATTTCCAACGATAAGCATTGAGACGCGATTCGCACCGAGCTTCATATGAGTTGACAACGAAACTTAATGAAATATCAAGGGTATCTTGAACTTTGTTTATTATTGAAGAATTTGCGAATGAAAAATCCTCTTAATCCTTAATAAAATATCGTGGGATTAGTAGAAAGAAAAACACCAGAAAAAGAAAAGCCAGCATTTTTATGTTAAAATTCTTGTAAAAAGTCATGATACACTGGAAATATAGCAGAGAACTTTTTCAAAAATTCCCGAATCTTGAAATTGGGAGTGTATGCAACATCTAAACTGGTTCTTATTTCAATAGGTTTTGCGAATACATTTATTTTATGATGATTTTAATTTAGTTAGAAAGATGTGCAGCAAGAAATAAAAATAATACTCTTAATATGAACAGTTATACCGATAAAATTGTATTTCGGATTAGACGAATGAAAAGAATAATTCAAACGTCAAATCACTGATATTTCACTTAGCATCATGCAGTGACTGTAAAATGAAAATTCTATTCGAAAATCAAATCTCTTACCGAAATAATAACTCGAATATGAAATGTTATTATTTTGAATGAGGAGTTGTGCGCCACAAGAATGTCTATTTATGCTCTGATAGCAAGTCAACTCTGAACAACAAACGATGAGTCTTTTTCACACTCGATACATTTTCATTAACATAGTCTGGAACCAATGTCGTCATTTTTGCATATGGCCTTGTCGATCTGGATCCTTTTCGACCAGACAGTGATATTTCCTATCATGATAATCGGCGAGGTTCACGCATCATTCCACTTCGATCCTACGGTCAACCACCACCCGAAGACAAATTTGCTGGACTTGACTTCTTCGACTTTCGTCTGAATAATGTCGGGTGCTTTTTTTACTTCTGAGCTTCAATACATTTCGTTACTCTATTTTAGTATTTTGTCCCATCGAACGATACGACCTATCACTGCCAAGTATACAAAGCACCAGCCAATTATAAAATGAAACGGCATGCAATCGCAGTATGTATGGCTATGCTTTTCAAATATAGTGGTGAGAATAATTGTGAGCTGAATGAACGGAGAACACAAATAGTTAATGACATTTAGTTTTCGCAATTTGAAACTGTATTCACTAGATAAACATTCTTTTATGAACCCCCATATCATCCATATGATCTTTGTTTCATTGTCAGACCAATCTGTAGCCATATGAATAGAACTATTGTGTCAAATATACATCACATTTGTAAATGGAAATTTTGAGGAGAAGAATTCGATACTTCTTAGTTGGGTCGAAAAGAAAAGTTTTAATTTCAATGTAAAACGGAGGTGCGGGCTGGGAGGAAAATTATTTTAATATATATACTCACCATATCAAATAAGTCAATGTAGCTCGGTACTTTCTTTTAAACGGTGAAACCCTCAAGCCGATAGCTGCTTGTATTTTTAAACTATTGAACTCTTAATACGTCATGTTGAAATCGGTAGTAGTTAATTTCTTATACAGAATTGCTTCTGTCTAGCATAAGATATTGGTCGATTCAGGCAATCAAGATCTCGTACATCATTTGCTCTTGCACGAATGTAATCCTTCGGCTGTTTTCGATGATAAAAATTTGCCCAGTGGTGTATGTGATGAAATTGTGATTCAAATTGAATCGTGCTACACAAACTTTGTCACTGTATGGGCAGTTGGTGGTGACTATGTAAGATTAATAGTTGAAAATATAAATTATTATACGAGTTGCATAGGTGGTCGAGTATACTGAGGAGGCCGGATATCCAGTTGGTGGGGATTCTTCCACTAAATACTACATGATTCAAATGCACTATGAGAATCCGAGACAGCTTTCAAGTAGGTCGTTGCTGATGTATATTGAACAGATCTAAGTGTTTTGATTTACTTTTAGATCGTCGTGATAGTTCAGGCATTAGATTTTATCTTAGCAAGCAACTACGTCAGCACGATCTGGGCTATCTCACTTTTGGTACAATTTCAAATTTTCTCGGTCTTGCTATTCCACCATTAGTGGAGCAATTTGTGGTCGATTCGTATTGTCCAGCCAAAGTTACGCATGTAAATTATTTTTTCAGTTCTCAAATGCATGCACAAATATTTTTATTCCAGAATTTTCCTCAATCTGGCATCACAGTTTTGTCCGCCATGCCACATACTCATTTGCAAGGTAAATAAATATTGAACAGAATGTCCACAATTTTGCACGTACCCTATCCTAGGTCGTAGTATGTGGACAAAACTAATTCGAAACAAAACAGCAGTTCAATATTTGTTCAATGCTGAGTCGTACGATTTCAACTATCAATATGTGAATCGTTTAGCAAAGCCAATCAAACTTTATCCAGTTTGAAAAAAAGCAGTTTATATGTTTTTTTTATAGTGTTAACTGTTTTGTAGGGAGATGAGTTCGCCACTCGATGTGTATACAATACAATGAACAAGGACACGATCACGCTGGTAAGAATGTAGTTCAGTTGATCGATGCATTACTCTTGTTACTTAGGGTGGTGAACGAACAAAAGATGAAATGTGTCTTCACTTTTTCACGTACTATCCTCGAATCGACAATTTTTCTGCATGTTTTACAATGAATACTATAGAATGGTGGCAAAAAATGATGAATTCTACGTAAGTTTGATCGAGTTGTGTCAAAACTTTATATTTATTTGATAAACAGATCCGAATTCGATTACCAACAAACCAAACAATGGTTGCTCGATCTCAAATGGACGGCAGAATTGGCGGCGCAGTGGCAAAGATCCTACGATGATGCGCCACTTCATTCTGTGTTTGCTAGAAACGGTCAATTTGAGGATGAAAATCTGGGTCAACCATCGAAGTATGAAGATTTGAAATCAGCTGAATGTATTAAATAATCAATTTTCAAGAAACAAATCTGTTATTTTGGAAAATTATAGTGGGACTCTTCGCCAAAAAACTTATTCTTATTGCTTAAATAGTGAATGCATAAATAAATCTAATATACTTTTCATGAGGTGAAACGGCTTTTAACTAGATGTCCGTGGCTCTTTTGAAACTGAAACCGTGATGGTGTGGGTATCGATTTAGTTTCTTTATCATCGCATACCAACACCCTGATTTTTTATTCTCAAGAAATTTTCAATTCGATGTATTCATCACGTAATGAATACGATATGGATTATACCAGTAGTTTTATCAATGAAAAGTTTTGCATCTTAAGATTTTTATTTTGAAGCAGATGAAAATACTAATCTGTCTTTACATAAATACTTATGCATCATTCTTGATTTACGTGTTTCATTATATATATTTGAAAATACTGATGAAAACGCATAATTTAACATCATGAAATAATGATAATTGCTGTCTTATAATAAATTCCATGAGATTAATAACATATATTATAGTTAAAAAGAGAAAACCTTGATTAAATAATTTCATATCAAATCTATACGCTGCGTTCTTTTAAGTGCATTTCATGTCGAACGCATAAAATACGAGTACACCATTAGCAAATATTTTTTTGTAATGAAATGTCATTTAACACAATTTTTGTTTTGAATAATTTAATACTGAGTAAACCTGTATTACTCATTGGTATAGCTGATATCTTATATCATAAAATAAATGTTATCACAATATTCAACGGATTTAATATCAGCGGCTCTATCTGTCAAGACAAAATACTTTGTTGTTCTACTTAGTATTAAAAATAACCTTTCACCAATAGATTTCAGCGAGCAACACAATGCAAATATATTAAACATATTGACATTATCGATCTGTGTATAAGAAAACATTCATACCATAAAAACCTTTTAGTTTTACTAATTAAAAGCAAATCATGAAAACATATACTGCTTTGTGCATAATTCTGTCTGCGTTGATCGTGCAAAAAACGATTGCAACTACAAGTCCACTTACACCATATACTAGCTATCAATTTTCAATTGAACTTGAACATAATATAGCTGATCTTTGGTGGACAGTCGATGAAAATCGACAAGAAATTACTTTTGAATTACACATTAAAACGACAGGATGGATTGCTTTAGGTATCAGTCCAGGTAAGTCACGCTGCTTTTGAAAATAATTCCTTCATCATGTAGCATTTCGCCATTTTGTTTTACTACGAATCATAGCTGGTGGAATGAAAGGTGCAGATATTGGACTTGGATGGATTGATTCAACAGGTCAAGTTCATTTTCAAGTATATCATCTCTGTTCTTGTCAATGAAAAAGTCTTATTTATTTCCATATTTATAGGATCGATATGCGCACGATTTCGCAAGACCAGTCATCGACAATACAACAACGGATTGGTCTGCAATCAAAGGTCGTGAACAAAATGGTTGGACAGCTATTCAATTCAAACGTTTTCTTGATACTTGTGATAGTATGGATGTTCCTATTAAAGTTTGCTATTAATCTATTTCGGCAAACTCTTCTCACATTGCACTGTTTGTTTAGTCTGGTACTAATATACTTATATATGCCTATGACCTCGAGGATCCTGACATGTCACAAACAGGTGGTATGATAAAGTATCATGAAAATCGACGAGGTTCACGAATCATTCCACTTCAATCTTATGGCAATCCATCACCGGAAAAAAAATTTGCTGATCTGGACTATTTCGAATTTAAATTACAAAACGTTTGTTTTTTTCCGATGAAAAATAGCTAGGTCAAGTTAAATTTTCTTTCAGTATGTCGTACCAGCGAATGATACTACTTATCATTGCAAAGTCTATAAGGCACCAACTAATTTTCCACAACGAAGACATGCTATTGCTGTAGGCATTAAATTTCTTTCTAAATCTATTCGAACTCCACTCTATTTTTCATTTTGGTAGCATAAAACAATGATTGATTCAAATAATCGAGACATAGTCCATCATTTGTTGATGTATGAATGTGATCCTACCGCTGTGTTTGACGATAACAATTTACCAAATGGTTTATGTGACGATATTAATGAACAGATTATTGCATGTTCGTCAAATATTGCTACTGGATGGGCTGTCGGTGGTGAAGATGTAGATTTTGAAAATAGAAAAATCTTCTCTCAAACGTGTTTTTGTTTACTTACATAGATAGTGGACCTTCCAGAAATCACTGGATATCCGGTTGGTGGTGATTTTGAGATAAAATATTACATGGTTCAAATGCACTATGATAATCCAAAGTTAATGCCAAGTATGAAGTTTTATTCAATATAGATGATAATTTATCTCGCTATTTTGTTCGTTAATTTAGATCGTCGTGACAGTTCAGGCATTCGCTTTTATCTTGGAAAAGAACTTCGTCAATACGATCTCGGTTATCTCTCACTTACTGTATTTGCAACTCCTGTTGCTATTGCTATTCCACCAAAAGTGGATCGATTCATAATTGATACATATTGTCCAGCAGTGGTTACGAAAGTAAATCGAAGTTTTTGGTTTGAATGCAGAAATTCATTCCGCTATATTATAGAGTTTTCCACAGTCGGGAATAACAGTTGTTGGTGCATTTCCCCATACTCATTTACAAGGTAGAGTCAAACTGTCTATATTAATACTATAAAATTTTCTTCTAAAAAGGTCAAAGCGTATGGACAAAAATCATTCGAAATAAAAAAGCAGTTGAATATTTATTTAATGCTGAAGCATATGATTTCAATTATCAATTTGAAAATATTCTACCAAAGCCCATCAAACTATATCCGGTAGACTCCTTTTATTTTTGTTTCTGTTATTCTACAGTACAGTTATTTTAGGGTGATGAATTAGCTACTCGATGCGTTTATCGTACAACAAATAAGAATGAAATAAGTTTGGTAGGATACTTGATGCACTATTAGGTTGTTTTGCTAAAAGGAATATTTAGGGTGGCGAAAAAACCAAGAATGAAATGTGCATGCAGATGTTTATGTATTATCCTCGCATGAAGAATTTTTATGGTTGCTCAACAATCAATTCTTTAGAATCATGGAGTAAATTGATGAATAGTTCTGCGTAAGTTCGGATGTATGATTTTTAGAACTCAGGGTTTCTTATGGAATAGTTTTTGTTTAAAGATCATCCTTCGACTTTGAAGTATTTCGAAAATGGTTAATGGAGCTGAAGTGGACACCAGAGTTAGCTGAACAATGGCAGAAGTTTTATAATGATGCTCCACGTGTCGTTATTTCCGGTCCTACAGGCAATTTCACCATAACAAATCTAACTAGGTTGCCTGATTATGAAGATTTAAAACCAGCAGAATGCAAAAGAAGTATTACAAATACTGCTATTCGTTCAGTGTTCTTATCTATGTTTTTCACTTTTACTTCGTTTTTTGTAACAATAGCATCCCGTCTTTTTTAATTGAAAAGCGTTGCAGAACTACAGTAGAGCTTATAGATCACAGTACGACTGATGTTCATAGATAAATAATTACTAAAATCTATGTCGTAAATTCTTAATATAATAATCAAGAGAATTAATGTGCTTTTTCTATGAAAATGAAAAACTTGAGAAGTATTACAGTATTTAAGAAGGATTTTTGGAAATATATTCATGAGATATGAGCGAATCCTATCGGCATCCTCTCGGATACACATATAAGTCCGAAATACGAGTATTAATAGTTAGTCAAACATCGTATTTTGCTGATCGATATTTTCTAGTTGCATAAATCGAAGCGGATTGCTCAGTCCATACTTTTAAAAGGCGATGTTCTTCACGAAACAAGGCACTCACAAACCAATAAAACCACGTCGATATTTATGTTTAGGTCACACATATTTTGAATCCAAAACATAAGATCATCAATTAGTTTCATAGAATATCTATGGACACTCTGATCTCAAGAGTTTAAATGTTGATAGGATGAGTTCATAAACTACATGTTTTGTGATAAGCGATCAAGACCAGATTCATACAGCATGTTTCCAGAATTTGCAACATATTCCTTTTACTCTTAATTCATATTTTGGCTTCCTTGATGTCACATTTTAGTCACCAACAGTAATCTACCCAGTCTTGTAAGCGATATCGCATGTACTGCGAGGCTACTGAATTCAACTGCGTTCTATTATATAGTAATTAAAAAGTGTACATAACGAAAAAATTAAGATATTATTGTAATAACACATCTAGTTGTTGGACAATGAAAAATACGACACCACGAGTATAAGTAATTTATTTAAAATAAGCACTGAGTATTAACGCAGATACATCAAGAAAAAGTAGAGTAGATTATTTAGTGCCAATGAAATGGGTCGGAGCTTCAAAATGAATTTCTGAATTTTGCACGAAGAATGGAACAATTTGTTCATACAGAAAAACAATTGGACCGGTGCCGATTTTTTCATTATTGAATGCTTGCAGAGTGAATATCAAGGGAATGAATCGAACTGTTTCGTTTTTCAATGGATATTGATCAGTATCGATTGTGACGGAATCATTTCTAATTGCTCTCGACTTTATTGAGTACCATGTTGCGTTTCTTAATACATCATTGATATCCAATTGTATATACAAAGATTCGTCGGGCGTCGGCATAATTTTGAATTGTATAAGTTACATTGAGACGCTTACCACTAGTTGCAACTAAAGGTTGATTATTAATAAGCATTATGATTCGACTCGTCTCAATCAGTGCTCGTCCTTCTCGATAAACAAGAGTACCATCTCGCCGACCAATGCTAGTACGAATGCGAAAACTTTCCGATGGAACGCTGATCGTTTCAACGAAAGTATCTGTTGCCCGATAATTAATCAAGATTTTACCGTCAGTACTGATCAATTCAACCGAACTATTCAATGCTTCGCTCGATTTATCACATGTGGTAATTGCAAGTGCTCTACTTTGGTTAAACAGAGGAGGTGTGGCGACTATTCGACCAAAGTTATTGGATAATTGTGCATATAATTGTGTTCGACATCGAAATTCACTCTTCACATTCACCTCAATGGCACAGTCTTCACTGCACTGGTAATTCCATTGACCTATATTGGACTTATTCATCACATCGATAGTGAATATTTGCAGATAATTACTTTCAAAAGATGGAGTTAGGCGTAATGTTGAACCCATTGGATCTATTAAGCGCAAAATAAGCGATGGACTCGATGATACAACGTTGATACGGAGTGATGTTGCAGTTCTATCGATCATAAATATGCCACTATGATGATTGGCCATGGATTTGAATAGAATGCACTCGTAGCCGAATGCTTCTTCTAGGCGACGATAAATAAATTCTCGATTTATTGTCCGTTGCGTAATGTCCATATTGATGAAAAGACCACTGATTGAATCTGCAAAATAAGTAAGCTCATTGATTGTTTGATTTTGGGTATCCACGAATAAAACATCAATCTTAGCCTGTTTTAATCGCGCCAAAGCTCTAGTAGACCCTTGTGAATATAATTTATTAGAGGGCGCATCAGTGAAAAAGAATACCATTGATTCAGATTCACAAAATTTAAGTGCCTCGTTCAAAGCATCGTAATAGTGGTCGGATGATTGTTGAAGTTCGTCTTCATTTAATGCGCCAATGGCATCGAGAAAATCACTGATATTTGTTACAACATGTAGAGGTCCCCAATGAGAACCATTGAATGGTGAAACAATGTAATTTGTAGGTTTGTTAGGTAGATCTGTCACTAAGTCGACCAGTTTAGCGGTTACAACTTCGATCATGTCCACTGAGAATTGCAATCGATTGCTATTATCGATTACAAATACGAGACTAAATGCATTCGTAAGACCGAGAAATCTACCAAATGCATTAGTACTTGTCGATGACCAAAGTTCGTTCAGCACTTTGACAGTGGCTTTATATGCAACAGATGCTGCTTCTTGATGTAAATGTCCGTGTGAAAAGTGCAAACCGTCCTTACGAATACCTTCACAATATTTACTGTTATTACCAGGAAAATAGCATAAATATCCATGATGACACTTGCCAGGTGGATTTTTCACTGGATAGAAGTAGGAAAAATAACCACTTGTCAAGTATTTATCGACTATCAAATTATTCCGAACACAGTATTCGTCTGAGCCAAGACAAGTTTTGCAGGTCTTTGTTCTTTTGTCCGCAACAGAACCGAGACGGCGACCAGCAGTTAGATCTTTATTTGGTTCACGCATACCTAATTCAACCCAATTTGAATGACTGTAGAAGTCTTGTATAGAATGAAGCATGAACCCGAAAATCATACGCGCTTGTGTCCATTCGAGCCGTGCTACGCTTGATTGAACTGCTTGTGATAACATCGCCACGAATTTTACGCCATCTTCGAATTCTTCATTATCAAAGTGAGCATGGGGAGCAGGGTCAAAAATCAAATCGGTCATGATATTGGCTAAGGCAATCTCTTGCCGTGCTAGACGAAAAAATATTGGATTAATGTCGAGCTTCTCTAGTTCTCTTGCGATGATCATGTGAAAATCTCTACAGTTACCATCGGTTGTTTGAAATTTTGTCTCTAAGTCATTGTGATCATAAACATGTTGGAAATACGTTATTACTATTCTGTAGAGAGCACATGTGGTGATCACATAGTGATTAGATTCTTTTATGTCGAGTGATGTTGGCTGACCGAGGAATTTTCCACCAGTTTTAAAACACGTTACATTGCTGAGTAACATGTCAATGCCGATAACGGCAATTAGCATGAGTAGATATCTTGATTTCATTCGTTCTTCTTTAAAAGTAAATAAATAATACGTATTACATCAGTCATAAACAAAAAGTTCTATTAAAATTCTGTAGTAAGTACTAATCAATAGCATACACTCAAAAAGGATTTTATCCATCGAGAAAGAGTCAAGACAATACGGTAGAAATTTTCAAAATTATATTTCAATCAATAACACTATATGTATGAAGACTTGATGAATTGCAATAGTAATGAAAATATGGACGCTAACCCTATGGATACAGTAAATGATTTTTAATCTGTTTGAAATTTGATTACTTACCAGCTATATATTTACTGAAAACAACCTTCACCAAATAAATGAATGCATCAGTTTGCTTGTTGAATTGACTTTTTGTTCCAATCTAAAAATTCATAATGATGTCTGGCTCATAGTGTATCATTTTTTTTGTATTTCAACTCTAGTTAAAAGAGTTTCATCTTTCACAAATTTAACTAGCTCTTCAATGATGTTTTTTTTTCATACCAATCAGAGCGAGAACTAGTACAAATACAGCAAGTAAAAGTATTTTACTTGTACTTGAAATTATTTACTTTTACTTTTACTTGTCGTTTCACAAGTATACTTGCTCCTCTACTTGTACTTAGAAAAAAATACTTGCTACTTGTACTTGCCTTTCAAGTAAAGTATTTGGTGCTTATACTTCTACTATAGGAAAAGTACTTGATAGTTCCCAGGTCGAACAGTCTGACCTGGAAACGGCCGGTTCCGGTTAGTTCTGTTGATTTTGTGGAAGCAGTATTCCGGTTGGAAAACTTTCAGATTTTTTTCCGGTGATTTCCGATCAACTCCCGCCGGAAAGTCCGGCCGTATATTTGACCGGAATACTACTTCCATGTTCCAGCGATTTCCCGTGTTTTCCTGCAGGATATGGTGACTTTCCCGCATATTCCCTGGAGTATCCTACGGGATCCGGTGGCTGGAATGTTCGGGTGTGGGTTATACTGAGTGAGTCATAATAAATGGAACATATGAGTACGAAGTACTCTTCCCTAAGTGCAAATGCTTTGGTCCGAGCTTTGATACCAATTTGTTTTCATAAACATATGATCATGATTTCTTCATGTGATAGAAAACGATGTACTATTAAAAACGCGAAGATGTCACTCTTTAAGTAGGCCACTAGATAAAGAAAGTCCTACAGTACTTTTTTAAGTACTCAATATTACAAACAATATAAATAAAAGAATATTTAGAGCTGTTGTCAAAGGAGAAAAACGCATGATTATGAACATTTATCATTCATCTTTGAGTTGAATAATCGAACCTTATCGTATAAACGATATTTTAATCGTTTTGCTTCTACCTCGAAAGAAAGCGAAAAGATGATAGTGAAATAAGAATACACTAAAATTAATACCATGATGAAAATAAAATCCTGATGACCTTAATGCTGTTCGGCAAAATTCAATATGAGAGATAGTCTTTTATGCTTCTTAGTGAGAAACCATATGTCGCCTCCAAAAAACAAAATATCCATTATCTTCACCCACATTGCCAATCATACATTTTTACAATAGAATATGCCTCAAGACGAGGCTGAGATATATCGAATAGAATTCGTACCGTTGCTCCGTAAATCATTCGTTCGTTTTTCTCCATTACACAAACGACGATGCGCAGTAATTTAGTCTCATCAGATTTGTTTTCATACATTTAATGACAATATAACGTTCAAACATTGAGGGTGTGTGTATCATTAAAGAAAATAATTTCTGATTACTAATATGACATAATAGATTCTGCTTGAGCAGTTACAATAAGGCATAAAGTGAGACAGCAGCTCTCTTTAAAAAAAAAGAAACGTTTGCATCGAACAACTTGCGTCATTGGAATCATTTTTTACGATTTTGTTTAATGCATTTTCAGAATCTTGTCGTATGATTAACCCTTTACCGCCGGGTGTTGCCATTTGGCAACATTCAGTTAATATTTTGAGATGGATTGACTTATACAAAGAGTGTATTACGTTTTCACAATATGATAATTACTACGACACAATTTAACACAAATTAATAATTTAAAAGCCAAAAAAAACTTTCACTGAAAAAGGAACCTTACTTATTCGAAATGCCCCAAAAAGGCATCGGAAGATTAAAAATAATTTTCTATCTGTTGTAATAATCACTATGGAAAAACAATTACTGATTCATTTTTGTTAGTAAAGTTGTTCCATATTATGTTACTAAAATTTCTTAGCCGGCGTACTCTAATAATAAAATATAATGATGTTGCCATTTGGCAATAGCCGACCGTAAAGGGACAAAAGTTTCTAAAAAATTTATTTTCGTTTGTAATGATCAAATCAAGGTATTTTACAGCGTTTTCACTTCAGCATATGTATCTTTGAAAAACAACAGCTATTTTTGCACCTATGAGAAGGCATCTTCAATATTTTTATTATGAGATTGTATACGTGCATGTTGCAATCAAAGCGTAAAATATGATGAAAAGTACTGCTATTGAAAAAAACTTCTATTTTTTTGTCGAGAGTTTTTCATTTCTTCATGAGAAAAGAAAAACAATTCAGTTGTTTAGTGTCTTTGCGCTGGAGTCCCTTACTAGTCGGCAACATTTTGTCTGAATAATATGAACATGTTGTTTCTTAACATGTTCAAATAGCCCTGAGAGCGAGTGTGAATAATTGAACGAAATGTACTATTGCTGTTTGTATTATATACTAAAGCCATCCATCGCGCAGTATTATCATTCGTGAAAACGACGTAACAAAAAATAACTTTTTCAAATTTTTGACCCATTATGGCCGGCTGTTGCGAAATGGCAACATACCCCAGGTCGAACTCACCCCATCGGATCCGATGGGATTGCGTCGGAAGTCGTCGGAATCCTTGGTATCAGATTCCGACAGGAAGTTGTCGGGTGTCGAAAAGTGCCGGAATAGCCCGGATCCTGTCGTAACCCCGAAAATCCGACATTTTCCGACACCCGACAACTTCCTGTCAGAATCCGATACCAAGGATTCCGACGATTTCCGACGCATTCCCATCGGATCCGATAAAATCCGATAATTTTCCGCTGGGATCCGACTGTCGGATTGTTCATCCTGGGACAGTTTTTGTAATAAAAAATAATATTTTTGTTTCAAAGGTTATTTTTTCGTTATACTTATGCTGGGCGGCGATTCGACCTATATTTCCTCTATTTTCAAAAACGTTCTACTTTTGTCCTATATTTTAATGAAAATTCCTATTCTTCCTATATTTTAACGAAGCAAGTAGAAAATTTCCAAAAACCTCTTAATTTTGCTATTGCCTTTAGACGAAAAAAACTTTTAATGTGTATAATCATGTGTTTTGGACAAATTCTTGTATTATAGTGACATTTGTTTTAAATAGTATTTTTCCTTTCGCCCATTTAGTGGGCTGATTGAGAAATTGTTTAATACTAAGTACAAAATACAAAATAGTTCAAAAGAAAAAAACATTCACAAAATGATCTCATGTACAATTTTTGGGTTTTTAGCGAGGTTTTAGTTAGATATAAAAGCTGTATATATATGCACCCCTGGAAAAAATAAGTTTCACTCTGTATTTTGAAGATACTGTTACCAAAAGAACATCTTTTTTTTAAAGTAACGACATCTNTTTTTCATGTATCTGGTTTTTCAAAGTTTATGATCTACTTTACTGTTATTTATCGATTTGTGAAAAACTTTTATAATGATCCTCGAATTAGCGACTTATTTCCGTAGAAAAAATTACATAAGGATGTTGGCTACAGTTGAACTGTTTACAACAGGTTCATTAAAACGATTTTCGAGCAGGGCAGTTAGAAAATAGCAAAACAATTCAACAGAAACTATGTATAAAACATCCTATATTTTTGACAACCTTGATCCTCTAAGGATTCCTATATTTTTAAACAAGTGCAATCGGAGGCCAGTACTTATGATACAACAATAAGAAATATGTGGAAAAAGAATTTTTTTGCTATTCGCCTTCTAGAAGCCGGCGGTAAAGGGTTAACATTGCTTTATCTGTGTCAAAAATAAAATACTCTTTTAAATCTCGATTGGAGAAACAGAGATTTAGGTAAAGTATTAGATAAATACAAGATATGAATTGTAATAAAAAAAAGCAATGTAGATCGCTGATATTCTGCTTATATCTTTGATGGGACAATTTTAACGATAATAAATAAATATTCGAGAAAATCGTCTTCAATCAAGATACAATTTGTTTGTACACGAAGAAGCAGGTAACTAGCTATTTTTGAATCCTTGAAGTATTGTTTCCGCCATTTCATCGGTCGTTGCATCAGCATCAATCGAGTGAATATTCTCTACACGACGATATATTGCATCGAGCCGCTCTCGAAATGTATTGTCAGATGCCAGTTGTTGTTCTTCGGGATCCATTGGCTCTTGCGAGTGTCGCTGAGCGATGCGTCCACGCCGCTTGTCCTCGTTCAAATACAAGTAGACAACATAGGAAGGTCGTACAAGATGATTAGGCCAAGGAAGAGGATTTTCAATTGATGCCAAATCAAGATTATCTTGATGAGCAAGTTGATAGGCGATGGTTGATGGCCAATATCGATCAAGAACCCATACAGTTGTATGAGAAGATGATGCAAGTTTATGAGACGCGACTATATTACACAAAGAATAATAACTACGCCTCACATATTCGTTTTGTGCATCGAAATAGGCACGAAACGGACGTATACTATCTGGTAGTGTGGGCAAAAGACTAAAACCGGGATTCTGTGCGAGTTTGTTGGCTAGCGTTGTCTTACCAACTCCATCAAATCCTAGAAGAAATCGATACACATCCTGATCATATGATTCAATAGAATTTATACTATTCACCTTCGAGATTTATACATCGAATGACATGGCAATTATCGATACTAGTATTTCCATCATTCGACAAATTATTCTGAACATTTTCTAATGTCTCCAGAAACTCTTCTCGGTTACAAAATGTCGACGACGATACAATATGATCACGAAGAGTATTCACGACTTCCAATGGTGTTTGATACATTGTCATACTCTTGTAATAAAATTTCTTTCACAAAATATTGTTGCGTCTTCGATAAAGTAAAAGCATGCTATCTCTTCATGACTCTTATGATATGCAGTTCTGATAACATCAAAGGTTCGAGATATAAAAAAAAACAAAGACCAAAAGATGATGCACGTTTTGTTACCTGTTTGTAATCAAGGACAAGGGTGGAATATAAAAGAATAATAGGTTGCGTGTGCATAGAACATATACTCAACAAGCGAACTTTATTTGTTGATGCTACTGAGGATACATCAATCTTGACAACATGATGGTAAAGCAAGGAACATGCAAGCAATTCACAGTAGTCTTTTCTTTATTGTCAACTTTCTTTCTTTTGAATCTTTCTAGATTCTACTTACTAAACAGCAAATCATTTCTCCTGACAAAAACTAAAGAACTATAGAATGTCGAGCGAATTCAATCCTAGTCATATTTCAGGCATTACATTTTATTTCCAAAAAAAAATAAAAATACTTAATGAAACCACTAAAAGAAAAATAAAAGAAAGTACAAATGTTGGATTGATTGGATATTTCATTGATTGATTTTGTCTTTTGCCATGACGTAATGGGCATTCGACCCTATTAATTTTATTGTGAATAAAAATCAAATATAACAAATATTCATTTTCTTTACCTTTTATCTTGTGTGAGAATAGCATGCCGTGCATCTTTCCATTTACTGGGTCCTTCTAAACGATATCGATATGGAGTACAAGGTCCACAAAGTAAAAGCCATCCGAGTGAAAAATCATTTAAAAGATAAGATACTAAGAAAAGAAAAGAAAATTTTGTCATCAGCATAATTTATTTTCTTTTACATATATTTGGTAGACAACCAACTTCATTGGCTAGTTCATTACAATATTCAATATAATCAACTTGTATTGTATGTCGTGGCGATGAAACATATCGTTTAGACATTTTCTCGAAACGTTGATGAATGTCTTCATCCATTTTCAAGCGTGATGGTAATTTTAATTCACGTTTGAATGCACGCACAGCCCAACGTGCTTGCAGTTCTGTCATTGGATTGATCGCGCCCCATGGTTGAATCAAACCCATGACAGCCAGTGTTGGATGAGCTAAGTGGGATGGCCAAACAAATTTGTAAAGTTGAATCTAGAAATAAACTTATGAAATTTTTCTTTTGCTTGCTGTGATTTACCTTATTATCTTTAACAGATAGAATACTTTCATTTAAATAGGGAAATGCAATATTAAAGCCAGTTGCCATAAGAACACAATCGACATGATCGATTTTTGTATTATCTTCGAATAGAACGCTATGACCATCGCTTGAAAATTCTTTTATATTTGGCTTGATGATTACTGAGCCACATAAAATTCGATTGGGTAAATCATCATTAATAAATGGATGTTGTTCTATATGAGAATAGTTAGACTAGAAAAAGATAAGATGATAAATAATAAAAAAATCACATACGTAAAGGAAGATGATCAGGTTTGAGACTGTATAATTCATGATTGAACTTTTTACTTAACTCACGTTCAATCAATCGATTCATTAACCATGGAAAGTATTTCTGAATTGTTGCTAGCATTAAATTAGTTCGATACATATCTGTTGGCCATCCATTTGGCCCAACTCGATTATAAACCCATGTACCACGACGTGTACTTAAATACACCTATGTTTTTGTTCTTAATAATAAATATAAGCAATGAAAAATCGTATCAATATACATACTTGTTTAGCAGCACGCCCTAATTCGACAGCCATATCACCAGCTGAACTTCCAATGCCAACGATAAGAACTGTTTTATCTTCGAAACCATGAGGTGTCTTATACTGCCAACTATGTAGTTTGCCACCTAAATTCGATTATGTGTGAAAAAGTTTTCAAAATTTATGTAAAATAAAAAATTTTGCCTTGAAACTTATCAAAGCCTGGAAATGTCGCCCATCTTGGAAATGCATGATGTCCTGTCGCTAACATAACTGCATCGAATCTTTCGCAAAGTTCATTGTTACGTATTTTTTCTTCGTCCGTTTCATTGACATCAACACTATAGATTAACCAACATCCTGTTTGTTCATAATCGTCCGTTGGTTCAATTCGAGTTACACGCCGTCGAAATCGAAAACATTTTAGAAGATCAAATTTCGATGCATACATTCGAAAATATGACAATAATTTAGAATTATGCATATAATTTGGATAATCAGCAGGCGGTGGAAAATCGCTGAAAGCCATAAATTCTTTTGATGTATTGACTTCAGTAGATTTCATCACACTTGCTTTTCCATCAACAGCATTTTCATCGTAGTTCCATAATCCACCGATATCTTTTGTCATTTCATAGCATGTTGGTAACAAATCGCCATCCAGACAACATTTAGTTGATATTAGACCACTAACGCCACCTCCAATAACGGCTACAGTTCGCATTCTGAAACATTCGAATATATTGATAAGAAGATGTTGTAAATTTTAAGTATCGACCTATCAAAATTTATGCTTTTTTTATTATTATTTACAAGAGCGAAGTATCCATAGAAAACATCAAATTTAGATTTGGTATTGAATAAAATGATTTCATACAACGTAAAGTGTACTAGAGATCTCTGGAATAATATTGATTGAATTCGAAACAAAAATTTAAAAACGATGATTGAAAAATTCAATTGTAAAGTAACTCGATTTAAATTATTATCGCCGAAGCTCATAAATGCGAGTACTTACGAATGTATCTGTCAATTGATCTATTAGTTCTAGTGGGAAAAAAAGATAGCGGTTTGGTCTTGACATACGTATTTTTATCTGTGTGAAGTAAACTAAAGTGATAGCCATTTTACTGATGAATTCATCCTATTCCATCCAGATATTTATAGATAGCAGTCAGTTAACTTATCTCGTTATGTATGACTCGTCAAAAAAAAAATTCTAATCGTAAGTGGCAAGAATACTACGTTTTGTGATGAGTCACACAAGTATGATGAATCACAATAACCTTCATGTAATAGTGGGATGTCACTTTGTGAACAATTTTGATTTGATATTTCATACGAACTATAATTGAACGAATTGAGAGGTAATACATGCTACACTGCATTGACCTAGTTGAAATTTTCGTGTTGAAATTACAATCAATTTTGAGCAGCGAATACCTATCTGGATGATAGTTTCCATGTATATTAATCTTTCGAGACATTTTTAGCAGCATGAGATGCCTATAGTTCAACTTCGAATATAAATGACGACCTGAATAAATGTTTACAGTGAGAAAATAAATGGAAAAAACGGCTTCCATGCCGAAAGAACCCACAGAGAAAAAGAAAAACTTTTGTTAACGGCACAACTCAACTGAAAAGCAGAAATAGAAATAGTTTTAAAATTTATAAGTTTGACTAAACACCATGTGAGTGATTACGTCGAATCATTTTTTCGATGATCGCACTCAAAGATAATTTGGCTTTTGTGGTACTCACGTATATTTTCGAAGAAAAAAAAATGAGTGCAAGTTTTATATCGAGGTATTACGGCTCGCACAGGCTCTAACAACGAGATGGCGTGAAATCAAAATTTTTTTGATATATTAATTTTCTTAGCAACCAGAGAGACTGGGACAACGCTAGAGATGATTGGGTTGGGTTTTCCTAACAGCTTCAATGATGAAAGTATTTCAATGATCGTAGTACTTGATGTAGAATATAGAATAAAAAAATGTCACAAAAAGAAAACTTTTAATTATACATTTAGTTTTCGATAGGTTTATTTTAACTTGTTGTATTCACCTGTGAGATAGTTGAAATAATACATATGAAATAAAGTAACTTATTCAATGTACTGGTTACAACAACAGTTGAAATTTACACATTTGACTTATTAGAAAGCCAATTTGAAATAAAAATTTAATGTGAAACGATATGAAATATAACACTATATGACCAAAATGTATTATTTATCATAGTATCATTAGAGTATATTAACGGATTAGTTTAAATTTTCTATTAATAATAATTACACATATATGAATAGTGTGTTGGTACATGTGTGAAAGATTATGAGACATGCTAATTAATTGGTATAATAGTAAGAGAGAAAAAAATGTTTCTCGAAAAGTTGATAAAAAACAACATTTAAGCAATTTGCAGAACAGTGTGACAAACGATATGTTGAAAATGTTTTATGAGACAGATCTCTCAAATCATTTTAATTCGTTGTGAAATTTTCATTTATAAATAATTTGTATTATGGGTTTGAAGTATATAAAAGTATTTTGTTTGTAGAAAATCTACTTTGAAATATCTTTTTAACGTTTTTAGTACTAAGCTCTGTTCTTTGGGAAAGATCGTTCCAAAATGACGATTTTGAAAGGAAACTATATTTTTTTAATTCAAAATAATGAAACGAAAAAGCTGAGCGCATTTTCTCTATAATAATATGTAGAATAGGTATAAAATATCCATATATATCAAATTTGAAACTTCAACTTTCAACCCGACAGCGCTGAAGAATCGTGACTTACACATCCTCGCTGTCACTTAGAAACTTGAAAGTTGAAAATTTCAATTCCAATTGAATTCAAGCTTCAAGTTTGACACTACTGATAAATGAAGAACATATTACTAATGTATCAGCACATATAATTGTAGAAATCAGACTCGATCAAAGTACTAGAATAATTTCAGAATTCATTTATGAAAAAATTGATTCATTTGACAATGATACAAAAAGATTCAATTAATCTAAAAAAATTTATATAAAAAAAATGTTGATATCACTCAGAAAATGACTAAACATTCAAATACTAACACATTTATAATAAAATACAATTAAAAAATATCAACTGTATAACCCAAAAATCGAGTTCATTACATTTTCGAGATTCATTATTTTGTTGTTTTCTGTCGTTTATTTTTTATTTATTAATTCATCTTTTTGTGTACTCAAAAAGTGAGTACGCTCTAGAATCGGTCAGTGTGTCCGGCCGTTGGCACGATAACTTTCGAAAGAAGAGTCCGACCGTGATGAAATTTTCCACACAGTTCAATCTCATGAATATCTCGGTCGATTTCGAAGATGAGAAGAATCCCTCAAGAAATGGTTGAGTTATCGAAAAAATTGTCATTTTTGACCAGGCCATCCCTGAGGAGGAGTACAGGGATTTTTTTCAGAAAACAAATCTTTTTCAGAATTATTCACAACATATATAAATCGACTCAGTTTTTAGCGCTGATTCCGAATCTGATATTAGTTTTGAACTAAACCGTAGGTTTCTGATGAAACATCGCCTGAAAAACGTCTTAAAATGCACAAAAACTGCATCCAGAAATCAAATTGCCTAGTTTCTCATGATAATTTTGGTGTTCAGACATTCTAGAATGACTCATATGTCCCATGCACTTTTTGCAGTACACATAACTCTCGGATGAAATCCGAAGTTTCCACATTTATTTAAAATATATAATTAAATATTGTAACAGAAATTACTAATGAAGAGATATTTAATACAATAAATATGTAAGCTTTAAAAATAATAATAAGTAAAAAACATACAAGAACTAATCATCTTTATGCACAGAATCTTTATTTTCTCTGTTATTTTTTTTTATAAACTTATAAATACAAGCTGAAGGATAAATTAGTAAGTAGCATGTTTTAAGTAACCAAAAATATACTGAATCTGAAAGGTAACATAGAGGTTATTTGTTGTTGCAGACAAAAATGTTTGGTCTAGTAAAAGTTTGTTTTATGTATATATGATATGAAGATTAGTATTACGTGTATTTATTACAAATAAATTTATATACAAATATAAACATTTGTTAAATAAAAAGCAGTACCTGTAGTTCAATATTACTAAGCGATGGAAAACGTTCAACAAATTTCAAAGCAATATTCGACGAAAAGTAAGCGCCATTCGCTAATTACATTTGGACATGCTCTAAAACGAAAGAAAAAAAATATACTGATTGCATTCATGAATGATAACAATAATTCTGAATTTTCATATTAATGATCTATAGAGAAACGTTTCTCTGAAGTATTAACTTTGCTCACTTTAGAATGAATTGAATATCTTTCCATCGATACATGTTAAACGTTGATCCGAATTCGATTTGAATAACACTGGGCAAATGAACAAATTGTGAGAGAATATTAATATTTTCCTGTGCATCATCATCAGTAACAGTTCTATGACGAGCGTTAACTAAAAGAATAATATATTGAAAATAGTTCAATCGAATTTATCTATATATTATTCTTACTAATACTGGGGAAAAAATCCCAAATTGAATAGCATATTATTGGCATTTCAATAATGAGATAATCGATTTGTTGAAATAATGTAGAAAACCAAGTTACTTCTGGTTTTGTCTTTGTCATACGTATTCTGCATGGAGGCATATCTACATCTGTGTTTTGGATAATTCAATGTACGTAACATGATAAATTCTTCTACAAAAAAAAGGTTGTATCAGTAACAAGAAACAAAATATATTTTTTTAATGAAGTGTAAACTTTTCCTTCCATAAAATATGATTCGTTAAATCAATCAGAACTCAGTTGCGCCTTCTTCTTTCATTAAAACCTTACTTGAAAAAAGAGAAAGTTCAGCAGTATCATGAACTCACACTCAATTAATTTTTTTCTCTTGTGTTAAATCAATTTTACTTGCCTCTAGATCGATCATTAAATAACCATCTATCAATAATCATATGCCAATTAGAATATTTTCTGGCAGAATATTCAAATGAATTCACAACTATATCCAAGTATAACTTTGGACGCCTTTTCGCTATTGACGTATGAAATTCACGTGTCGATAAATGTGGAACATGAGATTCTAACATTTGTTTCCACACAGACTCGTCGAGTAGTTCACCAGGAAATGGCACGAGTATCACATACAGCAGAAATTGTTAAATCGAATGACATCAATTTTGGTAATATCGGTAAATCATTATAATTCATAGATGGTATTTGAACATAAGCACGAAAACAAAAAATGAAACATTTGATCTTGAATCTTAGTTTTTTTTTCAAGATCTTTCATCTAACACATTCATTCACCAATTGACAACTTACTTAACTTTCCTATCTGCAACTGCATCATTATGTTCTACTTTTATGCATAGATCGCGTACTGTGGAACAAAAACGAAGAATTGGTAAAATTTAATAAACAGATACTTTTCGAGGAGAACCAGAAATAAGTAGATTAAGCGATGTAAGATTCGAAGTTATTGGTGTATAATTTGATAAATGTGAGTAATCATAAGGATATTGTAGTAAAATTGAACGAAGAGAAGATGATCTGTGCATTAGTATAGATCGAGTGAGATTCAACGTATTTTTTTTATTTAGACATTTATAACTTGGCTGATAAATACCAAATGCGACAAGTCTACTCATATATTGTATTTGTTCAATAACATTTTTAAGTTTTGTTGATGGATTAACTGAAATAAGTATGCATGACTGAAGATTAATAAACTTGTTTCGACTAAATAATCAACTAATAATTGAAGAATGATCACGAATTGTATCAGGAATTTCTAATGACATAACTTGATGACTATGAAGAGTAAGATGAGAAGAAAGAAACTCAATTTGACGAAGACAATAATCCTCTAGAATAATAATACGAAGTGGAATTGATTGTAAACTTGATGAAATTCGTCGATCCAATGAAGTAAATGCAGTGAAAATTTCAAGACCATCCAAATAATCAAATATTTCGAAGAAAACATCATTTGATAAATCTTCAAAATTGGTACGTTCATCCATTTGTAAACGTAATACATGATACACACGTAATTCAATTGAACCTGGAAAAAGAATATTGTTAATGACAAAATGATTGAAAGACAATTCATTATATACGTATAGTACACAACAGAGGTGTTCACAGGGCAGGACACAGGGCGAATATTTTAAAAACTGATCTGCCCTGTACAGGGCAGGGCGATAGCTGCGTGCCCTGCAAATTTCGCATTTTTACTTTAGTTTGGAAATAACAGCGATTTCATTTTTCGCGAAAAGTTAAAACAACCCACGAGAAATTCAGATAGCAATATCACATTTAAATAAGATATTTTGTTATACGATAGTCTTTAAGTTGCACGATACTATATAAGTATAAGTCCAATCAAAATAGCAAAAAAGGAAAGAACATTAGTTTAGTAGCCCTCATTGAAATAATATTGTACCAGTGCGATCACCTTCGAATTGTTGGCGCGATAATTTTCTTATGATCGCTTCTATTGGTGAAAATGAGGCATCCATTTTATCTGAGTCAAATATCTCTGTTAGTTGTCAAGCTTCATCATGTAACTATAGCTATTCATTTAAAACCCCTTTTAAAAAGAGAAAGACAACTTTTATATTTAAAAAATTGAATCAACATAAACTTCAGCCTTGTAAAAGAAATCATTTGCTCACTCAGCTTTTCTAAATAAAAAAATATTAATTTGAACGAATCCCATATCATATCAGCTGCTTCAAATGTTATCATAAATTAGCTTATAGAGTCACGAGTGAAACTAAGCGTTTTCTTTCATACGCAGATTAATGATTTCTTCTAGTGTCAGCATGTTCTTCTGTTGTTGGCATAGACGATTCTCGGTTGATTCAAATAAAAAGTGTAAAATCTGAGCAGGTGGATGAGGTTCTGTTCATTAGATTAATTGAAAACTAATTAAAAGGAAATATCTACAATTTCTTTTTCATTTTCGTGTATATTATTATTTGTAAGTCAAAATCTTTTTTGCGAGCTACTTATCAATAAAAGTCAGTAATGCAGCTTAAATATTAACTTGAAAATTCTTCTTTTTTTGCAGGGCAGGGGAGGAAATGAAAAATAAAATCGACCGTCGGTCTATTTTTACACTAGAAAAAAACATAAAAACAGACAATATGTCAACGATGTCAATTAGCCCAATTATTTTCTAAGATCGTACATTCTATTCGTCTTCTAAGCTCACAATGAAATAGGCCGTAAACACACTACGAAAAGTAGTGCCGAACCAGACCTTGTCTACGTTATAGAATTAATTCATTATCAACTTTTAGTTAGTCAAAACGAGTTGGACTTTGATGGGTGTCACTTTTTGAACAAGTTGTATTTGACATTTCATTCAAAGTAATGAAACGAATGCCTTGCAGTGATGAGTCATAGTCGTCCCATGTGGTGTTAACAAAACAATGTATGCCAACCTAGGTTGGCTGATTGGTCAAGATTATCTTTTATTTCTACTTAGAGAAATTTCTTTTTCTGATTTCAGCCAGACTTTGAAGAGTTTTTTTTTATGAAAAACAATAAAAATCAATCATTTATTTTGCTATACTGGATATTTGCATTTGAACTACTCTAAAAATTGTGAAAGTGACATAAATTAACGAAATTGTACTGTTGCCAATTATATTTCTAATTTAGTATTAAAATAAGATTCATTCTTTTCTCATATGAGCACATGATAATTTTCAAGAGAATATTTCGTTGAGATTGTGACTAATTGGCAGTGCCATAAACGAATCTTAATTTATTATGATATGTTTCATCAGCTATGAAACATCTACAAAGAAGTTTATTTCTATTGATTCCTAGTCAATGCACATCTTTTGAATGATATTATTTTAAACAAAAACTTCGTTGTTAAGGAAACCAATTATTCAAGCAATAATATAAATCGATATCAGTTCTTTTCAGCATGCTACTAGCATATAGCTCCTCTTAGTTGCTAATTGAATAAAATACAGTTTGACCCATTAATTTCTTATTCTAGCCTCTCTATGGATTTTTAATGTCATGGAGTCATAAATAGCAGTAAAATGTTACTGCTCAGACAAATTACATCAAAAAATAAAGAATTAAAATTTTCTCGGAAGTTACGTAGAAATAGTACATTTCATTTAACTATTTTTGTATAATATAGGATTGAAATTATCATCATTGAAAACGGATACACCTATTTTTAATTCCTTCATTCGCTCGTCTGTTATTACATTTTGTTTCCCATTGAAAGTCATATTATCCGGCATCCTAAATAATAATAAAAAAGAAATCTTTAGGATACTACAAGTAATTAAATTAATCTTCTCCAAAACTTTCCTACATTTGAATGGTCATCGCAGCTCGTCTACTTGGTGTCATGTTGGCACCAGCACCATGAATTAAATGACCGCTATGAAATGAGGCACTGCCAGCTTTCATTGGTACGGCTATTGTTGGTGATTGTTTTAGTTCGGGATAAGTAGTGAATACGTCAGAGAGATTTTTACCAATCTTGATTTCTGCAAGTTCATTATTTTCTTCATAATAACGACTTTCAGTAACCTAAAACGTTCTAATTTTAACATCATCATGAACGATCTTATGTTCTTAAAACTGAACGGTAATGTTAGATAAAACGAAACACAGTTCTATCTACCGAGAAGATTTTCTAATATTTTAAAGAACTATTTGGATCCACTGATGATCAGTCTTACTTTATGTGATCCAGGCATAAAATACATGCATCCATTTTCTAATGTTGCATCGTCTAATGCTATCCAAACACTTATTGCATGTAAAGAAGTAAACGACCAATATGAAACATCAAGATGCCTTCAACACAGAAAATAAAATAAAAAGCAAACGAAACATATGCATTTTACCATGCGGTAGGGTTTGCAAATGGCTCTTTAATTAAAGCTTGATCATGCCATATTCTAACACAATCGATACCTTCTAATTCCGCAGCTATTTTTCCGATTACTGATCCACTCTCTAATAATAATTGTTTGACAGAATTATGTGATTGCCATAAATTAATACGCTGTGTGAAGACATTATTATAATACTCGAAATCAACGTTAGTGCTATCACCTTGACCCGCTGTAGGAAATTTATACTTAGCGTCTGCTCGATCGTTTACAGCACTAAATATAATCGTTCGCCATTGTTCAAGTTGACTAGGCGAAAGAAGATTCGGCACAACAAAATAACCATTTTCACGATACGATTTAATATCGTCCTCAGTAATTGTAACTGAATTCGTGACAGGAAGAGTAAGTGGTGGTGCTGGTGTGACCGTAAGTGACGACGACATTAAAACTATTACTGAAACTGTGTTGGTTGTGATCTAAAAGCAGTTTTTCAAATGTGCTAAGGAACTGCAATCTAAAAATAAATAATTCTTAATCAGTACTATCTAGTTGCAGCTAGTTTAAAAGGTATTGTATCAATTTTGCGAACAGTTCTCTATAAAGTAAATCTACATCAGATGACTTTGTATGTCTATCTATCTGAGAATATAATCACATAGAGATAGAAGAAGAAAAACAGAGCGCAGCCATTGTCAACATAAAAATAGATAGTTATATCTAAAGATAAAAGAAAAGTTCTTGAATAAAAACGAGTTGACCACTCCTGGATTCTATCTTTGTGAAGAGCCAATTGTGTTTAAGAGGAATTTTCATTTAAATTTTAACCATATTTTTAGCTGTGGGTGAAGTGACGGCATAATCCTGTTACACCGAGTAATAGCTATTTTCCACACAAACCTACAAAATATTCATCGGAGCTCCCCAAACATTTGGTGTATTACCCCTAAACGAATTCGATGGGCATTGTGACGTCGTAATCTCGAGACGCTGTGGAACGATATTATAACATGTATGTTTTAAATGATCGACAGATTAATGAAACATTGCATAGATATCGAAATATACAAAAGAGAATTTCATTACGAATAATGACAAATCAGAGAGCATCTCGTGTTTCATTAAATGATGCCAAGTTGATTGGATCTCAATTAGTTTGTAGAAAATCAAACTTTACGTAACATATACAAAATTCAACTTGAGGTTTTTTATTTTCGATAAATAATGACAAGCATATTTCCAAAATGCAGGTCTTATGAGCTCGTAATTTGCTATCTTATTCTGGCACGAGGATCTCTATTCATTTGATTTATGGATGGGCAAATGTTATTATTTCTCATTTACCATAAAGAAATAAGAGTAGAATGGCTGAAAACTTCTATAAAGAAAATGACGAAGCATTGCGTATTCATGAGAGAACTTAAACTATTTAATGAAGTTCGAAACAGTATTTAGCAGAGTGTCGAATCGATTGTTGAGATCCAACGAATACGCATAAAGCTCAACGTTCTTAATAGAAATCTAAAATACGATGTATGTATACACTCTGTTTTCCCGTGTAGCGTGTAACTGTACATGTTGTTTTGGATATCAAAATATACAAGTTAAAATGTTGATTTCTATAGATAAAAATACTTGTATTAAAAAGTCACTTTTATTTTATTTCCCATGTTGATGAGCGCATGAAAACTTTAAATTTACAAAATGTAGACCGTTTTGAAAATACAAGGACCCAGGTGAATCAATCCGATACCGAATCCCATCGGATTCTATGGGGTCCTACCATCCGACGAAATCCCGTTGGATTCCTGGTTGAGGAATCAATGTCGGATCCGACAGTCGTATTTCCAATGATATCCGATTGACGGTTACTGTCGGATTTTATTAGTTTCCGATATTAGGATCCAATATCGATTTCGGAACCAGGAATCCGACGATAATCTGATAGTTTCCTTGCGCCTTCCGAAGAGCTCCGTCGGATTCCAATAGGAACCGATCGGAACTCATCGGATCCTAGGCTAGGATTCATTCTCCTGGGGACAAAAACAAGATCTCACTCGATGTCAGATATTAACTGACACTTTCATCAAACATTATTTATTCGCACTAATAGATGTGTGAATACCTGAACAAGAATATTGCAAAAGATATCCTAATAATCCATGCATAGACACAGTTCAGATAATAATATTCATTCAGTTATACAATAAATTAATATAAAAAAACACTTTTTCTTATTTTTTGATGATCTGTATGAAAAAAGCACGAACAAAAAAACGCAGATTTTCAGCACTTGAAAATTTAAAATTTAAACTAAAGTATATTTATTCTAAGATGAACTCTTGTTTATCGTTTTCGAAAAATTATTTCATTGATAATTCATGTTTTTGATATCAGACTCAAGGGGGAAACAGCGGACTTGAAGTACAAAAGTACGCCAACGTACACTACTTGAAGTAGCTAAAAGTATCACTCAAGTAGCACAAAGTTAGAACAAGTAACTTCAGATAACTTCAAGTAAATGTGAAATTGAAAAGTAGGTGAAAGTAAATTACTTGAAATAGCTTAAAGTAGTTCAAAGTAACTTCAAGTCCAAAAGTCCGCCGTTTACCCTTGATCAGACTACAAAAGTGAAACAATATACTAAGTTATGCGAACATGGACGATATATAGCTCCTCTATCTATTTTTCTATTGGGTCAGCAGCAGTGGCCCTGTTCTAAAATTCTAGAATTTTAGAATAAGGCCACGTCTCATTGTTGTTAGTCACTGTATCCACCAATAGAGCTTGATACTCTTTGTTTCACTGTCTGTATGAGATAAATAATAGCAACAATGCATAGGCATTAAACTTTGTTTTTTCCTTTGTGCAGAATTGTTGCACATTGTTCTCATTTAAAATATAAACATAAATTTATCTATAAATATACTGGTTGATTATTCTATGTTATTCATTCTTTAAGATTTATATTTTCATCTGATCTTCATTTCAAAAACTGGTGAGTAAATAAGATACTTCAGTCATTTTATTTTGAATTTCAAAATATGATTCCTACGACGAAAATTAATAAAGGCTGACATAGCTTCTTTCTCATTGAAACCCTTATCAATTCAAATTTCAGAATAAGATAGGAAATAATGTATATGAAAACTCACAAATCTGTTTCTTCTCTAATTCGAAAGTACTGTACTCATCCAACAAGATAATAAACAATTCAATATTCTCTAGAATGAATACAAACAGAATCAAGTAATATTACGTTAGGTGAGAACAGATCAGAGACCGTCACAGGGCAGGGCGAAAAAATAGAAAGTTGCCCTGCGCCCTGATAATTTTTCCTATAAACTGATATACAGCAGATTTTTCAGTCGATTATGCTGACATGGTGATGTAAAAATTTAATTACAAAGAATTGAAAAACTAAAAGGATTTAAATCTAGAAAAATTTAATTACAAAGAATTGAAAAACTAAAAGGATTTAAATCTAGAAAAATTTTAAAAAAAGAAAAACTATGTATTCTACTACTTATAGTAAAATGACTTATGAAAGAAAATGTGACGAGCACTGCTATTTATACTGATTTTCTGTGACTATATTTTATTGTTAGAGTGTAGCCAATTACAAATAAGGAGGAATAATTTATAATTGACCATTTATACCTACAAGAGATGGTAGGATGCGATCACTAGGACGCAGTTACGTTGATCTGCATCACAGTACGCGTAATTTCTTATAGAAATCTCCGCTACGATCAATGCGCCATAGTTACTCGTAACTGCGACGCAAAATTGGCTCTGCGCGTGGCTGCGGCACAGTTGATAAAAAAGAGACGACATGGGGGTTAACTTCTGTTATGACACGTCTATAAGCTGTGTCATAAGATGAAAGGTATCACCCAAATATCTTGAGGATGTGTATAGTAAACAGAGACGTGCACAGGATATAATTTTTTCTCCTGCTTTTGCCTGTCCTGTTACCTACCTTGGTTCTGGTGGGCGGCAGGACAGGAGAGGGTGTGGGTGTGGGGTGTGTAGAGGTGGATGTGTGAGGTGATGCTTCTCTTCACTCACACTCACACCCTAAAAATGGAAAGAAAAACAAAAACGTATGACGAAAAAGCAGTAGGTCTCATTAAGTTTTGAGTCTCGATACATCTATAACAAAGGTTGAAGAGGAGCTGGCCATGCAATTTTGGCAGAGCAAAATTTGCTATATCAAACGAAATATTATTCAAAAAGGTTCTGATAGCTTACTACAAAAAACATAACTAAATACTAACTTAACCAATTTTCTATAAAAAAAAGTCGTTTCATTGAACTGTTGAGGGCGCATTGTTTTTTATTTTGCCATAACTGACGACCTGTAGATCCTTACATGTTAAGGGCGTATTCAATGCGTACTTCATAACATTTTAGCAGTGACCTAGAGTAAGCTAAATATTTGGATTTGTAGGTTTTTTTATCTTGCTCTTTCATTTCCTATCACAAAGTATAGCGTCTAAAATTTTTGGAAGTGCGATCCTGTGAAAAAATATTCGATTTTCTCACGGAGCGTCTCTGAATTCGCACTATTAAAATTCAGTATTTAGCGGGTGACTAAGGATGTGGGGATGTGGGTGTGAGTGTGTGTGAATCGCCAAACAAAACACCTATAGGGCACCCACACCAGCACCAACTCACGCCCATACACCAACACCCACACCAGAGACCGTCACAGGGCAGGGCAAAAGTTTTTGCCCTGCGCCCTGATAATTTTTCCTATAAACTGATATACAGCATATTTTTCAGTAGATTATGCTGACATGGTGATGGATTATAATGTATGTCATTATGCGCCAGTCACTGTGAAATTTGTTACTATGTCTAGTTCGGACAATACCAGTTTACTCATTTATTATCATATAATTCAATTATAAAAATAAAATACTGCTTCTAAGAGAAATGCAAAACATGGTAGAATCATTTAATATTGTATAAGAGAACGAGCTAATTTAAGAATTATGTGTATGATGAGCTTTTTTTCTAAATGATTTCAGACATGAGCTTAGTGTTCCAGAGGAAATTTCACTTAAAGATTCAACATGTTCTAATGGTAAATTTCTTCGCATGTTTTAGTTTTGTATGCTTAGTTCTCTATGTTTTAAATTATTTTCACTTGATATGAACTCGCCCGGTTCTACAAAATTAGAAAATCTCTTGTTTCATGATAAATCTTACCACCCCATAATACACAATGAATCTCTTGCTACTGGTTCATTTTGAAGAGTCTTTATTTATCCAGCACGATGAGTTGATGAGAATAAATGTGAAAGATTTACTCGATTTCTCACTTATTCAAACTATATACATATTCAATTCACCAGATCACGATAAGCGCATTATTTTTGCAGTGAACCGATTTTTGTGATAATCTTAATCGCTGTTTGCTACTCATATTTAATTATGTTTTAAGCGCATATCTATATTTTCTCGAATATAGATAAATAAAATATGAGTACTTTACTTTTCAACGGTCACAACACTTTCATTTAGTCTTTACCTTTTTCAATATTTCAGTTCAATTTATAATCATGCCCTGACCTGCCCTGTGACGGTCTCTGGAACAGATCTTTGATTCAACTCGAAATTTCCCAATACAGTTAGAATAAATGTAAAAATATGATTAATATAACACAGAATGTTCTTTTGTTGTTAAATGCAATACGTGACTGTTACTTTAGTTTTTTTTCTCTTAGATAAAACGATACTAACTCGAAAACATCGTCAGTTTTATTCTTTTACGTCGACTTAGTGTTTATTTAATCTTGTCGAACTAGATTATACAACTATATAGAACATCGTTCGTGCTGGCAAAATTACTAAACAACTTCATTAATTCAATTGATCTACAAGCTACTAATTTCGGTAAAAAGGGTTTGATATTTTTTTCTGAAGAATTTAAATATTTTCAGAATGTCAAATTTGAGAAAAAAAGAAAATCTACATTTTTATCAAGAATATGATAGTGATAAACAGTAGGATACCCTACAGTTCATTAGACTTTGATGTGCCACAATTAGAGGTGTCAGCCGCAGGGTTGAACGGCGGCGGCAGGTAACAATTTTTGAAGACTTCCAGTGGCTCGTTATTTGAATGAGTAATGTCTTCAGCGGTGGCTGCTACAAATTTTTAAAATTTTTTTCACAGCGGCGGCTCAGTTAAAAATTTACTGATGAAAATTAAAAGAAAAATGTTCGATTCAATCACATATGTATTGATGTCAGCGACGGCGAATAACGCTATCAAAAGTTTTTTATCTCTTGCAGCGGCGGCTGATATTATAGAAAAATCGGCTGCTGCGGCGGCTCAGCCGTACGGCTGACACTTCTAGCCACAATAGTTTTGTTTAATGTTATATATGTAAAAGCATAGAATTGAACATAAATTCGATCATGATCGAACAATCAGAGATATCAGAGAACAGATTACAAAAGTTGAAATCAAGAAGTAACTGAATAGGCGGAGAGGCAAATGAACATTTATTTTCATGGCAGTCGATATTTTTAGTTTAATCTATTTTTTCATGACGTATTGGGCAGGATTATTTTCGTGTTAAAATCCAACCAAGAGTCTTTCCAGATCAATTGAGACCGATAGAAAAGATTCCTTCGAAACTCAAAAGAGACAAGACAGGTTTTTTCATTCATTTCTAATGTTAACATTCGAAGTACAAAAATTCGATATTTGAGTAATTATTTTTTGTTGATCTATTCAATACGGTTAAATTAAAATCGATGAAATTAGTAAAAATATCTTTATCGTCGTTTTTTCGAAATGGACATTTTTTTATACTGATAGCCTGAGATACTTTCTCGAGATGATTGAATTTATTATAAACAACTGAATCTATTTTATCAAATTTGAAGTACGTTTTGAAAAGTTCAATTTTTAAATGCATCCGGTTTTTACTATGAAGAAGAATTGTTTAGAAGAAAATGTTAACCGAAAAGCCTGAATTCTTTTTTCGTTGATAGATTTTCGAAGAAACAAATAATAACAAATAAATTCCTTCTAATTCTAGGAAGAATTGAACAAATACGTAACGAGTAAGACATTCAAGACATATCAGTGCGTTAGAATTAGTTCATATCACTTTTGATAACTGAATACGTTTTTTTGCCTATTACATTTCACAAATCTTGACTTTTTTGAGGCTATATCAACGTGCATCTAGTTTATTTTTATCTACGAAGACATTCGTCAATAAACTACAATTTATATGGATATGAATAAAAGAAAATTTCAAGAGACATTCAATTCAACAGAATATAATGTTGACAACGAAGCAAAACGAATCACTCATCAAGGTTCTGCGTCACTTTTAACATTACCCATTGAGCTTGTTCATATGATTTTCGATAAGCTGGATGATTTTACAATTATATGTTCACTTTGTCAAGTGTGTACACGATTGAATATGATCCTGGACGCTTATCCTCGATATCAGGTAAGTCGTAGCATTTTCAACAGTTGAGATATCTTTTCATTTAAAGAACGAACTAAATTCATGGTTGCTTTCATAATAGTAATAGTTAGTTCGTTAATAATATTTTATCGCCATGCAAAGAAAAGAATCATGAGACAATGTTAGATATTTCACGAGGTTTCATATGGTTAATTGTATTTTCTTAAATAAATCGAAGATTTTTGAAACAAACTTTACTCTTCTTAAGATATAAACAGGAAAGAAACATTCAGATGAATTCATCTGAAAATCACAGAACGCATCGTGTAGATTTTAATCAATTTTATACTTACGTATTGAATATTGACAATCGAGACATTTACAGAAAAAATTACACTGTAAAACTATAGTAAATCCGATTTTATAAATTGAGGCACAGCATCTACCATGTGTAAACGGTGATTTACGCTTGAAGAAACTCGGATTTCCATTGAAATATAAGAATGACTAGGTTATTGTTGCCAACTTCTTCTGTTGAATTTTCGAATATTATTCAAATGACTTAATTGACTGTCAAAAGGGTCTTTGGCGAAATAGAGCTTGAGGCAGTTCATAACATTTCCTCCAGAAGGGAACCATACCTGAAACGTTCAGCTTATCATCGGTACAACACAGTCGCTCGCGAGCAATTCTTGAAGCATAACACCTCTATACTGAAACTATAAACAGTGAAATTTCTATATTTCTTACAAGCCATTAGCAAGGAAGTTGTATTTTAAAGCTCATAACTTGAGAAGGTCAACTTCAGTTTCATTCTAAAATATCGAACATTTTTTATACAATACAAATCGTTCCATTGTCAGTACCAATTAACAAACAGAAATGTTTTCACTCTTTTATTCATTTGCCAGCAATCGAAAACCACATATATTATTTTAAATAGAAACTCACCACTATGTGGTGGTGGGGGGGGGGGGGGGGTTTGGGCCCCCCCGCCCCCCCCCCCCCCCCCCTATGGTTCCAGAGACTACGACATAAGACACGCCATTAATACACTGCGAAATGGCCCGGTAAGCCTGATCTTATCTTAATCTCTCGCGCATGTTTATCTACATTTTTTTTCACACAGACACTCACCGTAGGCCATATCAATAGACGAAAAATCAGCTCTACACAAGTAGAAGAATTAACAGATGCATTAAAAACAAACACCGTAAGAATCCTGAATTCTTAATCTATATTCTATCACAGTCTACATTGCTATTCATAGACAATAACCAAATGTATTGTGAATGGGTATTATATCGGAGACTACGGCGCAAAACTTTTTGCTGATACATTAAGAAATAACAAGGTAAGCCAGATTCGCTTTCTCATACCGTCGTTTGAAATTTTCCACATAGACACTCATCACTCTTGATCTGTTCCGTACTACAATCACATGTATAGGAACAGAACATCTGACCTTAGCATTGCTCAATAATACGGTAGGCTTTATTACATAGGCGTCTGCCGTACATAATTTTCTGCGTTTATTTACACAGACACTCACCACATTGGATTTAGGACATAATGGTATTCATGAGCTCGGAGCACACCATCTAGCTTCTGCATTACGAAACAATTGCGTAAGCTTCATTCTCTATGAAACAATCTGATAGCGTTTTCTGTATTTATTCACACAGACACTCACCACACTGAATCTGGAACATGTTGAGATTGGCAAACTGGGAATAGCATCTTTGGCCGACGCGTTACGAAAGAATACGGTAACTCTTGATTCTCTTTATTTTTGTTAAAATCATATTTTGGTTCCTTTCACACAAACACTCACCGCACTCGACCTCGGTCATAATGATATACAGAATGAAGGAGTACAATATCTGGCAGATGCGTTGCGAACTAATAAGGTAAGTCATCTTCTATCAATCTGTATAATATCACCCCAGGTCGATCAACTTGTGTCGTACGCAGCCGTTTGGCCGTAATTTACGACCGTTTCGTATGCATCGTATTACGGTCGTTTTGTATCGTGCCATAAACGATCGGATACGGAAATATCCGACTACATTACAGTCGTTAGTACCAGTTTAAGACACGATTAATTACGGCCGTAATACGGTGCATATCAAAACGTCAAGTTACGGCCATTTACGATGAGAAATGGCAGGAAACGGCAGTATACGTTAACGTTTACGGCCGTATACGACCGTTTCTGGTAGCCGTAATGCTCGACATGGGACTCTCTACATTTAATTACGAAGACCCTCACTATACTGATTGTGAATAACAGTTTTATTGTGAATACCGGAGTAAAACATCTGACTGATGCAATACAAGATAACACGGCTAACCATATTTTAGTTTTCACTCTATACTCTGTTTATCACACAGGCACTCATCAAACTGAACTTGACAGAAAACAGTATTAATGACAAAGGAGCACAATATCTAGCTGATGCACTACAAAATAATCAGGTGAGACTTATTCTGTATTAAATCGCTTCATATAAGTTTTTTGCATTTGTTTGCACAGACACTCACAACATTGAATATGAACAGTAATCCTATTGGAGATCTTGGTGCGCAACATCTATCTGGTGCATTAAAAAATAATATGGTGAGACTTATTCTCTATAAAAATTGCTGCATACGGTTTTCTGCATTTATTTACACAGACAATCACAACACTGATGCTAGTAGAAAATGCTATTGGAAGTCTTGGCGCGCAATATCTGTCTGACGCATTACAAAATAATACGGTGAGCCTAATTCTCTATCGAACTGCTTCATATAGATTTTGCATTTGTTTACACAGACACTCACAACATTGGATATGACCAGTAATACTATTGGAGATCTTGGTGCGCAACATCTATCTGGTCCATTAAAAAATAATACGGTGAGTCTAATTCTCTATCGAATTGCTACATATAATTTTCTGTATTTATTTACATAGACACTCACAAAACTGAATCTCCGACTTAATAATATTGAACATCTTGGCGCGCAATATCTGTCTGACGCATTACGAAATAATAACGTGAGGCTGATTCTATTAAATTGCTTCATATAGTTTTTCTACATATATTTACACAGACACTCACAAAACTGAATCTAGTATCTACTGGTATTGGAAATCTTGGTGCAAAACATCTATGTGATGCATTACGAAATAATAACGTGAGCCTAATTCTCTATTAAATTGCTTCATATAGTTATTCTACATATATCTACATAGACACTCACAAAGCTGGAACTAGCAGCTAATGATATTGGAAATCTTGGTGCACAACACCTGGCCGGCGCATTGCAGAATAATACGGTTAGTATCGGTTTCTTTCAGTGTTTTTACATATGTCAATGTCCACTATTCCATACAGAACCTAATAGAACTCGATCTGGCATATAATGAAATCAGAGATGAAGGAGCTGAACATTTCGTTATGGCACTACAAGAAAATACGGTGAGTGCCATTCTCTTTTGATCACTATGATATAAGTAGTTGTATTTTTTTCTAGCAGACACTGACAATATTGATGTTGGACTGGTATTTTATCAAACAAAATCTGAGAATTCGTTTAAAGAACCTGTTGAAATATAATAAGAAACTTAGAGATTTATGATGGTTTGCTAAAACACTGAATGGTCATGCAGAATATTTGACTACTTATTTCGTTTGTGGTTTTGAAAATAAAACGTTTTGATTTTCTTGTTGAAAAGTGTTAGCTCGCTTCGTCGAGCTTTACGTTTTATTATCTATTCTATTTTCCTTGATCATACGGTACATATATATATATATATATATATATATATTAACCACAACAAAGAGGAGAAGAGAGGGAGAGAGAACAATGACAACACGGACATAACAAGGGAGAGATATGTAAAGATATCGAGAGATTGAAATGAGGGTGAGTCACCTCCGCTAACAAAAAGCTTGATGATAATAATTCATAGCTAATTAGCATTTCAGATTTTTAAAGTGTGAACACACGTCACTGACATTTGTCGTGTCATCCTGCAATATATGTGTTTTGTACTCCTTGAACGTTCTTTATTTCGTATCCTTAAAAAATAATTATCAGAAGTGATGAAATGTTTCTGTATTTTATCAATATGTTGATAGAAATATTCGATTCAGGTTGTAACTGTGTGTGTGTGATTGTCTGTGTAAATAAATGCAGAAAACCGTATGCAGCAATTTTTATAGAGAATAAGTCTCACCATATTATTTTTTAATGCACCAGATAGATGTTGCGCACCAAGNCCCCCCCCCCACCCCCCCCCCCCCCCCCCCCCCCACCCCCCCCCCCCCCCCCCCCCCCCCCCCCCCCCCCCCCCCCCCCCCCCCCCCCCCCCCCCCCCCCCCCCCCCCTACTCTTCATTCCAACACACATGACGATTGTATTTTTTAAATTCTGAGTTGCAAATATCTTTATGATCGAGTTATACCATGAATTATTTTCCTTCCATCGAAATCAGATGTGTTGAAATTTGTTTATTGATATAGCTAAATTAAAACATTTCAGCAAGAGATGCCGTCTAATCTGATAGATTCTCAACGAGCAATTTTATGAATAGGCAACGTTGTCAATTCAATTTTAAGGACAATCATCATTAAGAAAAAGTTAGGACGTCCAACAAAATCAAGAACTTAATTGAAAAAAAATTCATTTTCAGACGATCGAATGAAGAAGATATGGTTATGAATAGGCCGAGATCGAGACTTCCAATTTTGATCTCGGTACATCTCTAGACCTAGTTAAACAATTCAATCATATATTCATAACAGTTTCAACTAGAATTATTGTTACTCTTATGGGCTAGTCGTTCGGAAAATACATTTCAATTGAATAGAAATTGATCTTTATTTTACATCCAATACATCGTTTATCATTTAGAAGCAATGTCATATCAAAAAGAAGAAAGAGCTCAATTAAATCAACATGTTCACCCAGGAAAAAAATCTAGTTGATTATTGTTTGCGAATGACCATGTCAAATCTAAACAATAAATTTCAAATTAAGATCAAAAGTCCATTGCTTTTATCCGTGAACAATAATTCCTATCTTAACTTATAATATCGATGATACAACCGGTTTCTTTTTAAGAAAATCTAGTCGAACTTCTTATGCAAAAATTAATTTCTTCATCATTTATCATGAAATGATTCTACCAGCAACTAAACGTATATTGACTGATCTAAGACAAAATAGAAGACATCGAAATTCAAGAGCTTTTGCAGAACATTAAACTTCTTAAAATATTTTTTTAATTTATTATTTTAAAACATTCTCGAAAAGTATCAAGTTGATACAAGAAGAATTTTCAACAATCGAATTCGACGAAAAATAATGTCGTTTTGTATGAATTATCTAACGTTACTCTGCAGCGAGTCGGAGTATAGACTTCGAGATTAGAATTGTAAGAAAATCTCTCATTGAAATCCTAGAATATATCAAAGAATTTTCTTCTTCTTCTTCGTTAGCTTGTGAACAAATCAATCATATTTATCTCGAATGAAATTATAAATTCCTCTTACGATATATTTTTGCTTAAAAAAAGACGGAGAGAAATTGGTTGCACTTGTCTTGGGCCTTCTAAAATATCAAGAAAATATCACAGCAAGAACGAGATATATCCATAGTATTTCTTTTTGTTGTATTCTCATTTGATACATTTACTTGAACTGCCACCGGCCATAAAACTGCCGAATTATACCCGTGGCTATTTTTTCATTATTTGGTAGAGCTAACAAGAGTAAAACGTGCACAATTTCTTTTTAAACCATTTTAAATATTTATGTGCCAATATAGCAACACGTTGCTTGCTTTTATTAAATTAAGTTTTCTTTTTATATAAGGGACGCCTGCCCACTTTATATGAGTACGTTGTCACAAATCTAAAGCTTAATTATTCTGATTCATATAGTTATACATTCATACTTCTTGTTTTTTTTAGCTTTCTGTTAATAATTGGTATCTTTTAGATGAAATTTGCCATCAGTTTTTATTTATTTCCACGAAATGATGGAAGAAAAAAATTACCGACAGCATTAATATAAACTATTTGTTGTCTTGTGATTTTCAGAAATAAATGAAATTGGCCTACGCAATAATTTGATTAAGTATTTTTTTGAAATAAAAATTATATTATTTTGTATATTTATACATCTTAAGTTGTTTCTGAATAAATTCTGAATGTTATCTATTGAATTTTTCTCACAAACATTCAGCTAGTACTTAAAAAACAACTTGCGATTTATAAATATAAAAAATAGTAGATTTTCATTGAAAATGTTACTTGATCAATTTCGTGCTTATATCAAGTTACATTCGTTTCTATAGAATTACAAGACTACCAATGAGTAAACTCGAACCCTAATCACACCGTTAAAATATGAGACCACCGTCGGTGTATGGTCAGTATTCAAAAAGCTACCGCTTAAGTGCCGACGGTATAGCGCACATTATATCGAACGGTCAACCGGTAGTAAACTGCCGTTTTATTTCGATTTGAATCACGTGGATTGTTTCAGGTGCTTTCGACGTGTGTAGGCGAAGAAAAGATCCATATCCGCACCGACACCCTCTCAGAATGGGAATTTTCAAAAACTCCTGACTACCCCAATTTTATTTTTATTCGCGTAAAACGATGTCATTCGATTGAGCTTGCTGGATTGCATTGAATGGCCTACGTCTCATGAAAGACTCAGATCGTGGAGCGAACTACCAAGTTAAACGTTTTTGTTGTATTTTTTCTGTAAGAGAAAATCGATGCGTTTCTTTTCATTTGCACTGGTTAGCTTTTATAAAAAAAATCGAAATACACCTTATTTCGTGCAAACCGATCGGAAACAGCTGGGATGGAAACCGTGGGTATAGATATCAGTTTTACCTATGCACTCACACCCTATTCAAGATTTAATCATGACGAGATTTCTTGTTTTTTTTCATTTCTGACTTTCCAATAATAGCAGGTTTCAAAAGAAATTAATTTTGAACAATCCAGTTCGATTTTCGATTTGAATCCTGTTTTAAAACAAACTAAGATTTATTGTGACCGAAAGCAAATGTTTTAAAGCTTAATGGTATTTACCGAATGCACTCAAGTTGCATTGAAGTCAAAGAAATCATAAGGTTGATAAGGAAAAGTTGACGAAGAAAAACACTGTAATTTCATCAATTTCTTATCTTTAGCGAAGCTGCTATCGTGTAGTTATGTTTCATCGTCGTGTAGTAATGACTCAGCCACTGCAACACGTCGTCGTGAGAATGAGTCACTTCGTTAGTGTCTGACATATAGCTCTATAAATTCACTTGTTTTTTTTGTTCTGTTCATTACACTCACATACGACATTACTAGAAAAACATGCTTCGCATCAAGCAGCAAACTAACCCATCAGTGACTTCGAAAGAATCAGTTCCTCTTAAGGAAGTTTATATTGAGGCATGTCTCCATTCATTTGCAGCCGATGTCAAATTAACACAAGTATTTCGAAACGATGAGTCCGTGCCAATAGAAGCCGTTTATTGGTAAGAGCATAATTAATCTATCAATATACCTTTTGTTTGACATTTTTTCTCTGAATTTCTTTAGTTTTCCTGTTGAAGAAAATGCGGCGATCTACGCATTTGTCGCTCGCATCGATGATGGCCGTGAGATCGTTGCTGAAATCAAGGAGAAGAAATTAGCGCAACAAGAATATACACATGCTCTTGCGCAAGGTCACGGTGCATATCTATTCGAACAAGATGAAGATTCCAATGATATATTTGTTGTTAGCGTCGGAGCGTAAGTGAATCGTGTGTTGTATCTATGTAAACTTACTCTCATCAATTTATTATCAGTCTGAAGCCAAATACCGAATGTCGCATCACGATTAGTTATGTGACTGAACTTGATCTGTTGCATGACAATGAGAAACCAATAATTCGCTTCGTTATACCCACAACGATTGCACCACGCTACTCACCATCAAATAAAGGTATCTCATCGCCCGGTGGAACTCAAGCGGAATATATTGAATCCGCTCCCTATACAATCGAATTCGTCTGTAAAATTGACAAAATCGATCAACATGTGTCTTCTATTTCATCACCGTCACATCCAATCGTAGTTGATTTTAATAATGACGATGCTTTTATTGTCACGTTCAGTCAACAAGGAATACAACTCGAGTGAGTGATTTATTTGACGTCATTGAATCAACAGACTATATTTATATTATATTTGACCATAATCTCTAATATGTGCTTTGTCTATTTCAGCCGTGATATTATTGTTGATATTGAACTGTCAAAAACCCGAACAAACACGATTGCAGCTGTTGAAAAGGGTGCTCTTATGGTCTCGTTTATGCCTAATGAAGAAGATTGTCGAGGAAGTTCGAACGATAGAAGAAACGAATTTCTCTTCATAATTGATTGCAGCGGTTCGATGGACGAAGATAACAAAATAGGTCTCGCGTGCAAAGCGATGCTGCTCTTCCTCAAGAGTCTTCCCACCAATTGTTGCTTCAATATTGTTCGTTTTGGTTCCACATTTTCACCACTGTTTAGCGATCAAGTTACACGTGAATACAATGCTACGAACTTACATGAAGCAGAAACATTGATCAAGTGTATGACGGCCAATATGGGTGGTACAGAACTTCTCGAACCTTTGAAATGGCTGAAGAAAAATAAGCCGCCTGTGGGTTGTGCCAGGCAAATCTTTCTGTTGACCGATGGCGAAGTCTCCAATGTTGATCAAGTAACGAATCTATGTCGTGATATGGCCGCGTTTACACGCATCTTTTCATTCGGTCTCGGTCATTCGGCAAGTATTTCATTTAATATGCTAAACAAATTGATGAGCTATATATTTGACCACTTTTTTTAGCCAAGCCGAGCTCTTGTCAAGGGTCTGGCACGTGTTACCAATGGTTATTATACCTTCATTCCACCGCAGACAAAAGTCGACATTCACGTCGCTAAACAGCTTGCACGTGCGCTTCAACCGAGCATCAGCAATGTACATGTCAAGTGGAACACGAACCAAACTGTTCTTCACAGTGTACCTAACCACGCTCCGCCCGTCTTTGCCCGTGATCGTTTGCTCTTCTATGCATTGCTCGATGAATCTATGGCCTTTGATCATGCGACAACTGTCGAACTATTTGCTGATATCAGTCAAAAACCACTTGGTGTGGCTCGTATCGATCACATACCATCAGTAGTCGACTCACAAACTATCAGGCGTTTAGCAGCGAAAACCCTTTTGCATGAACTCTTGCATGGTGAAAAACCAGCAGCTCGGGAATGTATTATTGGTCTCTCACTCAAGTATGGGATTCTCTGTCCGTATACAGCTTTCATTGGTCTTGAGCGACGACTCGATGTTGACAGTGCGAGTAACGTGGATATGGAACTGCGTGAGGTGCCTATCGTACTGAGTCCGATGAACTCGAGTTTAAGAAGACTATTTCCAGTGTCATCTAGCATATCCTCAAACCGCATCAGTTCATTACGAACCGATATCGATGATATTGTTGATACCATGCGATTTAGCGAAATTGCCTTGTTGAGCAGAGACATGTTGTCCGAGTTTTCGTGTAAAGCGGATATGCTTGAAAGTGGTTCTCATGCGTTCTACCTCAGTGCTGCAAAGCTAAAAAGGCGGAAAGGTTTTGGTTCGATTCTTCAGCCAGCCATTGGTTATGTTTCATCACTGTTCACGAAAAAAACCGGTGTTCAACCAAATAATTCTCGTTCGAACTCTCACATGCACAGTACACTTTCTGCGTCACCATCTGGCTCCATGATGAACAGTCCAATAATGTCTGCTTCAATGGACATATTTCAAGCAATTGATATTCAATCGCAACAAAAGTCTGAAGTTGACTGGCCGACGGATGAGTACGAATTGGTATCTCGATTTGTAGAACTCCAACAATATGATGGATTATGGATGCTAACTGAGTATGATATCAAACAGTTGACAGGTAAATCTCTTGCCAACTTTTCATCGTCCATGGTTGATACAATGGAAAAGGCCAGTCGAAATTCGGTAACGACAACGGCCTTTGTTCTTGTCTTTCTTGAGACACGTTGCATCTCCAAGAAAACACTTTGGCAGGCATTATCAACCAAGGCACATAAACGAATAGCAGAATTGCTTGGAGGTGATGAGACAAAGGTTGAACAATTGTTAAAAGATGTCCGTGATCAACTCATGTGAAAAATTGATTTCCTCACTTTAGTTTATGCTGTCTCTAAATTGCTTCTATCATTAAAATCAATCTAATATTCTTTATCTATTATATACATTATGTCAAAATAAACTGTTGTCCAGTTGCTGCGCACATTAAATAGAAATCATTTCACTGCAAGAGTGCAACTGCTCTTGTGAATTCTTGTTTTTGTTTCGGTACATATTGCTTTTCAAAAAGAAAGTTATTTAGCGATGCACGCGACGTAAATGCTATCTGTCATTCATTGGTAAATGATGATCAATCACCGGTTTTTGCTATTGTTGCTTTGAGCAAGTGTCATTTTTCTTCTCACATCTGATTTTTTTGTTTACACCACTGAATTAGGCATGGTGCCCATTATGAACTCTTGAAATCTCAGCTCAACTATTCGAAGTATACGAATAGAAAGATCATTTTAGGAGAGCTCGACAATGCCTATTCGCGGTTTTAGAGAATTTTGAATAATCGTAACCGATTTCTATTGATTGTCGCATTGTCAGAAAGGAACTTTCTGATTCTTGTTGCAGCTGTGAGTGTGGCGTAAATGAACACGCATCCACATCCTAAAACATTACAGATGAAATTATATTCTTCGATGGATATTTAACTGATGGTTTTCATATGTATACTGGCAAATGCAATAAGTAGAGTCATTATAAATCAAGTTTTCATTACAGATCATTCATTAAAGACCATCATTAATTTTCTATTCGACTTATATTTGAACATTTCAATATCTGATAATTATGAATAATAATTAATCAAATGTTGAATATCTTATTTTATTTTTGAATTATGTTGTATCTGTACATGTCAAATAAGGAGGGATTCAGATCATAGCCAACGATTCGCCAAAACAATACCCTATCATGAGTTAGCATTCACCATTTTTTCTTTTCCTCTCATCGATGCAACACCTCTATATATACAAGTCATTTATGCATCTTCCGCTACTCTGTCGAAATTGAAATTTGAACAAAATCGCCTAAATTTGTTGATTAATTATCATGCTTTTTACATAGAGTGAGCTCATGATTGATTGAATTTTTTTTCTCGGACATCATCGTTCTATTTCAATATATAAAGAAAAATAAATAACTTAAACGATATCGACAGCTGCATGCATAAACTATGGATTCCCGTTCGCTGACTTATACAATCGAATGATGAGAAGAAAAACAAATATCGCAGATATAAGAAATTCTTTACTGGATACTCTTGTTTTCTGTTTCTAGAGTCTATTTCTTTTTTTATTCAGCATCTAACAAATCATGGGTTTCGGTGATCTCCAATCTGCTGATGGTCTTCGTTCACTCAATGCATTTCTTGTCGATAAATCATACGTCGAAGGGTTTGTTTAATATGTTTATTGTAAAATCAAACACTTCTATCTCTCTCTCTCTCTCTCTCTCTTGATAGTTATACTCCAACAAAAGGTGATGTTGTTGTATTCGAAGCTGTAAAGAAAGCACCAGCAACTGAATTTGAAAATGCTCTTCGCTGGTACAATCATATCGCTTCGTTTAATGATGCTGAGAAAGCCAAGTAGAATTTAGTTTTTTCGGACGTTTTGTTATTTGAATTTCATCGTAATATTTAAAAATAGATTTCAAGGTGAAAGCAAAGCAGTCGATCAATATGGACAACAACCAGGCCAAGATCGTCTTGCAAAACAAGAATTTGAATCATTATCTGTTGATCCAGCTAAGAAACCAGCAGCTGAAGACGATGATGATGTTGATTTATTCGGCGATGAAAATGAAGAAGAAACTGAATTAACAAAACAACGTTTAGCTGCTTATGCTGAGAAAAAATCCAAGAGTAAATCCTAGAATTATCTCAAACAATAAAATAAATAATTTTCTCTAATATTTTTTAGAACCAACTCTTATTGCCAAAAGTAACATTGTCCTTGATGTATGCAAAAGAAAATATTTTTCTATTGAAAAAAGTTTTGAATCCATTCTTTTTCTTCTTCTTTCAATTAGATTAAACCATGGGACGATGAAACAAATATGCAAGAACTTGAACAAAACGTTCGTTCAATTGAGTTAGATGGTCTTCTTTGGGGTGCCTGTAAGTTATCTAAATAGGTTTTTTTATCTCACAGATTTTCTAAGAAAATATTTCATTTTAAGCTCGTCTCGTACCACTTGCTTATACAATCAAAAAGTTACAAATCACTTGTGTTGTTGAAGATGACAAAGTAAATAGTCGAAGTTATTAAATTTATTTTGACACAATAATTATATTTCAGGTTGGTACAGATATTCTTGAAGAACGTATCATGGCATTCGAAGACCACGTTCAATCAGTTGATATTGCTTCATTTCAAAAGATTTAAATGTTATCCCTTTTTTCTGTAACACCAATTGCTATTGCGAAATGAACATCAATGCTATATGATGAAATAAAATTGATTTAAAGAAAGAAAAATAAAACAAATGAATACTCTATGTGTTCAACTTTTAGATGGCTGCTGCAATAGAGACAAAACTCTATGTAACTAATTTTCCGAGTTCAGCTACTCGACAACAATTGCAACAATTTTTTTCTCGATTTGGTCGCGTACAGGAATGTGCGAGTGAGTAAAAATTAAATATTCTCTCTTGTTTTAAACTCTACAGATATACAGTACTAAACTAAAATATGATACAACTGACAATTGAGATCCTAACCGAAATATATTCGATCTCCCAGTGACCAGTTCTTAATACGATAAGGGTACAGCTTAGTTTTTTACTAGCCATAAGAGTATTCTTAGACAGTTTTAATATTATTTATCTGTTCGTTTCGAAAAATGATCTTCTTCAGCGTTTGAATATATTATCATAATTTTGTTTTTAGTCATGTGGAATTCATACGCATTTGTTCACTATGCGACGATGGATGAAGGCAAATTGATTTTTCTTACCTAATATCAAAAGTTCGTTTGATTTTTGCTTTGATCTATTTAGCTCGTCGTGCTCTGGATCAATCAAATGGTGCCATGTTTCTCAATCGAAAATTAATTGTTCAATTGTCTACATCTCGTTTTCGGCCACAGCCAAAAGAATCTAATACTGCGATACCTCAATCACCTAAAAAGCTCATGATTTCAACGTCTCCATCATCTATCGCTTATCATCATTCGAATGGACTACCGACAACGATAGCAGCACAGCAGTTAACTCAACATCCACAGCAATTTACTTATTCAGAAAATAATAATAATAATAATAATAATTATGATATGATGACATCAAATGGTCTTCATCAACAGTCATCATCGCCGTTATTAGAGAATCAGAATTTATTTCGTTCTCTATCGCCATTATCTCAGGAGATGAATAATTATTATTCACAATATTCAAATATGCCCATGGATCGCATGACACCATCGTTAAAAATTAATAATATAAAAGCAAATAAATCATTGAAAACAGGTAATTCTAAACGAGTGGATTTATCTAACTCTGTTGACGGTTCGATACCAGGGATGAGCAATCTTTTGGACACCTTTGCTACTCACGATGGCAATAAAAAAAAGTGATACATTAAATGTACCTGAGGTATCAAACACTGTCTTTTCTTTTTGAATTTCGAATTTAATAGAAAGAAAAAAATTTCCTTTAGAAACCAAAGATTTTATTTCTATTTCCAGACATAGGTAATAATGGTGAAATTCCCAAATTGTATTGTACGAATTTACCAGACAATTGCAAAGCAAGTGATTTACAAAGTTTGTTTTCGTCATTTGGTCATGTTATTGATTGTGTTATTCTATGGGATTATTATGCATTTATTACGTACAAAACTTTCGTAGAAGCCGAAAGAGCCTTAATGGGATTAAATGGATTTACTTGGAAAGATCGACGTCTTATTCTTGAATGGTCACGTGCATCAGGTCGGCGACAACATCAACAAGGATCGTCACCGCCACCGCTACAGCAACACAGACTTGGTTCATTTGGTTGTATGTTGAATTTAAATCGAACGAGAAAATTTTTTATTTTTAAAAATTTCCTTTTAGCTGAAATTTCAAGTCCACCATCACCTCGTACACGTCCAACAACATTAATTGCTCATCAAACGGCTTCTAATAATCAATATTATGGAAATAATTCACCGAAAATGCTTTCACCACTGCTTCCATCACCGTTGAAATCACAATCACCACATCATACATTCAATCAAAACCTTGCATTAATGTCAATCATGCAGCAACAGCAGCAGCAGCAGCAGCCATATTTTCATCATCATGCAGCAAATCCATATGGTACATATACAAATGGAAATAATAATAATAATAATAATGAAATATTATCAAATGACGATCAACAGATATTTGAAGGGTAAATGAACAGAGAAAAATTTCCCTAGACATACATTGAAAAGTCGAGTTTCTATTTTGTTAATCTTCGGAATTTTATTTTAAATTTTAGTTTAACAAATTCATCATCAAATCATCGACTTGACTTATCATCATTTATTGATGCGAATTCTTCAAATAGCAATACGATGTTTTCTTCATCATCCGAATTAAATACACCATCATCAGCTGCATCATTATCCAATGTTTATCAACCATCGGATATAACAAATTTACTTGAACCATTATCATCCAATGTATCAACAAACAATAAATCCAATGAAAATTCACTTAGCGATATAAAAAACCTGTCACCGAATGTACCGCCATCATGTTCATCAGCGGCCGCTGCAGGAGCGGCTGCATTATTTCAAGAAAATTTACTTTCATCATTATTCAATTCATTTGAACCGTTTAGTAAATTATTTCCCAATGATGATCAATCAACATCATCACGTTACAATCATTTTTCACCTTTATTAACAACAGCGCCCGATAATAGTCATCCAATGTCCTATGGTCATAATATTTCTTGGCATTAAATGAAACAGTTTTTTGTTAATTTTTTGTTGTTGTTGTTGTTGTCATTTCATTTTTGTTTTCACTCTCTGTCCGGTGTATGTGTTAATTCATGAAAACTATTTACACCCGCGCCTTCTTCTTTTTTTCTAGTCGCACTTCTATTGTGTTCATCATTTGTCTGTCTTTGTCGGCCATATTTCTTCTTTGCGCGATGAATAGTAGTTTGTTTCGACATGTACGGTTTTGTTTTTCTTAGCAAAAAAACAAACTAAATCATCTCTCTTGATTGTAGTGTAGATTTCTATGTATGTTTGATTTAAAAAACAAACAACAATATGCTTCTTCTGTTTTCTTCTTTGTCTCAGGTTAATGTTTACAAGAAAGTACTCGCCATGACTTTATCACTTCCCCGGTCTTTTGTTGTAATACATCTATTCGGCCTTGTATTTAAAATAGCACACTCCCATTTGTTTGAACAGTTTTCTCATTTATTCACTCTCATGGTTTAGGTTGGGTGTTGCTCTCGTTCTTGTCTTTTTTTCTCTTCTTCTTCTTTTCATCAATGAATGAGCTCTTTTTGTTTGTTATCCAGTTGTGTTGTCTTCTTGCCTTCACCTCACGTCACTTTGTTGTTGTTTTTTATGACTTCGCACATAACAACTATACACAAACATCCTACTTCGTTTTTTTCTCTCTTCTGTTTTCATCCTTATTTTTCTATTACTTTTTTTTTCTCTGTGGATTTCAACCAGGATTTTTTCGTGTTGAACATGTAAACCCTTGTACTTCAACGATGAAGACTATGCTAAAGCAAACCAAGAAAAAAGAAAGTTCCATTGATGCGATGGAAATGTTTCTTCTTTTTTTTTAATAAAAATTTTGACGAAATGAAATACAAAAAATCAGACGCTTCCGTATGAATGCTGATATAAACTTCGACAGATATTGACGATGACTTCTCACGATGAATGGGAGATTGAAATCAATACATTCTAGATGAGTCGTTATCCTGGACCACCTGCATCGTCACAAGGACAACCAATGTCTTCAGTTGGCGGCTATCAGTCATCAGGTATGTCAACTCATATGGCAAGTCCACAAACTGTGCCACCATATAGTGTTGCTGTTGCCTCACCATCACAATATGTTCAACAAACAGGTCCTTCACCAAATCAAACTCATTATACTCATCCATCGGTAATAGTATTTGTTCTAGTTCATTTTTGTTAAAACACAAATTTTGAAAGTTGATTTAAGCCGTCTGGCTTTCACATTAAAAACGTTTCGACGAAGCAGATTGGGGGGGGGGGGGGGGGAAAAAATTTTAGAAAANCCCCCCCCCCCCCCCCCCCCCCCCCCCCCCCCCCCCCCCCCCCCCCCCCCCCCCCCCCCCCCCCCCCCCCCCCCCCCCAAAATGTAGAATTCACGTCCTCTGTTTCGTGACAGTATCAATATTAATTTTGTATATTTTGTCATAAAATTAAAAAATCATCTGATTTATAATATTGTTTCGTATGTTTACTCTAGGCACGATAGCTATGAACGGGTAAATTTGAAAATCTGAAAAATATAAATCTCATTATGCATTTTTTTCAATTCGTTTTGTTAAAGATGTACTACATCTATCGAAATCTTACGAATGTGAAGCTATGGAAAATTATTTTTAATCTATCGCTTTATTTCTCCTCCCGTAATTACTATCATAACATATAAGAGCAGTCGTAAAGCCTTCGATTTAAAATTAGTATATTCCAATGTTTGTTTATTTGTCGGATATTTTATCTTTTGTCTCAAAAATAGACTTATCTCTGTTCTTTTTATTACGATTACAAGACAAATTCTGTCATAAACGAAAGCTGTTTTTATTTAGCCTCAGCAGCCGATGATGACTGCGCCCGGTTATGGCCAGCCTATGATGCATGGTATAATGCCACCTCAAGCGGTTATGCAACCACAACAGCCACCACCGCCACAACAACCGCAACAGCAACAGCCACCTCAACCTCAGCAGCAACCTGCACAGCCACAGCATCCAGTGCAACAGCAAGATGATTTAGCGATTAAAGTTAAACGATCATTTAGTAATTTCGATACTAGTCTGAAAGTAAACAATTTCCAAAACAAAACAAAAAACCTAATTATCTTAATAAATTTATTCTTAGACATTCCTACAAGAATATTCATCAGTGTTACAAATGGATGATGCACGATTAAAGTAAATTGATTCTATTCTTTTTTGTTTTAATAGAATGAAACTAATTTTCTTTATATTAGTTCTCAAACACCTGATCTTCTTGCACAAAGTTCCCAGAATCTCGTCAGACGATACGAAACTTTACTTGTTGCTCTTGATTTATTCGAATCAAATTTAGTATGTTAACAGTAGCATCAATCTTTATTTCGCACACTCTAATTTTCTTTCCGTTTATAGCGTATGCTACAAGATTATACATCGACACAGAATAATTTCCGTCGATATATGCCACCGCCAACAATGGTTGCCGAATCGAGTGCGCATTCCGGCCATCAGTCAATGCAAATATCAGCACATATTGGCCGGGCTGTTGATCCTATTCAATATCAGTTTCTTTTGAATAAAATGCAAACGCAAATTGATTCGTTTAATGCATTGCATGATCTAGGGAAAAAATTTCTGGAAGCTTCATCAACAAATGTAAATACAAATATAACAACGAAATAATAGGAACTTTATCTTGTCTGGTCTTTTTCTTTTCTCTTCTTTGTTGTCATTAATTTTCTCTGTCGTTTTTATTGTATAAAATAAAACAGAAACGAGCATAAAGATAGCAATACGGCGAAAGAATTTTCAAACATGGCGGATCGACGTCTGCGACATGTTACAAATCTTGACAATGAATTTATAGGAGATTATTATTCAATCGATAATTTCGATGAAAAATCTAAAAATTGTATGGAAATTCTTATTGCAGAATCGATTGGTGAAATAACAAAAAATTATCTTGTATGTTTTCTTTAATATTCAAAACAAAAAATATATACATATAGAAAAAAAAAATTCTATTTATCTAGCCCGAATATCAACGATTATCAGCTTTTTCTTACTATCCACCGTTGAAACCTGAACAAATTCGTAAACTTACAATTGAAAATGTAACATCAAACGATGTACAAATTCAAATAACAGACAGAATCTATAATCGATTAGAATTAATTTTAAAAAGCAAAACACCGAATTGGAATGCTACAGATCAACGAACAGCAAAACGATTTGTTACAAACGCCGTTCAAGATGCTGTTGAAGCAATACGTAAGAAATTAAATGAATGCATCGCTCTTGAAAATCAAACACCAAATATTATTGTTCAACGTTTTGTATTAGATAATAATCGATTGAAAATTGTTTGAAGAAGAGTTTTTTGCAGACAATAAATATTCGACTGTAAATCTTTTTGATAGTGTTTATCTAGAATATAGTCATCATGGTCGACTGTTATTATCGTTATCAATTGTGGGACTGAAATGAGAGTGTTTACGACCGTGCGGTTAAAATGATTGTTATACTACCACGATAGGGATTATACTACATTAAATATCATCTATTTTAAATAAAACACATTATTCTTTTAGCTTAAATCTATTTAAGTGTCATACGATATGAATTATATTGAAAAGAAAAGATTGAAAGGTTATTATCGCTTTCTTTTTCAATCGATCAGAGAAATACTATGAATGTTCGTTTTTCACGTTCTTCAAGCTCGACATTTTTGCACTAATAGTAATGAAAACTTTCATGTGTTCTCGTCGTTCTCAGTAGTCAATAATATTTATGCGCAATACCAGAGATTAAAGTATTTATTTAAATAGAAGGAAATATTTGCACTTTAGTCAGAAAGAAACCGATCGACATTTATTCGAGACGTATGGTAAACGGAGGTAAGGTTGCAGATTTTTTATATAAAATAATTGGAAAATATAAACGATGAGCTTGATCGATTTGCATCAGCTCTTTCAAGTTTTACAGCATAATTGAAAACAACGATTCTGAGTCTTGCAAAAAAGATATCCTGTATGATATGTTCTCAGAAGTCTTTGTAAAATTTCTGTAGAGAACTAGAAATCATCATTCTCGAACTTCGATCTATTTATCTGATCTCTTAGAGGAAATTTCTCTAAAATGTTTTCAATTGATGCTTTAAATACAAGCGGCATACTAAAGCAATTGAGTTTTTCATTTTGAGAGACGCTGAGCTATGCCTGGCCTAAAAGACCTCACAGTACCGTTAAGTATTAAACTATTGAAAACTTTTGATTTTTAAATAGACATCATAGTAAAACACCCAGAAGTACGGAATATCAATGTAAACCAATTAATTAAACGACTATTGCAATAGAGAGCTAAAAATGCGATTTTCGAAAAATATCCGACAAGATAGATCAATCTATCAGCATGATACCCTCTGTTTTAATTCCTGATTTCATCACCAAGATAAATTCTTGGCATCTATCGTAAGATCATCATTTACTGCGGTTTCGTTTTAAATCAAACCCCCATTGTGCAACTTGCACATCCTATACAAATCATAGATTAATTCTAAATTCAAGAACCGTACAAGATAAAAAAAAAGCAACGAATAACTAGCGCCTTCTATGCTGTCTATTTTCTTATTGGAGTATTTACGTCATTTTCATATGTAAAATGTAAGGTGCTTTATATCTGACTCACATAAGTAATTCAATTTGTCTCTCTCTCTCTCTCTCTCGCTTTCGCTTTCCCTCTAATATATGTTGTGTCGACAGCAGGTCCTTTGTTCATCCTGTTTTACCAATAAGATTATTTGTCACAGTTTAACCATAAATCGTTTGTTTACTTTTTTTTAGAATTTCATGATGTTATTCCGTCGATGTTTTGTAAGACTTCAAATAAGAAGGAGAAAAAAATTCCCACCGTAACATTCAGGATTAAACAGTCTTCGTATACGTGCAATGATAGAATACTTTTACTTATTTATTTTAATTCACTATTAGTATATTATTACACAATACACAAGTATTCATTATATTCTTTATCAAAAAAAAGAAAGAAAAAACGTGCTTAGTTTATGAATATATTCATTGTTTGTCAGTAATAAGATTCGACAGGTAAGTTGATTTGAGCTTATAGAATGCAAGAAAAAGAATAATCTAAATAGAGAAACGAACGTCAACCGATGTTTACTGTCTATAGACAACATGAACTTTATTTATGGATTTATCTTTTTTTTAGACGGACGCTTTTAGTTTGATGAAGAAAAATAAATAAACAGAATTCTTTTGTTGTTTTTGTTTTTAGATCATTTTTATTTTATTTTATTTTTCTTTTTGTAAATGGAGCCGGCAAATCCTCTTGTAACATCCGTAGCGTTATTTGTAACGGTAAATATTTCTATAAAAATAAAACTACCGAACCAACGAAATATTTTATTTTAGCGATCGGAAATCGATTTTTCTCATCGTTCACCAAGTCCTATATGTCAACGATGGTTTATGGTTTTATATCTTAAATCCGAAGCTAAAGAACTTGCATTAACAGTAGGACATTCTTTTTTTTTCCTCCCTGCAAAAATTGTAACAAAATCTATGGTTTCGTTTAGGTTTATCCAGTAAATATGAAAAATCCTGAGCAAGAATTCAAAAAAGCTTATAATTCCAGTCCACCGGTTGTTGTATTTGATGAAACAAATGATAAATCATCACAAGTTGTTCTAACTGATAATCGTGATATTGATGCTGAAATAAGTAAACGTTTTCCCGTAACAAATATGAGTTCATTAAAAGAAGCCGAAGACGTTTGTTCAAATGTTTATATTAAATTTCATCCCTATTTAAAATCGCAAGTTGGCGATCCGCAAGAACAAATTAAATTGCGTTCATTATTAAGTGAATTTAAACGTATCAATGATTATCTTGAAGAAATGGGTACGAAGTTTTTATCGGGCGATGAAATGACATTTGTCGATTGTGACGTCATGCCGAAATTACAACATATACGTGTTGCGGGAAAATATTATAAAAATCTCGATATACCAAATGAATTTCATGCCCTATGGTCATATATGGATCGTTGTTATAAAACAAAAGCATTTCAAGAATCATGTCCGTTCGATCAAGATATTTTAATGCATTACGAAGGTAAAGTCGGAGCGCATATCAAAGCAGTTGGTAAAACGCCAACATTGCAACAACCAACAATGACATTAACAATACCCGTACATGACCATAGTGAATGAGAATCACTGCTGAAGTCAAATCGATATGAATGAACTTTTCTATTTCCACATTTTTTTTCTCGCTCGTTGTGTATAATTTTGGTTTATCATAAATCTCATTCTTTCTTTCGTTTTTTTGGTCTCTGCGCTATTGTCAGCTTTTTATATATCTTGTGAAACGTTGAATGGTTGATATATGATGAAATCATTTGAAAACTGGTCAAATAAAAAACGTTTGATCTTTTTTTCTCGCTTTGTTCGTTTTTCTTTTATTTTATATATTTAGATTCGAAATCAACATAATTAAGATAAAAAATGATGGAAGAAGCTCAAGAGAAAGATATGGTATTTATTGATCTTTATTTAGTTTGACTTTTGAAAATAATCCTCTGAGTCACTTTCATCACATTTTTTTTGCACAATGTATTCACACACATCATCTATTCATTTTCTACGATGAAATACACGACTAACATGCTCGATGTAATCAGATTGATAATTGGAGTAGATTATCGTGTATTTTAGATTGTCTTAGTTTGTTAAACATAGCAAGTCTTGTATATGATATTCGTTTGAGATCCTCTCAGTTGAATGTAAATTTTAACAACTACGATATTTTCGTCAGTTATTCTCCTTACTGAATTGACGATGCGGAAATATATTGTACAAGAAAATCGTTCCTCTCCTTGTTCGTAGTGTATTCATTTCGGCGTTTTTACAGTGGTCTATGTGTAATCACTGAGTTTATACTAGAATAACAAAATCCTACAATTAAACACATTCACTCACAAGATTTCCTTAAAACTAAATTTCTTCATTCTCGGTATCGTTTGTTTCCGTGAACTAATTTCATAAGCAGAAAATGCATCTATACATATCTAAAATCGTCTTTTTTCTTCTTCTAACTTTAGGATGCAATTGCTTGTTTTAAAGGGGGTAAATCGTTAACAATTACTGGACGACAGTATGGCGTATGTTCGCAAGCTCAAATGGTTAATTTACTTGCTTCGTCAAATCGTTATGGTTACATATTTTATGCTACGGAAACCGATGGTCTTGTAATAATCCCATCGAAATATATTGATAAAGAATCATCTCATCTAAGTAAATCATCGGACGACGACGATGATGATCCGGGTGAAAATCAAAATCTTGGAAAAAATTCTATTATTCGTCGATCATATTTACCTACTCAAATGATGAATAAAAACGCTTCAATTCTTCCTTGTTGGATATCTTTGAATGCAGATGATTCTATTCTCGCAATAATTCTCTTAGAGTTAGATACTCGTGCATGGCATATTATTTTCTATGATGTTGTCAAATTAATTCAAACAGTAATTTCAATGAAACGAATTTTATTTTTTTTAATACCGATTTATTAATTTTTAGCAGGATTCAGCACCACTCTTTTCTCCGATGTATCTTCCTACTGATCATGTTGGTGGCACAATTCAATGTTTTGCATGGAATCCAGCTATTTCGAGTATGTTTGCTTATATTGATGGAAACGGAGCTGTTTCAACATTTGACATCGATCAAAATTCAAAACAATTAAAACTTCTTGGCGAATCTGATGCCAATGACGATAATTCATCAAGTATGTTTACAATGATTTTTTTCTGTAGCTGACAATTCGTTTGTTTTCTAGTTTGTTGGAGTCCAAAAGGAAAACAAATTGTTCTAGTAAAATATGATGGTGTCTTGGAATTATATGAACCGAATATGAAATTAAGAAAAAAATATGCATCAGCTACTGATGCATCAATGCCTCCATGTATTAGTGTAATTTGGATTTCGACGCATCAATTTTTACTTGGTTATTCTGAAAATAGTCCAGATGAAAATTCAAATGAAAGTTCATTTTTTCAAATTATGACAACGTATGAGAAAGTAAGAATTAAAAATAAATGATCGAACAGATTCTTATTTGTTTTGGTTTTTCATCATTCCAAAATAAAGGATCAACTTGTTAAAGCACAAGTTTATAATGATCTCTTTTTTGATGCTTCCGAAGCTCCAGCTAATATTAATCCACAATATTTTCATGTACGAGTAAATGAAAGGTATGCGGATTTATCTATGTGACATAGCTTATTTTATTAGTTTAAATAATTTAGTAAAATGATCATTAGTGGCGTGTCGAAATCGTTGAAAATCAATGTACTTGGCTCCGATGAACTCAATCAGGTTTGTACATGAATAGTTTTAGGCATGGACATTTTTGAAAATGTCGATATGCTCGAAAAAAATGCTAATGGGGATATTGTAATCTGAGAATTTGTCTGCAGAATGTATTCTTTCTTTCCTTTTCTTTTTTGAACAATGCCGCGTCAATTCGGTGTTTTTTAACTGACAAGTATGATGTAAATGTCGATATCGTTTTATGTGTCATAGATAGCTGAGGGATTATTTTGTCTATATGTTGATTGTTTTCTCTAATGAATGCCGTAGTTCATATGTGTATATAATAGAAAAGATCGATATTATTCTCCTAGGATTAAGATATTGTTTGGTTTATCATGTTTTTCATCAATATCGAGTAATAACATTTAAAAGACGAAAAGCTTTATTATTTAATTTTTGTTCCCTTACGACAAATAGCATATGTTTACAAATACAAAAAGCATGATAACAACAAAAAAAGTGTATAAGAAAAAAATGAATATAAAGACGTAGATAATGATGTATATTTTGATTTGACTTGAAAGTGAGATAATATTGTTGGTGTCGGTTGAGTTTTTCTTTGTCTATATTGACAGAAATCAGTGCATTGATTGAATGATGAACAATTGAGATATTTCTCTAATTCATATACGCGTACGAATCGGTCATTATAAAGGCAATCTTGATTCATTTTAAATAATCGATTGATATCAACATTTTCTTGCCGTTTTAAATTGAATATATTCAGTAATTGACAGTTACATTGTAATTTTGTTGACGCATCTTCCACAATTTTTAAACGTGGATAATTTATTAATATACAATTATCTAATGGTGATATCTGTTTATGTGTAATATGTATTGATAAACGTTCTAAATTTTTAATTCCACAAAAAGCATTTTTATCAATTGAATTCAACGGATTATTCGTTAATGTTAAATGTCGAAGTTTCGGTATATGTTCAAATGTATATTCATCGATTTTTTCAATTAAATTTGAACTTAAATCTATGTCATCGATTGTATTTGATTGTAAATTTTCAATTGATTCCAATTGATTATGTTCAAATGCGATATATTTTAAATTTTGTAATTTTTTCAACGAACCTATTAATGGTTGTGTTTGAAATAGATTCGGTAAATTTCGTATAATCAATCGTTCGAGCGATACTAAATATTCAATTGGTAATAAACTTAATTGATGTGTATTTGTTAAACTTAAATAAGTTAAATGCTGTCCAATTGAATAAATATCGTAATAACGATAGCTATCAATGAAAATATTACTTAATTCTAGTCGATGTAGAAATGGCAATTGTTGTAATAATAATTCGAGATTTAATTTTTTATCATGTTTACTTTTTTGATGATAATGAATATTTTTTAATGTTAAAGATTTTAATTTTTGAAATGAATTCATTGAAAATAGTTCTTGAAAATTTTCATTTGAAATTTTCAATGATATTATTGTCGAATTTTCGAGCGTAAATTTTTCTAATTGTTTTATGTTTGCAAATGTTTGATCGTTAATATTAAGTAAATTACAATGATGCATACGTAGAATATTTATTGTTAAATTATTGAATGATTCGTATTGAAAATTAAAATCATTTAAGCATGAATCAATTTGTATTGTGTTATAGATAATATTTGAATATAAATTTGGTATTGTCGATAAACCAATACATTTTAGTAAGATCGATGATGGTGTACTGTTAGATGAAGCATCTTCACATTCGCATAATTGTGATTGAGATTGTAATGGATAGTACTGAGAGCATATTGATGATAAACATAGATCAAGATTGAATAGAATGAGAAAAAATGAGAAAAAATCCGATCTTAAATTCATCTAAAATTAAAGATGGAACGTTGTCAATTGGATTTTAGAGGGAAGTAGAGTTGACATGATGAAATAGAAATTTAAAGCAAATAATTTTGTGTATGTGGCTATACAATAGAGTTAGTATTCAAGGTGAGGAAGAAAAACAAGACTCCGGAAGACAGGTGGAGTGCGGAAGTCTCGTACTTTATTCCTTGCGTCAAGGACGCACATAAATAACTTTTAATAGAGAATGAGAAAACTAATGATTGCGATCAAATATTGGTTTTCTTTTACAGAGATTATCTTATCGATGGCCTAAAAACGTGATACAAGTCAATTATGAATTGGTTTTGCTTCTGAATATCTCTAGTTTATAGTCGAGCAATAATAATCGGTTGCGTGCTTTTACAATGAAAATTTACTTGAGATTACAAAGAAAAAATTATGTTCTACGTAGAAACTATTTTCTGGCCTAAGTCTTATCCTATTACGTAAGCGTTATTAAAAAAAACTAGAGAAACCAACAACGATTTCTTTGGTTATTCGAGAGAAATCTTATAGCTGAGTGTGAAGTATTTAGGAAAAAAACGTTCTAATTTTTTATGTGAGACATGTTTCGTAGATTTTAATTTAACATCAACATAAAAAATTTTCGAGGTCTCAGATATACTACCTAAAACGACTGCATCGATTTTCTACTCTCATCACAATAAACTCGAATATCTGATTTCTCATTATCCTGAAAAACAAATCTTCTTATCAGTTCGTAGTGGTTAATTTATTTAAGAAAAATCATCTGATACTTTGTACACGGAGTTTTTTGCTTGTTGATCTGTCATGTTGATAAAAATGTTTAGTCCAGATCTACTGATAAGACAGTACGATATATATATGTATATATATACATATTTACGTGGAGAAATGTATCGTTCATACTGTATAGAAAAGAAATCAATCTGTGTTTATACATATCGGCATTCACTAGAGGTGAACTTTAACGATAAATATAATGGCACGATTTGTTGAAATAATCTTAACGCTGACTAGATAATTGTCTCTAAGTAAAAGTTCTCGAATTTTGTCTGTATGGACACTTACTGTATATTACATTGAAGAATTAGCCTAGTTTATTACTATTCAATGATGATCTATTTGTCATTTATGACTTTTTTAAGTATCGATTATTGAAAAAAAAAAAAGAAGAAATAATAATCTTACCGTTAATAGTATTGCTTCTAGTTGGGTACTTAAAGTTATAATCAAATAAAGTTGTCGGAAGTTTACATAGATAGAATATTAAATGACTATCGCGAGTATTTCTATTCATCAACATAGACGTTCGATTGAATAAAGAAAGTTACTTTCTATCAAAAATTGGTATATATGCGAGGAAGAAAAAAAATAAGGGAATGCTTTGAAAGTATTGTATCTAAAATATTTACATTGTTATCCGAGACCAGCTATACTATGGTTGATTGCCAATTGATCCTGTTAATGTACTCGTTCGTATGCATAGTAAAGACGAAGAAAAAATTACTTACAATCGTATGCCGGAACTCTTGATCTTTTTCTCTTGTTTGAATAAGAGAATAAGTGTATTGATTCATTCTTCTTCGCATTCTTGCTTACTACTCATAAAACATCATTTATTCAATCGTATGGTAGTCGTGGCTATTCTCCCTCTCGCTCGTCTTATTTTTATTCTTCTGGTAATCAGCTTTGTATTATTGTGGCTATTTTTTTCCTCTCATTCTCTATCGCCTTCTTTTTTTCGCTCTATGTATACTATATCATAATGAAAAAGAGAAAAGGCTAGGAAAAGGGAACGCGAAAGAGTGATGCGACTATTGGTCAATATAATATCCATTTCAAATGCTCTGCAATGTGTGTATATATCTGCATATATATGTATATGAATATATACATGAAGCGAAGGTAATCATAAAGCATACATACGGCAATAGATTCTCTTTTTACTACAACACGCTATTGTCAGTGAGGAGATAGATAGATGTATATATATATACAAACTAAAAGGAGAAAAGTGAAATATTAAAGTCAAGCATGAACATATGTAGACTTGACACAGAGTCATCATTCATCGACTATTATTCGAAAAGATAACGTGTGTTTATATGTACACACATCGATATATGCACACACACATGTATATGTGTTGCTCTAATACTGACTCTTCTATCTTATTGAATTAGTAGAGAAATGATAAGATATTCATAATGAAATCCTATGAGATGCCGAATGATTGAATTCGAAAATTAAAAGAAAGAAACCATAATAGTTCCATTAAATAAAAAAGAAACAATTCATTAAAGCAAGCGCACGACCGGACATTACAAACAACTTACTATTATAGTGCTACTTTCATAAAGCATGCATTTGTATGAGGTGGAGTTTCTGTTTAATGTTCACTTTTTTTCTCTTTTTTTTTCTTCTTCTTCTTCTTCGTCTTCTTCCTTTATCCTCTAATTCTTACTCCCTCTCTGTCTCCTGCACATGCGCACATATTGCTAACCACATCTTTAAGAGTAATGCCATTCTCTCTCTCTCTCTCTCTCTCTCTCTCTCGATCAATACGCACCGGCCAAGTGTCCCATTCTTGTTGCTGTGGTACGCGCCTAGCTATATACACAAAGATATTTTTATATGTGCCGATGTGATTGTGCAATAGTGTGACTAATGGGTTGAACAAGATGACCAAATGCAATATAAAAGACATGCAAGTGAGTCTGGTCAAAAAGAAAAAAAAAGTCTTTGTGAGAGAAAAAAAAAATCTATTTAAACCAAGGATATATGTATGTTACAGCTACTTAAGACAAAACTGTCCCTTGCACTTATTCTCACCATTGAAACTACAAAATACGTAATCTTACTCGTGCATACAAATGCACGCCTTGATCTCTATTAGAAAGAGAAAAAAATTGATCTATATGATAGATGTTAGGTTGTTGCTATCTTTTGTCTTATTTATCCAACGTATGTTTAATACTTTTGTTTGATCAGGGCAAACACGAAATTTTGATGGTGTTGTAATCGAGTTCGTTTATTTTTCGCTTAGATGAGTTCATTTTCTCGGGCAAATTTACTGTCATTCAAATGTAATTGATAATAATAAACAGAGCTCATTAACCAGTAGTAAGTGTAACATGTCCTTGCCGATTGAACCATTCAAATGAAAAGAAGAGAAGAAGAAAAAACGAAGCTTACGCAATGTATGCATAAATATTTTTGTGTGCTATAATGATAGCGTAAGGCATTCAAGCTCATTTTTCTCTTACTTGTTATTCTCTCATACTCATAAACAAATGAATAATGATGATCATGTTAATATGGTCAAGATGTAAATTATGTGTACCTTGAAATACGAGAGGAAAATGATTGAAAAGTAACAAATGCGTATGAGAGAGCGCGAAATATGACGAAGATGGATATAAGATAGAAAAAAAATTCATATGAGAAGAAACAAAAAGAATAAAGAAGAGTTGAATATTGATTCATTCAACAATCATCACTCACTTATTTGTCCTTGACCGATTATCGTTTCATTTATAATTCTTTTTTTGCAGTAGAAATTCGATGCCATCCTATGCAATACCTATGCTCATATTGAAACGAGAGAGAGAGAGAGAGAGAAATGAGTCCACTAGATTATTCAAATCTTGTCCGAGGCCAGTTTGTTCAACCCTAATCGATATACTAACATCATCATCATCATCATCATCATCATCATCATTACTTTGTCCGAGAACATACCACTACTCAGCAGGTGATAGTCTGAACGCTGTTTAATCAGGCATCCATCTCAGGTTACATCTACACATATGTATGTGTATATGCACATGCAGTGCGATACTATTTACCTTGAAGAAGATGGTTATATCGATTGCTGTATGTAAAGTTTGAACAGCATGAATACTTGAACTGTCTTCGTCCAATTTACTAATTGAAATGTTCAAGTTGATCGAACGTATCTACATATTTCATAAAGATACGTTGCATTTCATGGTTAACTCATAGATACTTGACATAAAATGTCATCTGATTAACACACAGCTGGTTCCTTTCTCTACGTTAAAAATCTTAGCTAGCAGGAAAAAAAAGTAAATCTTAAATTGACATTGATTATCAAAGTTAACCAATTTGGAACTGCTATATGATCGAGACACTTCTCATTGAAGCATGTAACAGATGTATTTAACAACGCCCGAGAGATCATGACACAAGTGCGGTTAATTTCTATTTATCGTAAAAAAAGTTCAAAGTTAATGATTAATCTACTCACGCATTGGAACCATCTGTCAAAGAAAATAAAACAAAAAGGAAAACCTAGAATAGAAGAAGAAGAAGAAGAAATGTATCGAAATCTTGATAAGAAAATAAAGCTAGACGACCAACATGCGATTATCATGAGAAAAGAATATGCATTATAGTCATTCTGATTATTATCTTTTTAAGATAAAAAAAAAAGAGGAGAAAGACCCTGATTGAAACTATTCCATTTATTTACTATTTAGAATTCTCTGGATATATGGACATTTGCTGATCAATTTCGAGCAATGGTAAAAAGTGCAGCTACTGATAATAATGAACGTCCGATTCTAACCGGTATGGCTCTGGGACTTAATTCAACTTTATTAATATCCGAAGGCAATACAAAATTACCTCCATGTCCAATGTTACTTCTTTCAAATAGTGATGGACTTTTGCAAGTTTATTATTTCATATGTAAAAGTTTACCGCCAATATGTCGCACATTTGAAGTTATCCAACAGATTCAAGCATTACAACCAACAATAAATATGGTTTCTGGAACATCAACATCAACGCCGCCACCGCCACCGTCATCGTCGTCTTCAATACCACCAACCATACCTTTTAGTGTATCTACGACAAAAAGTACGATTTCCTTCTACGTACTTGTATGAGAGAAAAAAAGATTATTTATTGTATAGTTACTCTATTGTTGTTACTTTCTGGGGAATGTCGAGAAAATAGCAACAACAATCTGTTAGAAGAACATGATCATCATTAAGAAAGAAGAAAGAGATTGCATAATATATATATAAGTACGCGGCATGGATTTTTGTAGTGATGAGTCGAGTGTCAGATAACAACCACATAAGAGAACAGGCAAGAGGAAAAAAGAACATTATCTAATGATGAACAGAAAGTTCAAGTAACAACAGCAATCCTCTGAAAGATTATATTAGTCTTCTCTGCGTAGACAGATAATAATACGAAACATTTGTTTAATCGAATCTATAATATCTTTTGACAATAATAATTCATCTAAAAAGTCATTCAATTGATTGCATACCTAAACGATGAGTTGTATGAATAACAAACACGAGACGAGAAGTAACTGTTTTAGATCATGCTATTTAAAGACAATTCTTGTTGTTTTATTATTTCAAATGAACAAATGTCACTTGAGATAGATCGGTAAATATTTTAATAGAATATTAATTAAATTACAGACTCTCATTTGTTCGACCTTGCCTAGTGGTATCTTGTTTTCTATCTCATTTCTCAAGAGACAGTGTGAAATTTTTATTTCTATTTTCTAGCGTCATCAAATAATGGATTTTCATTTTCTAATTTTGGATTTACTGATTCAACGTTTGCTCCGAATAATTCTCAACCAAACAAACAGCCTCCGAATAATCCTTTAAGTTCTATTCAACCATCTCTACCAATTACAAATGAATCATCGTCAACGGATGATATTTTCAAGTCCTTGAGCACGAATAAAGTAACTCCCACGTCTCAAATAGTACCAACAAAAGGTATAGTTTTCTTTTGCAAAAATTCACTATTCATATTATTATAAATATTTTAGGTGCAACCAATAATGAACAACCACCTCCAACAATTGTTAATACTAAAACACTTCGTCAAATGGTAAGAAGCCAAGTTCTCATCATCTAAACAGAATTGTAAATTAATGATTATTCAGAAAATTCATCGAGGCTAAATAAATAGAGAGAAAAGAAACAGCTTAGCTCATTTTTAACCTTTACTTGACTTATACATTATGCAATAGGAAGAAGAAATGAAAGTTTTTTTCTAGCTCCAGGATGTTTAGGATCGTGTTATTTCAGCTGATATAGTTTCCGATGATATCGCCTCGCTAATAATTTCAAAAGAATATGTTACTGAGAGTTGCGCCATAGTGCAAATCTTTCTCTTCAAAGTACACTGATCTGATTTAGACGTTCATTTCGAGATCAACGTTCTTTAAAATAATAATAAGTAGCGTGACATCCAACAGAATGATGGGATACTACAAAGAGAAATATCGTCCGAAGAAGAGTTCTTGGATTCTCTCAACTTTGGTCGAAAGAAAAATGTCGAACGTAAAAATGTCGAAAACTAATATCTGAAGATAAATATATGGTATGATGGAAAAAGGAAGAAAGGAAAAATATCGAAAGGGAAAAAAGTTGAAAATAAAAATATCGAAAACAAAATTAATACACATGCAGATGGATAGAAATGCTGACAACGAGAGTATATTGAAGTACAAGTCTCCCTCACCCTCTATTCAATCTTACATGCTCGTGTTCATCTCATATTCTTGTTTTCGACATTTTCCCTTTCTTCTTTTTTCCATCCATTCCTGGAGACTGGCTTCCATAAACTATCACCTACGATGATTTTGCTTATTTAAATTAGTACCATTTTTTTAATTTTTCGACATTTCTCCTGTCGACATTAGTACAGTTTTTCTTTTCAACTTTATTGCTTTCGGCGTTTTTCCTTTCGACCAAAGTTGTGATTACCGAGTTCTTGTATGTACCTATTGGCTTCGTTTTTCAATAGTACGGCATGTCGAAGTAATGTTGCTGCCGATTCTTTAGGCATCGTTAGTGTTGGAAATTATTTATTGCCTACTTTAAATTCTTGTCATCATTTGATAAAGAGAAAATCAATTTAACCTAGATTTTTCTTCACCAAGTTAAATATTTAGTTGTAATCAGTAACACTGCGGTAATTTAAAATTACTAAGAAGAAATTTTGCTCTGATGTTATATTTTTTCTACATGCCTTCTGAATTCAAGCCTAACTTTTTCTTAGACTAATGAATTGCAATCGAAATTGAAAGCTGTTCAAAATCCATTATCAAAACCATCTGATTCGCCTATAGATCTCGATCGATCTTTAAAAACTTTAATAACATCATTGAACACTACGACCAAATCGCTTGAAGTAAATATTATTCGGGTTTTCTCCACAAAATAAGAAAATCTTTCTTTGTTTTGTTTTAGACATCACTGCAATCAATAAAAAGCATGACAGGTGCACATATAGAGTCACAGACAAGAATTGAAAATGCTCGTCATCAAATAATATTATGTCAAAAAGAAAATCTCTATGATCTATTAAAAGATCGTGAACTCGATCCATGGACACAATTACGTATTGATTCAGTTAAAACTAAATATGAAAAATTGAAACATGATTTTAATGTATTACTTCAATTAACCAATAAAACCATTCATGATAAATCATTTATCAATAATGATGATGATGATGATGATGAAAACGAGTTCGTTTAAGCAAACACAAATTCAGTTTTTTTTCTAATTTTTAATTTTCAGGGATTTCCTACCGGATTTCGAAATATTAGATACAACTGAAACAATGAAACAAAGAATGAATAAACGCTTGCGAGATCTTAGTCACAAAGTAACTGAAACAGAAAAAGATTTAGCCAATATTTGTAAAACATTAAATACAGATTTATTGAGTAGCAAACCAAATAAGTATGATTTAAAATTACAGAAATGTTTGTATTCTCTTATTGAGTTATATTTTTTTTCTTTTAGTTCAAATTTTTCGAAGACGAAAACGTCTTCGTCCAGATCATTTCATGAATTCGATTCGAAAATTTTTTCACATTTACAAGCTACTCATCAAAAAGTTCTTCAAATACGTGTACCAGCAACTCCAATAATTCAATTGCCATCGATCGGCGAGCCAAAACAATCGTCAACAACTGAAATAGCTAAGTCACAAACGCCTACCATAGAATCATCAACATTGGTAACAACTAAACAACAAACACCTACGACTAAATCATCAACACCGATACAACCGAATTCACCATCTGGTGAATCGGAAAGTTTTAAAAATATGCTACGTCTTGTTCGAACATCAATCGATCTATTTTCTGGTGCCACAAGCCCTGAACAATTACGTGAGTTATCGAGCACAATAGCAACAAGTCCATTAGCATCAGGAACAGTAGCTGCACAAAAATCAAATATTACTGGTATTAATCGAACTCCAACGATGTCGAAAACAGCAAATCCGGCAAAATCATCCACTATAGCAAAGCCAACATCAACAAATCTTTTACAAACACCTGGAACAATGATGAATTCATCTATTCCAAATATTTCTTTTACGCCAGCAACGCCAACAAGCCAAACAATATCATCGGATACGCAATCGAAACTTCAAGCAAATAGACCTAGCTTTCAAACAACTGCTGATCAATCAAAACAACAATCTGCATCCGTAACAGGTGATACTTATATGCGATCATTACTGGGTAATAGTACAATGCCATCTACAACAACTTCTCCATCACTAATAAATCAACTGGGAGCTGCATCCACAACAACCCAAGGCGTAAGACCGGCACTATTTCCCAATGCTTCTGCCACAGCATCAACGCCACAAGTCATAAATCAAATTGCTTTATCAGCACAACAAGCAACAGGTATATCTACTTCGTCGTCAAGTCAGCCACCTTTCGGTAATATTTCTTCAACTACATCAACAACGATAACATCTGTTCAATCAACATCACCAACAACCAAACCTATTGTTTCTACTAGCCTAAATCCATATAGTGGTCAAGCGCCGTTCAGTATTTCCGGATTTAATTTAACGTCTAATTCGCCATCTACGAGTCCATTTGGCACTACAACAACAACAACAACAACTACGGGATCATCATTTACTGGTGCTGTCACTACAACATCTGCACCCAGTATATTTGGTGCTACTGTAACAGCAACTGCCAGTCCATTCGATACTACTGCTCCTACGACTACAGCAACAGCAATAACACCTACATCTGGTGCTGGAATATTTGGTGCTCCAACAACATCAACTGCTAGCGTATTTGGTACCGGATTTGGCAGCCCTTCTACTATGATCGCGACAACATCATCAGCACCTGCTGTTAGCATATTTGGTACACCAATAAGTACATCTCCAGGTACCAGCATTTTTGGAGCTGGAACAACAGCAACACCTGGCACTAGCTTATTCGGTGGTGCTCCAGGTGCGGTATCATCACCGGCAAGCCCATTTGGTAGTGGATTCGGTAGTGCTTCAACAACAGCAGCTCCTAGTACTAGTGCATTCGGCGGTGGCTTTGGTAATACTACTACTACTACTGGAACATCTCCATTCGGCAGTACATTCGGTGCAACAACACCAACATCCAGTGCTAGTCCGTTTGGTAGTAGATTTGGTGCTACTACTACTGCTACTTCAACAATACCAACATCAGTCACTAGTGCTTTTGGTGGTAGTGGCTTCTCAGTTACTTCACCAGCAGCATCTACTTTAACTACTCAATCAGCAGCTGGTGGTGGTTCATCATTTGGTAGTCGACCAACATTTGGTAGTAGTTTTACTGGTTTTGCAACACAATCAAATGCAGCTGCATCATCGACCGGCTTTTCATTTGGTGGTTTTGGTAGTGCTCAACCTGCAGAAGCTCAAGCAACGCAACCAGGCTTCGGTTCTTTTGGAGCAGCATCGACTACTGCGTCACCCTTTGGAGGAGCAGTCGGACAAACAAGCGGTTTTCCTTGTAAGTGCACAACATTTTTAGAGAAAACTTCTTCTTTGACGGTTCCTTTTCGTTCTCTTATTTTTAGCAGCAACATCATCATTTGGTGCTGCAACAGCACAACCAACAGCTTCGCCTTCATTTACAGCTTATCGTAAATAAGACATACTACATAGATACAAATATGCATATATTTTTTTTTCTCTTTTTGTTTGTCATGCCTGTAACTGAGAAAATTTGTTTGCTCAACACTCGATTAATTTTTCTTTTGTCTTTTTTGAAAAAATAAAAAACCCACATGTGTGAATCCAATGAAGAAAAATAAATATGTGATATAAATATAAAAAACATTGAAATACATTTTTCTCCTTTGTTTTTTTCGAAAAAAAAGTATGTAGGCAGAGAGTAGTCTGAATTGAGTTTTGATCATCGAAATGATCATCTCACTTATTTAACTGCATGTTGCTGACCACAGGCTTTCACAACTTTTTCAACGATAAGAGCATCTCAACGTATGTTGATCTTGTACTCGAATGTTACCATTGAGAAAGAAACTTCACACCGGAAGCTTTCTGATCACCTGCCATACGTTAACCGCATGGAACCCTGCTAGAGTCTCGATTGGTCGTTATCTCAGACCTTCCCAAGGATAAATATGAAAGAGTGACATTAGATCGCACTCGTATGTAATCCCTGTAAGTAAGCTTCAACCCACATACATGAATGTATTTTTCTTGGCTTCAAACTTATATAATGAAACATATTTGTACAAAGAAATAAAACGGTGATTCACAAAAAACCTTCGATCGTGAGTGACACCTTTCATTTTACTGTCGCTAAAATCTATCATTTTCACACGATGAAATAATATACGTAGTCAATGCAATGAATGATTTTTTTTATAATTAGAATAATTATTCAAATTTATTGATCGTACATTGTTTTTGTTATCGTCTTAAATTAAAATAATAATAATAATAATAATAATAATAATAATAAAATTTTGAGAAAACCAAAACGCTTCTGTTCCGTACAGACACGTGTGTATTCATCTGAGAATGTATGTTTAATTTTTAATTTTTATATTATATCCAAGGCAACAAAACACTGAGCCTTAGGTTTTCAAAAAATGTTTTGAAGTTGTGATAGAATATGTTGGCATTTTTATCAGTGAGAACCGCCGTTATAAATAACAAAAACATGTTCAGCTCTGTAAAGAAAAGAAGCAAAATATTTCTGTTGAAATCATACGAATCGATTTTTGAGCTATTAGTCTTTTGTATGTGGTCATTACTAAAAAATTAATATCATGAGAACAGGGGAAGTGTGAATCGCTTTGGCTCATGAATAATTCATTGTTGTCTATCAGAGCCATCTGTCATGGTGATATTACAGCTTATGTTTGATTCGTTCACGGTGACAAGTAATTCAATGCAATGCGTGTATATGTGTAGACGAACGGGTGAATCAAACTCAATTAAAATAGCAATACGTTTCATGTTATATATTTGTTCTTTGAAAGAAAAAAGAAAGACCTTGCTAGGAATATTTTAGATGACTGAAGTGCATTCGTTTGGCAACCTACCAGTAATTGCTCATTCTTGGAATAAAGATCGAACACGTATGTTTTTTTTTCTTTTAATCTCTCATTCAATTTGTTTTGTACCTATTTGATTTCATCTAGAAATAGCCGTATCATTAGGTAAAAATGATGTTCGTATTTATCAAAAGAAGGATGGTAAATGGCGATTGATACATACATTATCGGAACATTTATCTCGTGTGTTAGCAATCGATTGGGCGCCTCAATCAAATAGAATTGTATCAGCTAGTGCTGTAAGAATTCGAAGTTTTGTCTTGTAAAATAAGTTCGATTGTTCTATTAGGATTATAATGCTTATGTTTGGTCTTTTGAAAATAATACTTGGAAACAACAAATGGTTGAATTACAGCGAACAAGTAGAGCCGTATGTTGTGCCAAATGGTCACCCGATGGTAAAAATTCAAAACGATGCTGATGAAAAAAAATCCTTTTTTTTTGTTAAGAAAATAAATTTGCTATTGGTTCAAGTGATAAAAACGTTGGAATATGTTATTATGAAACTGAACAAAGATTTTGGGCAGCAGAAATGATAAAGAAAAAACCGAAATTAACTGTCACGTGTATCGCCTGGCATCCAAATAATCAATTGCTTGCTGCTGGCAGTTGCGATTATCGAGTTCGAATCTATTCGGCTTTCGTTAAAACTGTTGATCGTGAGCCGCAAGTTTCTAGTTGGGGAAAAATTACAAATACAGGAGAACTGCTACACGAATTTCAATCTGGTAATGAGTTTTTTTCGTCGTTTTTGATAGAATTTTATCGCTTGAAATTATTTAGAATCGGGCTGGATTCATGATTTAGCTTTTTCACTATCGGGTGACATTCTTGCATGGGTATCACATAATTCAATTATATTTGCTGTGTCAGCAAGAAATCCAGCCGAGTCTGTTTGATTTTAAATTTAATTTTCCAAACGAATAATTTTGTTTTTAGAATTACAATGGAAATTACAAATTATTTGCCATTTCGTTGTATTCTTTTTGTTAGTGAATCAACAATGATTGTTGCAGTATGTACAATAAACAGAAAATTAAAAAAAAAGAATGATGGGTGTATTTTTCTTAAGGGTCACGAATTTTCTCCATTGATTTATAATTATGATGAACGAAAAGGTACACTTAATTTTGTCGAGAAACTCGATCAGCAAGATGGAGTAGTTGGAAAACAAGCGATTAAGTTAGTATTCGTAGATTATATTTTCTCTTCATTTATTTTCATGTCTTTTTTGCCTATAGCGAAGAGACTGAATTTTATACGCCATATCAGGCAGCGTATGCAGGATGAAAGAGTGTGTTTGCAGTGTTTCGTTTTTTTTTGCATGAATATTTAAAATTTGCATTTTATCGTCGAATTGCTTCCGATTAGTTGCATGAACAGTGCGGAAACTCAGTCACTTCCTTACGAATGCATAAGTTCGTTCCTCTCTGTACTATTTATGATTACAAAGAGTTAAGCGAACGATGCGTACTTCGGATTTGTTGATCTGGCAAGAGTAAATTTAGTGTTCTGAAATGAACCTTCGCAAGAATTCCTTCAGCTGTTTGAAACTATGGTTTTGAGATAAACATTTTCGGGTTTAACAAAGTAAACAAACTGTTTTTTGACTTTTAATATTTTCGTTAGTCGTCTATTTGATCAAGCATCAATGCAAACACAAACACCTGAGCCGGTATCGACGCATCAAAGCATGATAACGTAAGAATGTCTTGTTTTTCAGTTGGCTTTACTTCTGTCAATATTTCCGTTTTATTAGACAACTTTTACCTTATCAAACAGAGCCTAATTGTCTATCGAAAATCAGTTCGGCTGATTTATTTGGCCAAGTTGTTATTTGGAATTTGAATGGCAGAGTAAGGTTTTTCGGTTTAATATCCGCGTATTTAAATTTTATTTTTTAGAAAATAAGAAAATGAATGGTGATTGATAAACAACATGGATGGAATAGAACTGTTTTACTTGACAATGTGTGGGTTTCTTTTTCTTCATTCTTATTCTTATTATAATCATCGTTCGAAATTGGCACAAACAAGATGTTTGTACAATCGAATGTACTTATGTATTTTTCTATGAACTTAAGCTGCGTTCTTGAAGTCGTGCTGTTCGTCTCTTTTTTTTTAAATGGTCGCTTTCTATTTGACTATGCGCTGCTTATCTTGTAAAAGTAATTTTTCCATTAAAATATAAACATCTTTATTTGATATTTAATAAAGCAAAAACAGCAAAATTTCAGCACTTGAATTAATCTTTTCTAGATAATTAATAAATAAGCAAGAGAAAACGGCAAGCCCATGACAATGTCGTTACTCATTTAAGTGAGTCCTATTTTTTTATGAAAATTTTCTTTCGTAGTTTGATATATATTAGCAAAACAGCCCAGATGAAGTCAAACTTGATTATAGACGTCGATATTTGTATGAGACGGAATAAAATAGTCTAGAAAAAATGAATACATAGACTCCTCGATGTTCAGGGACATTGACTTATCTACACAACTTTGCTCTTATTACATCACTAGTTAGAGTGAGATGTAATGGCAAGGCTATTAACATTTATGATAACACAATTTCATCGCTAGAAACACATTGACATATTCGATTAGACATTGTCGACAAGTGCGCAAACCTTTATTTGATGTGGATTTATAGATATTTAGGATTGTATAGATAAAATAAACCATTCCAGATACTTGATTGAAATAATACTCTCACTGAATCGATAATAGAGAAAAATGACTGTACATTATAAGAGAGTTGCCATACGAATTAATTTGAGCCAATCTAAGATTATATACTGATGATATATTATTATTATTATTATTCAATTGTATCATATCGTACGCTGATCTATAGGTGAAATGAAACGATTGTACTTCTATTTATGCATCATTCATAAATGTAGGCGTTCGTCATTATGTACAGGTAGTTATGCTTCATTTATAAAAGGTGTAAGGATTTAGTTTTTGCACAAAACACTTTTATTCATCACTGCTATCATTGATATATACTTTTTTAAACATAGAAACCTTGAGAATATGCCTCGTATGTGTGTGCGTGTGTGTTCTGGATCGATAATCATCTACGTAGAGTTAATGGTTTTCACCGATGTTTGTAAACGTTTAGACAAGCTATTTTTTGATAGGCAAATTTAAAAAATGTTTACTTCCTATTCGGTTTTTATTTTCAGCATAACCGCACCGTGTCGGTTGAATGTAGGTTGAAAATTTTCAATTATTATCTAACATAAGAAAAAAAAAAGTATTTTCATTGTTGTAATATATTGAATTACTTTGATTTTGACGAAATCATCTTTGTATGTTTTATTTCTGAATCAAATAACTGCGGTGGAAATGAGTCCTGTGATGATTTCATTTACTTTCGTCAATATTACCTGTTGACATAATACTTTCAGAAAAAAATAACAAATATTTGATTCACAGTCTGTTGCATATAATCTTTTTCTTTACCTTTTTTCTTATATCAGTATAATAGAAAATGACCGAAGAGCAGTAAAAACAGTTCGAATACGCTTATATTCACTGATGAGATCAAATAAGTTCAAAAGGCACTTCAAAGTAAGTAGAGAGAATGAAAGTAAACTGTTGCCCTTGAGACGTCTATGTCATTTCTATTTTTATGAATATTTTAGATGTTCTTATTTTCGTTTCAATGTGTTAATCCTTGATAATTATTTTACAAGTTAATTTTATTTTTTCAAAACGAGAAATAAAATCCGTCATTATCGCATTCCATTTCATTGATCAAATTGCTTTCGAACAATTAAACATAAATTTTCAAGGACAATCATCGAATAATAAAATCTTCATATGATGACAACATTTCTTAATTCTGACGCGGCATGTCGTGTAACTGCTCAAGAAATCATAAAAATCTTGCAAACAGATGCTAAATTAGGTTTAAATGAAAATGAAATTCAAACTCGACAGAAATACTATGGCCATAATGATTTTGAAGTAGACGATGATGAACCAATATGGAAGAAATATTTAGGACAATTTAAAGAGCCCATGATATTGCTGTTGCTTGCATCAGCATGCATTTCATTGCTGATGAGACAATATGATGATGCTTTATCTATAACTATAGCTATTATTATTGTTGTTACAGTTGCTTTTATACAAGAAAATCGAGCTGAAAAAGAAATCGAAGCATTGAGAAGACTTGTACCGCCGAAATGCGTTTGCATACGAGAAGGAAGAAGTCAACAAATTTTTGCTAGAGAATTAGTACCAGGTGATTTATGTATTTTGGAAAGTGGTGATCGTATACCCGCTGACTTACGTCTAACTGAAGCAAATGATATGTCCATCGACGAATCGTCATTCACTGGCGAAGTAAAACCATCAAATAAAATAATTGACTCTATTTCGTTTGGTTCAAGACAAACATCGATTAGTGATAGAAGAAATATTGCATTCATGGGTACACATGTACTTACTGGAAATGCAAAAGTAAAGAGAATCTTAAAAAGAAAACGTTTCCCAGTCTAATTCTGTTTGTTTTTCTTTGAAGGGTATTGTGATATGTACAGGTGAGAATTCAGAATTTGGAAAAGTATTTCAAATGATGCAACAACAAGAAGTACGGAGAAGAAAGGGAAATTAATTTTACAGAAAAAAAAATTCTTTTGTTATAGGCACCTAAAACACCGTTACAAAAGAGTATGGATGCCTTAGGAAAACAGCTGTCATTTTATTCATTAAGTATTATTGGTTTTATTGTTATTGTGGGATGGCTACAAGGTAGACATCTTCTGGAAATGTTCACCATCGGTGTCAGGTATGCATACGGGTTCACTGATACGTTAGAGACTTTGATTAGCAAACTTGGAACATATCCCTCTTGAGGTTTCATTTCGCTCGAAAACTAACAATGAAGATGAAAAATCTTTAGTGATATGCATGATTTTATTTTCTAGTTTGGCAGTAGCAGCTATTCCTGAAGGTTTACCAATTGTAGTAACAGTAACATTGGCACTTGGTGTTCAACGCATGGCAAAACGAGAAGCAATCGTTAAAAAATTACCGATCGTCGAAACACTCGGTAGAGTATTTTCACTTGAATTATTTATTTATGTCTTTCAATTTTGTTTTCTTTAGGCTGCGTAACAGTGGTATGTTCAGATAAAACGGGGACTCTAACAAAAAATGAAATGACTGTAACGAATATTTTAACATCTGATGGAGATTCTGCCGAGGTACACATATTTATCTAAATAATAAGAAATTATTATGATTGTTTTTAAATTTATTAGGTTACGGGTTCAGGCTATGATGGACAAGGTGATGTTATATGTGGTCATGAACGAGCTACTTACGATTCGCATCCTCTTATATCAAAAATAGTCGAAGTATGTTTGCATTTACCACGTTTTTCTCTCTCTCTCTCTCTGACTACTAAGGATTAGAAAAAAATAATTTTTAAGTTTGCATTCTCGACTGTTTTATTCATCTGGCATAATCGCATTATCGTTTACTACTTGGGTCATTGAAGTTACATTTGGTAAAACAAGTAGCTTCAAGAAAAACTCATGCATGTGACATCATATCGATAGCTTTCTTTTCTTTGTATATACATTTTAGAGGGAGTATGTTCTCAAAAAGCACAGCTAAGTTATGCCGGAGCCCCAAAATCATAAGTTGTTTTGAGTATCATATGGAATATATAGAAAGTGTGATTAGGAATTTTTTGTCCTAATATTGTGTTACGAGCAACGAAACGGTTATCTTTTTCCTCATAGATTGGCGCTGTTTGTAATAATGCTGAAATAATCAATTCTCAACTTCGTGGTCAACCAACTGAAGGTGCCCTACTGGTTGTTGCTATGAAAGTAAAAATATTGCTTTTAAACACTGGATTCATCAAACTGAATTATTGTTCTAATTAGATGAATATTCCTCATCTTCGTGAACAGTTTCATCGTGAACGTGAATGGCCATTTTCACACGAAAATAAATGGATGGCTGTACAATGTACACCAAAATATAATCCAGTTTGTATTTTAGATTGAAATGTTTCTGTCTCATTACAAGTTTATTTTCTAGAATGAAATACGTTTATATGTCAAAGGAGCAATTGAACAAGTATTAAAATTAGCTAAACGATATCTGCATCAAGGAGCAGCTGTACCATTGACAGATGACAATATTCGAGGTTTTGTCGCGGATTCCAATCAAATGGCAGCCAAAGGACTAAGAAGTATAAACATCAGTTTGATAGAAAGAGCTAAAAATACAAATTTGTGGGCTTTGCCATTAGACTATAGCGTTTGAGAACAATAATAAAAGAGAAATCTACGTTCTTTTGATTTTATTTTGTATAAACAGCGTCTCGAGTTAACATTCATACAGCGATGAATATGCTCGAATAAATGACAAATCTTATGTATTTTAGTTTTGGCTATGGCAACAGGAACCTCTCTTGACGATTTGACATACGTTGGTATGGTTGGCATTATTGATCCGGAGCGTCCAAAAGTTGAACAAGCAATCTCACAATTAAAAGTCGGCGGTGTTATTGTTAAAATGATAACAGGAGATGCTGAGAAAACAGCAAAAGCCATAGGTGAATATTTTGTTTTCGATATCAAATAGTTAGGAAAATTTTTACTTTAATTTTTCTTAGCGTCTCGTCTAAAGATTTATAGCAGTGATGATTTATCTCTATCTGGTGAAGATCTTGATCATATGAATGCAGTTGAACTTCGTGATGCCGTTTTACATGCATCCGTTTTCTATCGTGTTAGTCCAAAACATAAACTAACCATTGTTAAAGTAAGTCTTATGAATATTATACGAATTAATTGTAGAAAAATTCTTTTGTTTTAGGCATTACAAGCTCAAGGACATATTGTTAGTATGACAGGAGACGGTGTTAATGATGCAGTTGCACTTAAAGCAGCTGATATTGGCATCGCTATGGGACAAACAGGTACTGACGTGTGTAAGGAAGCAGCTGATATGATTCTTGTCAAAGATGATTTCTATACGATTATGTAAGATTTGTTTTTAATTTTTAATTCTTTGTAGTTTATGATTGATTTTAGGGCAGCGATCGAAGAAGGAAAAGCTATATTTCATAATATAAAAAATTTTGTTCGATTTCAATTGAGCACGTAAGTTAAAACGGTTTGATTGATTCTATTAGTAAATTGTCGTTTTTCAAGGAGTATTGCTGCGTTGAGTTTAATAACGCTTTCAACAGTTTTTCATTTTCCTAATCCATTGAATGCAATGCAAATTCTTTGGATTAATATTATTATGGATGGGCCACCAGCTCAAAGGTTTGTTAGAGTTTATTTTTAATTTTGTTGTTGAAACATGATGAATATATTTAGTCTTGGCGTTGAACCAGTTGATCATGACGTATTAAAAAAGCCGCCACGAAAAGTGACGGATTCAATGATTGATAAAAATTTAATTGTACATATATTAACTAGTGCTATTGTAATTGTTTTTGGAACTTTATGTGTTTTCTATGCCGAAGTAGGTTGAGATTGATTTCAAGAAGTTGTTTTTATTTATTTTTTCTGGAATTTAGATGAGAGATGGAAAAGTAACGCCTCGAGATACAACTATGACATTTACATGTTTTGTCTTTTTTGACATGTTTAATGCGCTCAGCTGTCGATCTCAAGTAAAATAAACTTTTTGTTTCTCCTTAAATTGAATCTATCTTGTTAAATCATTAGACGAAATTCATTTTTGAAATTGGTCTTTGTTCAAATCGGTATTTTGTTGTTGCAGTACTTCTTTCTATTATTGGCCAGTTAGCTGTCATTTATTTACCACCATTACAATTTGTATTTCAAACGGAAGCTCTTAGTGCTGCAGGTAAAGAGAATTTGTTTTGTACAGAAAACGAAAGTTTCATAGATCGAGAAAAAAAATCATAAATATGTAGTTGGCACTGACTTCGTCTAATGATATGATTCGTTAACTTCATAAAATATAAAAGTAAGAATTGGGATGTACCGAAGTAGGCGCCAAAAAAAAAATATTTGCACTGATACCAACATCAGCATCTGCTTTCTCGAACTTCTAACGAATTTCCCTGCAACCGTCTTCAGTTAATCTGTGTGCCATTTTCATCATCGAAAATATGATTCAGTTGTGACAAACAGTGAGCTTTCTTCGAACTAAGTATCTCAACAAATTAGACTTATTTCATTCTCATCACGGTGTATATTTGTGAACGCGATTTTTATTCTATTTAGATTTATTCTATCTGACGTGTTTAACATCATCTGTATTTTTTGTTAATGAATTTCGGAAATTAATCTCGAGAATAATCCTTAAACGTCAACTCAATCATAAAAATATGCTGATTCATCAATGGATGGTTTAGTTGCAGATACAGATTTATTTTTACAAGCAAGAGCAAAGAATATCTCACCGAATTCAGTTCCTATCTTGGAAATTTTACAAAATTATAAATTGCCAATTATTCTTTTTTTTTCTTCTTTTTCTTTAATTTATTTCAACTTTTATTGTTATGTCTTATCGTAAATCTGTTGAATTGTTTTTCAAAAAAGGAAAGAAAAAGGAAAACACAAATACCAAAGAACTGCTATCTGACATTGATAAAGAATACAAATTAAATTACAAATGCATTATTGTAAAACAAAATCAACAACTAATAAATGGAATGTTTAAAATAATTGAATAAACAAAACAAAAGCTAAAAAAATGGAATGTGAAAAAATCATATTGCTAGATGAGTTTTGACTATGAATTCTTTTACAGCCTTTATTATTTCGATGAGTCACAAATTGTTGACAATCAGACGTTTCTAAATGAATGAAAACATTAAGTTTGAATCAATCATAAAATTCATCATCTTACGATAAAGTGTGACTCTTCCAAATTCCGATGGAAAATTCGGCGCTGTTGCATTTATATAATAATTACCCAAATCGGCTTGTTTAAAATTAATAATCGTTAAACGTGATAAAATACAATCAGTACATATTGACATTTCCGGTATGGTTGCTTCGATTAAATATTCCTGTGAGTTCCAAATATTTGTGTAATATTTCATATTTGGAACACCAGCACTTTGTTCTTTACGCCAACTTAACGAAATAAAAACGAATTCAATAGCAGATCGGCAAAAACGAATCATTCAATCTTACGAAATTTTCGGCGGAGGATAACCGTAAACGTAACATTCCACATAGGCGTCAACTTGAAAGTCTGTCGCTTGACCGACATCACGTTCACAATATACATATGGACGAACTGAAACATGAAAAATATTTTGAGTTCGCACTACATTCATAACGTTGACTACTGAACAGAGCCCGTTCGAGCTCTACTACTGCGGTGAAAGTATTTTAGAAATCTCAACATTCTCACTTACATCTTACTGAAAGTTTCAGTGTCCATTCACTACCAAAGCCAACCAAATTACTAGCTGAAAATAGAAAACAATATCAACATACTGATTTTATGCTTGAATATAATTACATACCCAAACATTTATAAATTCCACTTTCTCTACGTGTTACTTGATGCAAATCTAATTGAGAACCCTAGAAGGAAATAAAAACTCGATGATATTAAATTGTCATGAATAATTTAAAAGCACATACCATCTGTCTAATGTGACCTGAGCTAAGAGGTTGTGCGTCAGCTTTTTGCCATTCGATAGTTGGTGATGGATATCCTGGAGAAAATTTTTTAAAATATAATTCTATTAGTTTTTAATAAAAACTGACAAACCTTGAGCATTACAAATAAGTGTAACTGAATCACCTTCGTTGACTTCGATGTCTTTTGTTGATGATTCAAGAACAAGTGGTTCGCCTAATTTAGAAAGTTCTTTCATATTTTGTAATTTCAAGAGCATGTGCCTACTCACTGATCACATTAAGAAAACGTGTCAAGTATATTTCTCTTGAATTAGTATCCGTCAAACGACCTAAGCAAATAGTCAAAGTTTTTTCGAAAATATTTTAAGTTAGATTTTACATGTTAAATTGCCAAGATCATCTCGGTCAAGTGGATCAAATATCAAAGTCCACTCAGATGATTCAGTTGCATGAATAGCTTGTAAACGAGGAACCGGTTGATTAAATTGTAAAACATCAGTATCAACAGCTAATGTAAAATTTTTTCCATCATTAAATCTTTTTAATGCCCATTCAACCTAAATATTCAACAGAAAACAACATCTTATGGCCATTACATAATTAGAGCCAGCCCCCTGGGATAAAGTAGCAAGCTGTAATCTACTTGATTACGTCTTTCCTTGTTTTCGTCAGTCGGATAGAAATCTTAATCACATCCATCTTCAAAAAGAAGAATATCCAATCAAAATCTCCGCCTAGTTTCACAACATTGACTGGAGTCGTAATACAGTTGTACGCTTCTTATATTAACGAGCGCCATTCGAGTTTTAGTATGTCAACTGCAATCAAAATTGTTATCCCGCCCTAATGATAACTACTTTTATCTTTATTAAAAGAAAAATAATGACTAGTATATTCTTCCTTCCATTCTATAGGAAATGTTTTTTTCTGGCATATTAATGTCTTCTGATTATTTTGAATGTACAAGTAACTTTCAATTGAAGTCTTAAAAAATATGTTTTCCGAAGTTATTTTAGCAATAGATAAATATCGCGATCTAATCACTGACAATCAGCTCAATGAGAGCTCGTCTACGTTATCAAATAATATTAATTTTATATGTTGATTTTCAACAAGAATTATATTAAAAATAATATTTAACTTACATGACGTTTATCATTAGATGTCAAACCAACTAATGTACAAGTTGCAGTCAATCGTTCACCAGCACGTGGTGCTATTGGATCAAAAATAATTCCATCTTTATCACGCATATCAAATCGCGGTATTGTTTCGGTATTTATTAACGATATTGATATACATATTATATACACTGGTAAGAAAAATAATTTCATAATAAATTTCAAAAAATAGATTTAAACAAGCGAAAAAGGTTTACCAAACGAACGAGATAGCATCAACATTTTGTCATGCACAGTACAGGTGAGATTTCGTCTCTTTTGATTGATCACTTTGTTCCGAAAAATGGACAGTAGATGACCGATCGAGCGACCAATGGCTATCATGAGTTATGTTGAAATTTAAAGAGAGAAGAATAATTCTTGTAATTTTGATTTGTTTTGAATTTCTAGAAAAAATAAAAATGAAAAAATAAAATTCGAGTGAAGCGACATCTTTCGTATACTGTGATTGATTGTTGCTTTCAATTAGCCAAAATGCTGTTCTCTTTTTTTTGTTCACTTCCAGAAATCTCTTCATTTTCTTGATTGCGGAGACAAGAATCTCAAACATGGCTCTCTATCAAAAAACGTACGAATGAATTCTCATTTGAATCTTCAATATTTTTCTTGTTTTTAAACAGATTTGATCAATTCGAAGCGATACTAAAATGTGACATGATCGATATAAAAAAACTCAAAGCTCTAGCATTCAACGGTAAAAGTCTTCATTCGAATAAGATTTTTCGATTGTAATTTTCTGTGCTTGAGTAGGTTGTCCAGACGAAAATGGTATTCGTAGTCTAACATGGAAGGTAAAATCAGTGGCATAATTGAGAATGATTTAAACCTTTGAATCGATTAGATATTGCTCAGTTATCTTGTGCTCGATCGAACTAAATGGGCATTACATTTAAGTAAACACCGGTAAAATAAAATAAAAATAAATGTAAATAAAACTTGAATTTTTCTTCGATAGTGAATTATATCGTGGTTATATTCGAGAAACCATAATAAAGCCAGGGCTTACACCATCATCAGAATCTGCTGTAGTCGATCATGTTAGTTGCTGCTACATTTTCCTACTATCAATCGAATTTGTATTTATTTTAGCCATTAAATTCTGCGCCGGATAGTTCATGGGCTGTGTATTTTAAAGAAAATGAAGTTTTATTACAAATTGATAAAGATGTTCGGTTCGTTTTTTTCTTCTGTTCTCATTAATAAAACTACTTCGAACCTTTTTTTTTGTATAAATAGACGACTTTGTCCAGATCTATCGTTTTTTCAACGTGAAACGGATTATCCCTGTTCAGAAATCTTAAATCAAGAAGCTGGTTTTGAAAGTTTACGCAAACGCATTGAATCAACATCACTTAAAGTTGAAAATCGCGTGAATAGTCGATTAGATTTACAATATCAAAAGAAAGCCAATCATTCGAAAACAACCTATGACATGAACGAATATCAATGGCTGCCCGACGGACATGAAGCACATTGGGAAGTTGTTGAAAGAATTTTATTTATTTTTTCAAAACTTAATTCCGGACAAAGTTATGTACAAGGAATGAATGAAATCATTGGGCCTATCTATTATACATTTGCAACAGATCCAAATCTAGAATGGAGAGGTTCGTATATTAAGATCAGTATTGACGACTGATCGGATTTAGATGAGTCTTAAAAATGTTAATATCTACTGAATACGGAAATGAACTATGCGATTAAGAAGAAGAGAAAGCTAATGCTAATTTTATCTGTAAACTTTTTTTTTCATAACGGAAACTTTCAATTATCATGCTTTTGAATGGGGGTGTCACATTTTAATTTAAAATAAATTTAAATTCAAGAAATTAAAATTTAATTATCCCGGTATGTTGAAGAAGACAGATCACGGATCCTGCCTAATCTGTAGAGAAATTTTGACTATTATGAGCAAATATTAACTTAAAATACTAGGTTCTCCTCTCATTTAGTATTTACCACTATTAAAGTCACGTATTTTCCTCATAGCAATGATGTATATCCATCCAAACAATTTCTTAAATTTGAATGATTTTTCAGTCCAAAAATTAAAATTAAATTAACTTTTCGCGAATTTAAATTTAAATAAAATAAACTGTAAATTGACACCCCTACTTGTGGGTTGTAGTAAACTGGTTCTAAACTTCAACAAACTGTTTATGGGCTGTTCCATCTCAACTGATACCCATCGTTTACGCTTATATAAGGTCGATAAGAGCTACGTTAGAATCTTTTCTGTTTTTTTTCTCTTATTCACGTGTCCTCCTTGAAAACTAACACGAGCGCAAATTTTCTAAGAGCCACTATCTCCAGTTGAACAACATTTGACAATCACAGCTTCTCCATCATACAAACAATAAATGTCCTACTAGTATTTTTACTTGAATGTGAAGAAAAATTCGAATTGATTCAAAAATGTTTATTTTTAGAACATGCTGAAGCTGATGCATTTTATTGTTTCACCAATTTAATGATACATATTCGAGATAATTTTATGAAAATCTACGATCATTCTGAATTCGGTATACTCGTACGCATGCAAAGGTTTCTCATTTTATTGAAGAAAACCGATGAGAGTATTCATTATTTATTTGAAAAGCAAAAATTAAAACCCGAATTTTATGCATTCCGGTGGTTAACATTATTATTATCACAAGAATTTCGTTTGCCAGATGTTGTACGCATTTGGGATTCATTATTTGCTGATCAAGAACGAAACTTTGAATTTCTTCTCTATATATGTTGTGGCATGATTGTGTATGTTGATAGTTGTTTTTTTCGTACGAGAAGAATTTTGTATTTTCTTTTTAGTCTTCAACGAGATCGTCTTTTAAATGGATCTGAATCACAAAATATAAAATTACTACAAGTTTGTTGATGAATAATTCAGCAGATGTATTTTATTGAATTATTTATGTTTTTAGAATTATCCACAAGATATTGATGTCTATCAAATACTAGAAAAAGCTGTGGAACTCAAGCGACTTTATGTTTTGTAATTATAATTTTCCGTTGTTTTTGTAACAGTATTGTGTTGACGTGAATGTGAGATGACTCAGATACGAACGCAAAAATTAACTTTTTATTGTACTTCGATCTCTCCTGTAATTATTTTCTCGAGACTTTATCATATTCATATTTTTATTTGTGCAATATAAGAAGTCGCTCTGTGTTTTTGCTTGATGCATAACTAGTATAACCATTCCTGTTTTTACATGTGATCATGGATTTCTCAATATTCCTCAACTTTCGTTTTTTTTTGTAATGCTTTAATTTCGGTCATGGTATATAATTATATTAATAAACGAGGCAAAGTTCATATGTTTGAAAGTTTTCCTATTCTGCGCAGAATGGGAACTTCGAATAATGCTTGATGATTTGTCATAAACGATAGCTATTGTGAAAATATTTAATATCAATCAATAGTTTGAACAAAGAAATTATGGTTTTTCTTATAAAAAAATTCCCAAACGTCTATGCCATTCTTCTTCAAAGGCATAAATATATTTATTTCAAGTTAATCATCCTTCTAGATGTCTACCGTCATATCAACAAATGAAACTGATTTCGTTATCGCTAATGATCAAGTTAAAGTATGAATATGGAAATTGAATTGTATTATCTTAATCTTAATTTAATTGATTTTCTCTCATACAGGGTCGACAAATCATTGCTAAAAGAATTTATCAATCTGGGGAATTGATTTTTCACGAACAACCACTTGTTTCAGCTCAATTTGAATGGAATAAATTATACAAATATTCTGTATATTATTAAGAAGAAAAATAAATTCATACAAAATATAAAATATTCTTTGTTTTCTTTCTTTCTTTCTCGAGGCATGCGAATGTTGTTTATATCCGTTGGAATCCTGTGAACAAAATGTTCGTCGTCTATGTCAAGATTCAGCCATTGTTATTCTACATCCAGAATGTGATCCGAATCGAAACATGGATCAACGAATTGTACGATGTCCGAAGTGCAATGTTAGTTTAAAATTTTGTAAATTCTTCTGTTTTTATTTTCTAATCGATTATTTATAGGAAATGTTTTGTTCAACAACATGTTATCAGCAAGCCATGAATAATTATCATTTTACTTTATGCCAATCAAATGAGAATCAAGAGAAAGATCAGTTAATTCGACATATTATTGATTTATGGAGGTAATATAAAGCCTAGAAAAGAAAAATTATTTCTATTCTTATTCTATTAGATCAGTTCATCCTCCACCGGAAACAACATCAATTTCACTTGTACTCAAAATAATGGCTATGCTTAAACAAGTAAGATCATTGTAAATGAATATTTTTGGTTTGTAAGACATTTACTTTTAGACCGACAATCGTTTAATACTTCTTCAAGAACTTCAAAAGTTTTCTCAAGGTGTTCAAAGTGAAAATCAACAATTTTATCATAAATTATTACGCAAAGAATTTGAAGTTTGTCTTCTGTTGTAGAGCTCACTTATTCAAATCTTTTTTTTTTTTATTTAAATTTAGACTCAAGTAGAACAATTGAGATATGCTCTAGAACAATTCAATGAAAAGTATATTCAATTAGCGGAGTTTAAATGGTTTCTTACATCGAATGGTTTTCGACAGCTGCTTGCTTTGCTTGGTCGAAATCAACAAGGTGTTGGAACAAGTTCTCTGGCTTTGTGGGTTAAAAATTGTGAAGCTCTATCTGAACCGCAACAAGCCATTGCAGCAGCAGCAGCAACAGCGACTAGTGAAGCATCACAATTCATCGATGCTCTTTATACAAAAATAGACGATAGTAAAATAGACGACTTCATTCATGTATATAATTGAATATTGAATTCGATTTAGTTTCCGGTGAATTTATCGACTGTGAAGGAAGTGGATTATTTAAATTACAAAGTTGTTGTAAGTTGAATTTAACAGAATCAACGAAGATACATTTTTTCGTTTGCAGTAAATCATAGTTGTGATGCTAATGCTGAGATACAATATCTACATAATAATTCAACATTATCTGTTGTAGCAACACGATTGATATCAAATAATGAAGTATTTGTTTTTTCATATAGTGTATTCTCGTTTTTCTATTATTAAATAATTATTTGTAGGAAATTACAATTAATTATCTATCGGAATGCGATCGAAATCGTTCCAGACATTCAAGACAAAAACTTCTTCAGTATGTAAAATTTATTCTATTCGAAAAAAAAACATTTCAGAAATTTTAAATCGTAACTGAACTGATGGACTTTTATCACGACTATCGAGACTTGAGAAACTTAACTTATATAAGTTTCAATAGTGGCACGAATGTTTTTCGACTTATTTCAGTCTGAATAGTGCTGGCCTAGTGATGCAAGATTTGTTTCACAAGTGATTCCTTACTTAGTAAAATACTGTTACTAAGATCATCTTGTCTTGGGGGTATTTTGCATTCTCTAACAGTTATATTCACAGTTCAGAAGTTGGACATAAAATAGAGTTCACTATTTTGCAAGAGGAAATTATGTAAATATTTTACTTTAGGGAAAATTACTTGTTTTTATGTCAATGCAATCGATGCACATCGGAAAGTGCCGAACCCGATGAGACAAGTGAAGAAGAAAGTGAAAATGATATGGAAGAAGATTAAATTGTTATCTTTTTTTTGTTGCTTCTTGTTTTTTTTTGGTCTTGAAAAATAAATAAACAACAAAAACGAAATGTCAATGTGACATCATGACCATCAATTTCTTATACTTTCATCTATACAATATGACCATAAATTATTCTTATTCTATTTTACAGACTAGACAAAAACACAAAGGCCTATTTTATTTTCTTCTCTCATAAAAATCCAGTAAACATATCTGTTGAATATCTTGGTTATAAGCGATGGATTAAATATATACTTTAATCGTTTACTTCCTTAAGAAAACAGTAATGAATTTTGTGCGTTCTTATTGGTTCGAATGAATAAATATAAAATCCAGAATAAATTTTTGTGAAACAAGGAATTTTCTCTGCATTCTTACTATTTTTCTTTGGTGATCATTCTCATCAATGGAATGATCATTTTTTTGTTGAATGCATATATGCAAGATCAAGCTACCTCTCGATTATTCATCCAAGGCAACAGTATTTTTCAGTAACGATTTCATGTCTATGTTCGTTTAGAAGGAGTCAAAGTTCGCTTTTTACGCTTGTATGATTCTTTCAAGGTTTCAAGTCATGATGAAATTTTCTTTGCTTATATGTTTCTGATATAGCTTTGGAAGAAAAAAACCTTTTGTTAATCTGAACTTTATTTTATATCTACGTGGAAAAAAATTAACTGATCATTACATGAAGTTTTAATCTGACAATGACAAGGATTAGTAAAAAGAATGTTACAATCGAATATGAATGAAATTTGCTGTTAAAATCTATTTGTTATTAGTTGTGATAAATTTTGATTTGAATCATCCATAGAACTTCCACGAAAATAATACCATGTTTGATTTGAATACTTAAGAATAGCATTAAAGGATCAGCAAGATCCATGCGTTCCAGAAAATGTAGACGAGTATGGAGACTACTAATAAAATCTTTTATAAAATCGTCATAAATTGAAGCATTCTATATATTATCGTTGGTAAAATCGATTGTTGATTCCCACGGATGTAATAACCCAGATGAACAAATCCGATGGGATTCTGGATCACGGAACCACTAATGGATCCGACGGAAAAAAACATTTAATTCATTGACCACTAATTAGTACCTCAAGCCAACATTAGAGGGTAGTCTGAGTCGAGCTTTGATCCGATGATTATCCAATGTTATTCCGACACTAGGGATCCGAATGTCATTCCACAACCCGGAATCTGATAGAAATTCGTTGGTTTATTGGAAATTCATATAAAATCCGATCGAATTCCTATAGGATCTTATTGGGTTCGATTGTCGGAATGATCCTGCTGGGAAGCATAAAAGACGAATCCGAGAAGCTTTTATCTCCATTAACAGGTCCATCAATTGTATTTAATGACGTCACAATGCCATTGTGTTCGCCACCCATGCCGATCAAAACAGACCACCGTAAAACGACCGTTTTAAGCCGTATTATGGCGTTTTAACACGGGCCGTATTACGATCATACACGGACACCGTAGGTCCGCCGTAAACTAGCCGTGTTTTCATCGTATACGACCGTTTACGGTTCGTTCTGTTCGACCAGGGTACAACTTCCACGAAAATAATACCATGTTTGATTTGAATACTTACGAATAGCATGACACATAGCATGACACAATAAGTGACATATAACAATAAAAAATTGAAGTATTTTACGTAAGCGTAAAAAACATAAAGCCAAAGACAAAATTACAGCAATTAATACGTGTTTCCATACTGACAAATTTCCTATGACATTCACTATTAAACCAACACCAGCAACCGCTGCTGTACATATAAATTTTATCAATTTGCGTTCTAGAAACAGAAGTAATAAAATAAGTTAGTTTAAAAATTAGGAAAGAGATAAGAATCTATGATAATCAAGCGAGGAGATACGTACAAATATTCAACGAGTCTAATCCAATTTAGTATGGTTTTCTGTCGCGAACTATGAGTGCGGATATTTTCTGATGATTGAAGACATAAGATCTAGTCAAAAACGAATCTCATTTGAAACTGGTATGAGAATGGTCCTCCTTTTCCTCCTTTTTCTCAAAAAGCGTCCTCCTTCTCCTCCTTTTCACCTAAAAATCCTCCTTTTCCTCCTTTTGTCATTTAAGATAAAAAATGAAAATTTTAAATATTTCAAGCAAAACGTTTTGATGAATCAGCAATTCAAAAGATATCTCAAGTAATTCATATTAGCATTAGCATTAACACGACAAGGTATTAATTTTCAATGAAAATCAAATTATAACTAGTTTTAATATATAATTTATTATGTAGGTTTGTTATTTGTGTTGTATTTGTAAATTTCTTGTATATTTTTTGAAAAAAAAATTCAATAAATTTCTTTCTATCTCTATTAAATTAAAAAATAGTTATTTATATTGATATCGAAAAAATTACGTTGAATTTTTAATGTTTTATGTTTATGAAATCATTCACAGTAACTTCGACAAAATTTGCTTGTCGAAGTTAAACTTCGGCAAAATTTTGGTCGAAGTTACAACTTCGGCAAAGAGTGTAACTTCGGCACGACACATACACGTACATCCTATGATGTTGATCGCAATTTTTTCTTGATCGCAATTCACATTTAATCGTAGAACCAAAACTAAAATCAATATCGTTGTTAATTTATCATATTCAATATGACAAATTTTTCATATTTTTATTCAAAAAATCTACTAGAAATTAGTCAACAACATCTCACTAAAATAAATCGATTATTTCAATAATCAAAAGTTTTCATAGATAAAATTTTCATTATATATTATTTATTGTTCAAAATAAAATAGTTCATAAAAAAATAAAAGACAATATAATACACCCTCAATCGATAAAAAAAAGAACATCAATTAGATGTATCAAACAGCAAATAAAACTTTATGTGGTAGTTACAAATCATATAAAATCAAATCAATTGAATTGAAATATATATAAGCAACTATGAATAAAAAAAACACAGATACAATTTTACTCTTATTTTATATCAACCAATTCAACAACATACGCATGAACATCATCTATTGTTATCGAAAACGAAAAAATAAAATACAATATTCCAATACTAAATAAAAATATAAAAGTTAAATGACATATCTCTTTAGAATAAAAATATGAAAAAAAAAATTGACATCGACAAACAATATATCAAGATTTATTGAAATAAATTAAAGTAGTTACAATTAGAAATAATTCAATCTAAACAAAACGAATATATGAAACTATCTAAAATTCTATAAATATATAAACTATGAATATGAAATCAAACAGAATAATATTTCTAAATATCCGTTTTTAAATCAAAATCACATATAAATATAAAATACACAAAATTTTAATTTTAATCTAAAGAAAGCACTTGAAACAAATATGATTAAATAATAAAAAGTTCATTCTCATATATAGTAGTTATCTATAAAAACCCAAACAATAAATTCTTGAATCATATCAATAGAATTCCCAAAAAAATAATTTACCAGATTATTATCTTTCTTAGACAAATCAATGAAAACAAAATTAAGAAAAATAAAATTCAACGAAGACATCGCCTAATAATGAATCAGAATTTTTAGCTATCCAATAAATACTTTCTTTTCACGAAACAAAAAGGATACAAAAATTCAAGAAACGGAATAAAATATATGTGACGATTTAAAATATGCTTTCATAATAAAATTAAAACTACTTTTCTGTTATAATAAGAAAACAAAATTCACTAAAGAGACAAAAAAAATAATTTCTTCCTCAACATAAGCTACATGCACATCGATATGTATTCAATATCGAATATGAAAACTAATGAAAGATAAAGAAAATAGCTGACACCCTCACGAATCGACTCACTAAATACGACTAGCTACCTAATTCGAATTCGAATATAAATCGAGATAACTACACAGACTTCAGCATATGCTCAACTAAGGATGCCGATTTTGTTTTCGCATGTATGACCATGAATACTGATGCCCTAATCCCGCATCGCGCTAACGCTCACCCTCACCCACACCCTTTGTATACTTTCTTCTAAGACTTGGGTCTACTGCCACAACTACCAAAGTCTTAGATATCTCTTAATTTAATAAAGAATCTAAAAACTTTCAGAATGACCCACGTGTATATTAAATACTTCTATTATAATATAATCCTCAAGACTAACAACAATTCGACCATTTTTTTATAATCAATATGATGAACATTGTTTACTTATACATGTTTTTAAAACATCCATTTATATAAAATGATCTTAATAATTTAATCTTTTCAAGTAAAGAGATAGAGAAGATATTTATTAGATTTTTTTTTGAATTCTTTTGTTTTATTTCAAGATTTAATCAAATCTCAACAAATAAAAAAAAGTTTTTTAAAGTAGCACAAATCATTCAAGGAAATTCGAAAATTGAACTATTTTATTAACGTTTTCGAGCGATTTCAAAAATATTCATAGTTATCATTGTTTTTTTGTGTACTCAAAAAGTGAGTACACTCTAGAATCGGTTAGTATGTCCGTCAGTCCGACCGGCCGTATACACATACGATAAATTTCGAAAGGAGAGTCAGATCATAATGAAATTTTCTACACAGTTCAGTCTTAACAATGTACAGGAATTTTTTCAAAAAAAATATTTTTCTCAAAATTATTCACAACATATATAAATCGACTCAGTTTTTAACGGTGATTCTGAATCTGATACTAGTTTTGAACTAGATAGTAGCTTTCTAACAAATCATCGTCTGAAAAAGGTCTCAAAATGCACAAAAACTGCATCCAGAAACCAAATTGCCTAGATGTGTCTCAGATGACCAGTAGTTTTGGGGTTTCCCAAATGCCTGATTTTGTAGCTAGTCAAAAGGACTATCGAAAAGTAAAAACCCGAACTCGATAGCTATTAATATTGGAGATTTATTAGGAAAATACTGATGCCTGTATCTATCATATATCTCTTACAGATTGATGAGGTTGCTTACGATCGTAATTCTGCTAGATACAAACGTAAATCCGTTCAAAAATAACTCTTCTTACCCAGTTTTCCAAGCTAAACACGAATCTGAACTCAATTCCTGTGATTTCTAAAGATATTATATCACTCTGAGAGTAGAGTCAGTGGTCACCGGATAGGGTGGCATACAGTGTGGTCCATGCTAACCTAGCACACCTGTATTTTCTCCTTGCAATTTAGTGATAAAAAACACAGTGAATATACCTTTTCACTTTTTGAAGTACACGTAACACTCGGATTTAAATCCGAGGTTTTCGCATTTATTTAAAAACTTATTCAAGTATCCATTGTGTCAAAACGAAAATTATCTATATCAACGATAATTGATTATAGTAAGCTGAATAAAAGGTTAATTATTATCAATATAATTATAAAAATATTGCTTAATATTGACTTGATTAAGTTCAATTAAAATTTTCATCAAAAGTAAAATCTCTTTGATAACATATCGGTAATATATGTAGATTTGATAGTCTCAATAATGAATTGAAATAGTATAAAGAATTGATAATGGTGAAGTGTTGTTTTGTCTCATCATTAAATTTCGAATGAAAATCTTATGAAAAATTATGTTAACTAAAATAAATTATTTTTCAATATGTTTCCTATAAAATAAGAAAATATATTTTAAAAACTACTTTATTCTATCCATGGTATCACATGATACTGAACATTTTTCTTTCAATGCTACAAATATTTATAGATTAATTTTTTTTTTAACGGCCTTCTCTTTCTTTCTTTCTCTTATATAATAAATCTTAAATTTCTGTCAAACAACGACACTATTATTTCAATTTTTCTTTTGCTTAATTAATGACCAACCAGAAACAAAACAGATTATCCAACAATACACATAGATACATTGAAATTTACAAATTCATTTTTTTATATCTACGATTAGCTCAATGTCCCAGCGAATCAATATAAAATAATAAGCACTTCTCGCTCGGACCATTATATGTCTAGACACTTTTTTTTTTAAACTAAATATTCAGTTCGATAAAGAATATGTTTTTCTATCTATTGATAACAATTTTATATATAGCGCTTTCCAACAAACCAACCTACCAATCATATGCATTTGTTTTTGTTTTACTTATTTCTTTGTGTTTTTTCGGCTAATATAATATAAACCAACCGTCCGTCCCATGATCATTTATTTCGAGAAGAGGATTAATCAACAAGAGAATATTTTTTCGGAAAAACGAAAAATCGTATGTAAAAAATAACTTTTTTTATTAAAATGAAATGTTCAAAAATTTGAAAACAAATTGAGATTGAACGATAACCATCGAAGTTTTATTCCTTTCTTTTTTCTAGATTATAAAACAAATACACGAATATGATGGATGGTAACGATAATAATCAACCTGCAACAGGAATAGTTCTTCAACCAGAATTGCACTTAAAATTTTTACTCGGATGTAAAAAACTTGAAGAAGAACAAAAAACTATTCGTGAAAAACAGAAAATTGAAGAAGAACAAAAAACTCTTCGTGAAAATAAGAAAATTGAAGAAGAACAAAAAACTGAACGTGAAAGAATTGCAGAAGAACAAGCAACTAAACGTCATGAAGAAGTAGAAAAAACTAGACGTAAAAGAATTGCAGAAGAACAAGAAACTGAACGCACGAAAATAAAACATACACAATCATTAATATCGAACATTCTACCACTTTCATCTCATTACGATTTTTACATTCTTAAGGTAGAGGGTAATCTATATGATTTTGAAATTGATTGGATATCGCCAAATGATAATGATTATTTTAACGGTGAAATAAAAACGTGTATTGGAAATTATTTGGAGAAAATTCCATCATCTCGAATACTCAGTGAAGCGAAACTTCAGAAACACGTTAATGACTTAATAGCTGATTTATTAAATGCATTGGGTGATTCTACAGTATTAAAATGTCAAGATACACCTTCTTCGAAATATTTAGCGACCAAATTTTGTCCTGATTGTACATTTATTTTTAAAAATATCAATGCTGAAAAAGATTGTTTAGAAGATTTTGTTGTTTGTCTTGGTGAATTAAAACGTTCGAATAAAGACATGACAGAGAAGAATGTAGTTGGTCAATTATTACAATATTTAAGTTTATTATTAACAATACAAGCGCGTCCAAAAATCTATGGTTTCCTGTTAAATACTGAATATATACAATTTTATTATGTTGAACGAAGACCAAATTCTAGTGACTATAAATATTTTAAAAGTAAAAGTTTACCAATTTATGATCATTCATCTAAAGATTTGCCAAGTAATGATAACCAAAAAATAACAACAGATCAAACATCAGAAGAAAATATTCAGTTTTGTGAAAATACATGGAAAATATTTACAAAATTTTTAATAATGCAAACGGATTTTTATCGATATGAAACATTAAATATAGATCCAAAGGATAATGAATTAAATAAATATGAGATTCAAAAAAGATTAGGATTTGGTTTAACATCAAAAGTATATTTCTTAAATAATCGGAAAAAAAATATGAGAACAACACGACAAAATACAATACAACAAGATAATACTAATACCATTGAAAGCGGTGTAATAAAAATATCAAAAGATGATGGATATTCATCAGAATTTTTCAATGAATTAGAGATAACAAAAAAATTAAAAGTAAAAGATATTGACAAGTTCAAGTTATTTTTTCAAGAAATTGCATATTCGTCGCCAAAAGGTAACGATTTTCTCTATTATATTTTCTTAAGATTTTCAATAGATTGAAAGATTATAAAGAAAACAATAAAATTTCTTTTGTTTTGAATAAAGAAAAACGAAAGAAAAAGAGATTTTAGAAATGTTCAAATCTATTCATTTTATTTTATAGAAAATCTTTCATTAAAACTTAGAAACAAAAATTAATTATTACAATAGACGACAGATAACGTTGAAGAATTTATTTTTGGAAAAAAATATGAGAAATAACAATACACGTTTTTTTTGTTTTTGTTAAATGTTAAATGAATTGAACGAAAGAAAAAGAAAATTTGACAAAATTTTTATTATAAATAATCTATAATAGTTTTTTTTTATTTAGGTAATTATTTGATATTCAAAAATGAATTAGAAAACTTAGAATCATTTTCATTACGTCAATCGGAAGAAATATTTGATATAATTGAATATTTATATGATTCCAATATTATTCATCGAGATATACGTCCAAATAATTTAATGTTCGATACATCTACTTCACATGTAAAATTAATTGATTTTGGATTTGCTATTACATTGGATATTAATGATGAATCAAAAGAAGTACCAATAGCAGGTACAATAACATATGCTGGTTATGAATTTTTAAATTTTTATTCAAAAATCGAACATAATGCAGTATGGTCTCGATCTTATCGTTATGATAAAAAATTTGATTCAAAATGTGCATTAAATATTATCATCTATATGATTAATAGGAGTGTTCGACATAAATTGAATGAAATTGAAGAATTACCATCTACTGAACAAAAGACACCAAAATTATTAGAATTATGGGCGAATGTTAAAAAAGAACATGAAAAATATTCAAATTTATTAACTACAATAAATAATTTAACTGAATCATCAGAATTTCAGAAATTAAAAGGTCAATTAGAAGAACTTTATGAAGAGGAAATAGCTTTCATGTGATTCATTTAAAACGATTAGAATAGTTCAACTCGTTAATATTTAAATATGTATTCTTTATTTCGGTGTATTTATTTTTCTCTTGTAGTTGTTATATAGCTGTGTTGCATTATTGATAAATAAAAAAGAAAATTTATTTCATTTATTGAAAGGTATTATTATATTTTGTAAGTCTAATATAGAGATTCTCATCATAACATATTCAGATAAATTCAACACAAGAATATGATTTACTATTCTCATTTGATTAGTTAATATATATGATGATATATGAAATATTTATTGTAAATCTTAATAAAAAAAAAATAAAGCTATTCTAATTTTCTTATTTATTTATTCATGTTGAATTTCATCAACATTAATCGACTAGTCTCATATCAACAAAAGTAATAAAAGAAATAAAATTCTTTTCAATAAAATAACTTAGGAAAAATTCACTTTTTTAATTTAAACATAAAGTAGGAATGTGTTTTCTTTTAATATGATAACAATAGATGATTTAATCAATCTATTACACAATTTAACTATAATCTTAAGTTCATATTATTTCTTGATAAGACACAACTTCCAGGCTTCGTAGTCGTCCTATATTTCCTATGTATTCGAAAAAGTGAAAAACAAAATGCTTTTGAAAAGTTTTGCATTTGTCGGAAAAAGACAAACATTCGTCTTTATATATAATTGGTTCTCTGAACAACAATATAAATAAAAGCTAGCGGCAATATATCCAAATTTTGCATTCTAACATCATATTTATTGAGATGCTTTATTCATTCTGTTCTGCAGATAGAGATGTAAACCGCGCCGGTGAAGATTCTTTGTTCTCTTCGACCACAATGACGGCTTGCCATCGGCTGTATACAAATGAACAAAGGCTGTTGGTGGCGCGACCGACACCTCTATTTGAAGATTTTTATGAAAATGGCTTAAATATTGACGAACTCACACTGAATTTTATACTATATCGTCTTACCAATGATTAATATGAGATGTAATACTTCTCTTCGCGAACGTATACATCGTATGACAGTATTTTGAGCTAAGATCGTCGGAACGATAGAAAGTTAAAATATATTCGACGAAATCCTAAGCTTGATATTCTAAGATTTACAAATCACACGACATTTTTCGAGTTTAGCTAGTAGTTTCATTTTCTGAAGCGTCATCTCGGTAAAAGAGGTTCCAGGATTAGTTCTTTTTCGAGATAGAACTAAAAACAGTGAAGAAAATAGACGCTCGTATCTTTCAGTCAGTCATCTTTCACATTACAGCTGTGAGAGGACAACTGATGCTAGCCATTACTAGTAGAGAAGATTGAACGATCAATGCACTATATGCTCATGGAGAAAACATTGGTAATGATGATCACATTCACATCATTCTCACGTGTTACTTTGTTATACACAGCTTTACTTGAAACTTTATGGAACTATTTATTGAATATTCTCTATAAAAAGAAAAAAGATCGTCAAATTTTTATTTATTGTGACCAGTCTTTTTATTTGTAATCAATTTAAGTTTCGATTATTTCGAATTAATTGATTTTGAAAGGAACTATTTTATCACTAGTGATTATCACGAGTAATTCCGCGATACCGATATTATACAGTTTCCGACAATGCGTAGATATATTAAGTATCGTATTTCCTTACTGTAACACTTGAGTCGATTTCCTAAATTTTTCTTTCAAACACTTTTAACTATTCGAAAAAGAATTAACTAATGATTTCAATGTGCTACTATTGATCGACATACTTTTATGAAAGTTCCATCTCGAACAAAAATGCCATGATAAGACTTGAAATCTTCTGATTTGTATGAATATTCCTGATTTTCCCCCAAAATGTTACCTATCTATTATCCTAAGCTTTAGACATTGCGCTACAACCCCTGAGTTCCGTTTACGAATGTAATTATATGTGATTAGTATTTTTTTAAACAAAGAATGTATTCAAACAGTGATAGTTGTTATAAAATTCAAAACACAAACCGTCAACAAATATTCACGGTGTAGTGGAACTATTTTTATTCTTTTTTTCTCGTCATCTAATACAAAACGAACTGACTAGTCCATGGCATCTGTCAGAATAGCCATAATGTGAGTGCAAGGAGAAACGAACAGAATTCTATATATAACACTTTTTATTTTGCGAAAATTTTCCATAAAAATCGAAAGTTTTTGCACAAAATTGTTCATTCATAACTGTAATTGTTATTTTTTCAGTTTAGTTTTAAAAAGAAACAAGCGACAATTGATCTACGTTTATAGAGTTTTATGTTTTACACGTTTAAGGTACCGAACAATTTTGAATAGCACGTATAGATTTATCAAAAACTGATTTACATCATATTTGAATTTTCTCAGTCATTTTGGCTAGCTATCTGCAATTACCCCACTCTTTCTGTACGTTGTATGCAATAGCCCCAAGTGGGAGAAAAGCATAAATTTAAAAAATTTAAATTTCGATAACGATTTGAACATTATGATAAGCCTAACAGGGAGATTCTCACCGTTTGAAGAAAATCACTTTGTCTATCGATCTGTGAAAAAATAATTAATCAATCTTTTAAGGTTGATGAGAAAACCGATTTTTAGTGACTCCATGTAAAATAGCTGGGAATATGCAATTGCCCCACGTCACACAGCTATTATATGCAATTACCACACACGAGCCAATTGCATATTATTTGTAGGGGCAACTAGCAAAAAAGCGATTCAACAACTTTTGACAATCTGTTTTTAGTAATTTTTACACAAGTTTGTAGAGAACACATTCATCCATCGATTAAAAAAAGTTCTTAAAATTGACCGAGTTACGATAGCTACAAAAAAGAAGAGCAATTTTTCATATGCAATAGCCCCACTCTACTCTAATATCTTAGTGGATACATATGAAAAAGATTTTCTTCTCTTAAGAAATTCTGTGTTACATAAAATTCCATTATTAATATGTGGATCTCTTTATGAACAATACGTTTTCATTATATAAACTAACACAAACAAATCAATGATTTCAGTTATCTTTGAGTTTTCTCTAACCGAGTAAGAAAGCTCATGTTAGACAAAACTAACTTTGGAGCGTTAATGATGTTGACGATATTAATTGTTTTACAGCAAAGACAATTAAAAACATACGAGATTTATTTAGTAGATTTATAGTTATGCCAAAATGTTGAAAAAAATTATAATTTTTCTTAAATAATTCTCGTCGAAATATGATAATATTTTCAGTTCTAATATTTGAAAGACATTATTTCTTTTTATAGTTAATGTGCAGATATCCTTGTGTGGTTTGCATGACCTCGTACAATTTCAAGTCGATATGAGGTTCGTACTTAACTTCGGTTCAGATATGAAGTTAATCTAATAACGAAAGTAAGCAACAAACAGTAAACTATATCTAGAATGAATAACTTTCGGAAAGACAACACATGGCAATCGATTTAATAAATCTATCTCAATTTCCATTTTTATATAAAAGTGTAGACATCGAAATATCTTCGACTTTGTTTAAACAGTTGAAATAGTTTTTCAGAGATATTAAACGATTATTTTCCTAGATACAATTGTTCATATGCTTTTATATTTTGAAATAAATTCAAAGTAAAAATGGATGAAAAATACCAATAGATCTAGCAAAAAAAATTCAATCTACCTTTAAGCAAAATCTAATATATAAGTAAAATAATATTTCATCGAGAGAACAGATGATATCATCAATTTATAACTTATTAGAATTAACTTTCGTATTTTCTTGATAAATTCTATTTCTTCATCTTATATCTGTGACAGAAAACATAATTAAGAGATGTTTTCGATCGTTTGTTATCGGATAGTTATAGACATTTCATTAAAATAGACATATTTACTTTTGAAAAAATTATTTTTTATAAACAAATACCTTTTTGTGTCAAACGATTAATGATTGACTTTCTATTTAAACCGAATTTGTTACATCAAAAAAAAAAAAAAAATTTATTACTCTAGCGTTGTTCAGA